TTTTTTTCCATCTCACGGAGAAGTGCCAATACGAATATGGTCTTTGGCGCAAAGACCTCTGACCAATATTATCCTAGAAGTATGTTGGGGTAGCTGTCCTTGGGAAAGCAATATTTTCATATCAACATGGAAAGATATAAACTTCCTAGCCATACAAGTGGTATGATGTATCCAGCGGTTCTTGTCAATGAGCCGTATATATAAAATATGTGTATCATATTGCTAAATGCCCTGGGTCGGAAACCCCTAACCGAGCAACCCAGGAAAGCTCCCTTCAATTCATATATAGTTTATGCGGTCTCATCTTTCTTTTTCGAAAATCTCCTTATTGAATATAAGTTGTTACTAAAAAGCTTGTTTTCCAATATCAAACGACCACGACCTATACATATATGATTTCAATGCTTCTATTAACGCCTTGAATAGCAGGCAGGATAGTTGGTTCCCGGATAGCATTAACTTAGAACTGCTCAATATCCGAGAAAGAAGTCTTCTCTGACAAAGGTCTCCTACTTCCTAGCTACACTCCCATATTTCCAGAAAGCCTTACACTAAAGGCCAGGTGCTAACTAACACTGCATTCTGTTTGAAAATACGAGACTGTAACTAAGTTATATATCCCTCCAAGTAGCTCCTTTTATCAGAGTTTAGTGTAGAATAGCTACTCTACGTTGCTCTGTATTATCTTAAGCGTTGAATTATTTCTGTGGTCTAATGCAATGCTACATACCATCGCATCTAATTTAAACGATCTTCTTCACAATAACAATAAGTATCAATCACATGCCTACTTCAAATATGCATCCTAGTGCAGTCGACGAGCTCTTTGATCCTCTCCAGGAGATCACGGATGCTGAAATCTACAACTTTATCCCTAGAGGCCATGTTTTCTTCTTCAAGCATACCCAGACTTCATGGCGAATATGGACAATACAGGCTCAGAAATTTCGAATACATGAAGAAGTAAATTGTTTGCATCTACGCAGGATGTGTCTTCGGTGTGTGTGGCTACACAAGTCGAAGGCCCTTCCCCGGGTATGAAAGCCGTCCTGAAGATCAAAGCCCAGTATGTGGTCCCCTTGAATCTTGAGCGACTAGGATAGGCGCGGTCATATTTTTATCATATATCTTTACCTAGTTTCTAACACTATTCAGGACTGAGCCTTGGACAATAGATACGTCCTGAGTTGATTATCTTCCGGTCACCCAAGAAATCTTTCGAGAGATATCTGTTTTACATAAGCTCACTGAGGGTGGTTGTAGCAGCACACCCCGCTTGATTGACATTGCTTTTATTGAACAGGGTGATGATGATCCTGTTCCTAATGGATATTTTGTGGTGTTTCTCTTGGAGAAACTCCCTGGAATAGACCTTGAACGGACATTATCTCAATTCTCCCTTGAGAAGCGAAATCGTGTGCGGATAGCCTTTGCTAAAGCTCTTCGGTAGGTTCTCTCTGTCGTCCCATACTCCTTCGAGGAGTTTCTGCTAAAGACATTGTATAGAGAGTTCTACAGCTTCAGGCTTTCCCACAATGACCCTGCTCGACGTAACCTTATCTGGGGTGAAGAAACCGAGAGATGGTATGTATGCGGTCCAGCACAGCCGAGGTATCTCAATTAACAACCATGCCTAGCTTCATAGTAGATCTGGAAGACGTTGAAGAAAGGGATCATCCAGTCTTCAGCACTTGGCGCTTTAACCCCTGGAGGGACTTTAGATATTGCGAGCTCTGTTTAGGAGAATTGGATCCAGATGAAGCTAATTATGATCCAATGGTGCCAGGGCCGCATGAAGAGATTGAGGATACTGATGAGGCGCTTTATGCTCTAGCGGCTCGCACGAAACATATATCAGAGCAGGGTGATAATGTAGCGACCAAGGTAAAATGAGGCATCTTTGTGTCATTCCCTTGGTTGGCCCCTGGCATTATCTAATTGAAAGTTCATCATAGTGGACCTTGATGGTTTTATAATCTCATGTTAAACCTAAGGAAGGCATGATTACTTGTTTTTTAACATCTGGGACATGTCTCAATGTAGCTAGATCTGTCTTGCGTTTTTGGAGTCAGATTGCCCAGGAGCAGTAGTCAAGTATACATAAGTACCTGTAGGAGAAAGGCCCATCCCAGAGCCCTCTATATTCAGCGTTACACACCTATGTTGGTTGCTGGGAGGCTCAGTCGACGTCGACAGAACTAAGTAAAATGACTCACTGGTAGCTCCTGTCAAAGCCATCTTCTGCCCCCGTGTCATTTCCATAGTACTCGAGGAATCCTGCATTCAGCACGAGCACCGGATCGGGACACTATCGCCGCTTGGAACGTTGCGTTTTAACACTGGTTGCGACATTACGTACGCTGGAAAGGCAGCCAAAATTCAAGAACAGTAACTCGGGAAAAGATTGCAACAGGGGGTTACCTTCGGTGCAAGCGGTGTTACTGTGATATGTACATTCTTGGGTGTCTGAAAATATGCGATCTAGACCAGGATGACTAAGATCGGTAACGGTACTGGTAAATTACCGTACAGGCTCGTGATCTGGGTAATGGCGTCACTCGTGTGGTGCGACTCCAACAAGTTGCTTGTCACTCTTTTCATTCCACAGTCCACCATCAAGGCTGTTAGTTGAACGGACGCTCCTGGACAGAGAGATAGGCTATTGGTACAGCTATGGAGACTGCACCGCTTACCTTGGTATGTCATCGACCAACACTGGGGGCTTTTTGCATCGTATACCCAGCCTGACAGATCTCCCCGCGCAAGGCTCATACCCATGCACGAAATGCAGTTCTTGAGACCCGCAAGTCAAACCCAGTCGCTGCGAGCGAGGAACATGACTTGGCCGCGGGTGAGTTCGCTGCGGCGGCCCAGAAAAGCTCAGATCGTGAAGTATGCTTATCCGCTAGCCCTTCAGGGTTTGATAGACGCTCACATGTGCACATTACACAGGCCCTGAGGACGCTACAGCTTCTGGAGCAACATCATAAAAAGCTCGCCCAGATCTTGCGATTTCAACATGAGAACCCGCCTACCACTGCCACGAGTACACAGCAAGTGACTATGGAATCGGGGGGAGCGAAGTTAGATATACAGCAACACCCACCAAAGCTACTAGGACACGCTCGCCTACCGGCAAGGGAGACTTCGTCAATCGCTAGCAACTTGGCCTCGGCTCGAGGCATTCCGTCGCAGCCGCGCCGTGGCTCTCCGGTGTCACCTACGGTTTCCTCGCAGCAGGCAGGAGCGAAGATGACAGAGGGACCGGCAAAGATCAGGACCAGTGAGGCTCGATTACGAGAAAGACAGGCCTATGCGACTAAGGAACGTTCCAATCGGACGCCATCTAAGCAGTCATGGAATCCATCTGCAGCCAGCCCTACCGATATCACCTCGCAACAATTTGTACCTCCGGACGCCGAGTCGTCCCATCTTAAGGACAGACAAGCCACATCCGAGGAGCCATTTCAGCGGTTCTATTCTACCTTTGAAGGACTTATTTCCAAACTGTCCGCACCGTTGGCTTTCGCAGGCCTCCCTTTGGGGTCAGACGTGTCGGAAAAGGCCGAATCTGCGCGCAAAACGTCAGCAGAGACGAAGGTGGACCGCCAACCTGCAGTTTCCGATCGCCAGAGTCAATCAGGGGACACAGATATCAGCAAAATATTTTCGCGTGCTGCACTACGAGCTGTCCGAGATTCAACGGGCGGAGGAACAGGAAGCACAGCTGAATCGTTTTACGTCGTACCCACAACGGGTGGAACTGTTTCCTATGCTGGGATCTTGAGCAGGGCCGAGAAGGAAGCCCGAAGAAGTAGCTTCGAAGAGGGCGATGAGGACTTCGTGGACGCCCGTGAGACACCGCCCTCACCCGAAATGCGTCAGAGCATGACGGGGAGCAAGGGCAGGGGCACTCGCGGCAAAGACAAACTCACCAGCATCCAGAGTCCTAAGACTCTAGAGGAATTACAGATGGAAAACCAAGCTCTGAAGCATCTGACTGATACTTTATCCAAACGTCTGCACATGTGGGAGGTTAACGCGCAATCATCTTCCATAGCTTTGCAGCAGTCTCTGAGAGCAATGCATCATCAAAATGTCCCATCCCCAGAGCACTACCCACAGTCTACTCCTGCTGTCGCTTCACCTACCACTTCTCTCTCTACACCAGCCACCGCAGATCAAGAGCAACGCATCAGAGAGCTTGAGGAACTGATCCAACAGAGCGAGAAAGAACTCGACAAGGTTGGTCGTGAGAACGACAAACTACGAAATGTCCTAGGAAGATATAGAGACCGATGGGAGAAGCTAAAGGAGGGTGCGAAAACTCGGCGGGAGGGCAGGTCAACTGGAGACAGGAACAGCTATGCAGAGCCTAGCACACAGAAAGCTAGTGAGGCCACGCAAATGCAAGCCGAGGGAGGAACCGAAAACGATACCAACTCAGGTAATGAACCTGAAGGCAAAAACGACTCTTCTAGCTGAGTCATAGTTTTCAACCTCATTCCATCGAGTCTCAAGGACGTTTGCAAGCTTAAGGTCCCGCACGGAACATGGACAATTGCTTTCGTTGAGAGATGTACGATAGTTATGTCACACATATCGCTTCTCTTCGTCTCTCTATGTGCTTTTTGAGTTCATGAACCTTTTTTTTCGGGTTTATTATGAAGGAATTGCATCAAGGTCGCTCACTTGCAGATCTGGGAAGCAAAAAGGCATGCAACTATGCATCAGCCTATGAATCACGGTAATTTACGAGTCATGTCCACGGGAAAGTGCCATATTAGTGATAATTGAGCAAATAAGTGTATAATTCAAAAGTTCAGAATCAGAATCCATCACGAACTAACCATCCTCCGTCTACCTCCAGCTAACTCCCCAATCACTCACTGCACATAGAAAGTAGCATTACCCCGAATATCCTCAGAGCTGCTTCCCACAAGCACACCAAAAGCCCCAGGCTCAACAACATACTTCATGCGTACATTCCACAGCCCCAAGTCCTGGACCTTCAATGGAATCTCCACCGTCTTACTCTGCCCAGCAGGAATGACAACCTTCTTGAACCCCTTCAGCAACCGATTCGGCACCACAACCGACGCAACCTCATCCACAACATACACCTGCACAACCTCCGTGCCATCCCTTGCAGCGTCCGTATTCTTCACCTCAACACTAACAGTAACCGTATCCGCCGCCGTCACATTCGTCTTATCAAGCTTAACAGCCCCATACTCGAAGCTGGAGTAACTCTTTCCATACCCGAAGGGATACCACGCCTTGGGGTTCCCAAGCGCATACTGGTGACCGAATTCAAGCGTTCCATTGGCATAAATATACCCTGCATCACCGATCTCGCGCGCCGAGTTCAGATAGTCGTAGTAGATGGGCAGATCACCGACGGAGTGCGGGAAGCTAACGGACAGTTTACCGGAGGGGTTGTAGTCGCCGAAGAGGACGTCGGCGAGGGCATTTCCACCTTGCTCGGAGGGGTAGAATTGCTGGACGAGCGCGGCGGTGCTGTTCGAGAGCCAGGGTTCCGTGATGGGCTTGCCGCTCGAGAGGACGACCACGGTGGGCACGCCCGTGTCGACGATCGCTTTGATGAGGGGGGCTTGGGCGCCGACGAGGTTGAGGCTGTTTACGTCGACGTGCTCGCCGGTCCTGTCATGCTTTGTATTAGTTTCATGAAGGTGGTATTTGGAGGGATAGGATAGGGCGGAGTTACGTTGCGTTGAGGCCGGCCCAGAGTTCCTTCTGGTCGCGAGACCAGGTGCCCACGACTACGACTGCTACGTCGGACTTCTTGGCTGCTTCGACTGCTTCGGCGAAGCCGGATTGGTCGTTGCTCCAGCGTTCGCAGCCCTGGGCGTAGTTGATTGTTGCCTTATCGCCGACGGCGGCTTTGATACCATCTAGGGGTGTCACGCCGCGGTACTGGCTTTCGTAGACGACATAGTCTCCGTACTGCGTGTGTCAGTTAGTATTATCACTGGTGTCTTAGGCATGTGTGATTCATCTCTAATGAACCGCAAGAAGGCCAGCAGAGACTCACGTTCATAAACCCATGTGCCATAGGCCCGATAACAGCAATGTTACCGCTCTTCTTCAGCGGAAGGGCATTTTCATGATTCTCCAGCAGAACAATCGACTCCCGATCCAGCTCCCGGGCAAGATCAATAGCCTCCTGGGTATGGATGAGCTTGTGCCACTCAGACGCCGGAGCAGCATTATAGGGGTTCTCGAAGAGACCCATTTCAAACTTCGCACGGAGCAGACGGGATACAGCCGTGTTGACGATTTCAATATCGAGCTTGCCGGCATTGACCAGGTCGATGATCGTTTCGAAGTTGCTAGTCTCGTGTTAAACATTTGTCAAACGGTTGAGAGAATGAAATGACTTGACAACTTACTATGAGCCACCGCCCATTTCGACGTCATTTCCGGCTGGGAGCACGGCGAGTGTAACGGCTTCCTTGTCGATGGGGTCGGCGCGGCAGAGCTTAAAGGCCGTGCAGAGTCTATCGGTTGCGCCGGCGTCGCTGGTTACCCAGTATTTGAAGCCCCATTCTTCGCGGAGAATCTCAGTGAGGGTGTGGTAGTCGGCTACGGCGGGGATACCGTCATATCTGTTCATGGTTAGAAACTTGATTGAACGAAAGTATTATGCACGGCAACGAATGTAGACTTACGAGTGGTACGCGCTCATGATACTCCAGGCTCCGGCATCCATGATCGCGCGCTTGAATGATGGCAACCAACTATATTGAATCGGTTAGTTAAGGCTGGGTAAAAGTATGGTTGATTAAAACAGAGTACATACGTTGTGCGCAGATATCTCTCTCCTCCGTGGACAGGCGCAGTGTTCAGACCTTGTTCGGGTTGGGAGAATCCCACAAAGTGCTTGACGTTGGCGGAGACATTGAGACTTTGGATTCCCTTGGTATAGTGGTATCCGATTTCTCCTGCGAGGTATGGATCTTCACCGTATGTTTCTTCGACCTGCAAATGAAGGTTAGGTCGGTTCTAGTAAGGAAACGTAGTATAAGCCTTACTCGTCCAAATCGCAGTTCACGGGCAAGATCAACCACCGGTCCCATCAGGTGGTTGACCCCAAGCGCCGTGGCTTCCTGACTGATGAGGCGTGCCATTTTCTCGATAAGCTGGATTGTGTTCATTAGCTCTGCTGTTCTCGGGGGTCTTGCCTGACGAGTCTTGGGAGGGATGGGCACACCTCCGGGTTGAACGAGCATGCGAACCCGATGGGAGAGTTGTAAATCGTTGCATTACCGATAAGGAATCCATGGAGAGCTATTAAAGGAAAAATTGTCAACGCGGGGCTCAGCGAATCGAACGTGACTAGAACTTACACTCTGTTTGAACAATGGCGGGAATTCCCAGAGTCGTGTTGTGGAGAAGATAGTCCTGAGCTCGCTTGACATTGTCTGCGATGTAATCCCAAGGCACAGGATATCCAACTAGAAAGCCATAGTTCGTTAGCTACCGTAATAATAAATCTGCGAGGTCAATTGCCTACCGTAGAACATTCCACCCCTCATTTTCGTACTCCATTCCAAACCCGTGAGGTTGAATTCTCCGGTAGTCTCATTCATCCAGTTGGTGATATCGCCTGCGATGATCGATTAGTGACTCGGCCATAGAGCTGTTGGTAAAGCGAGACAGTTCCAAATCGCACCCTGAATCAATTGAGACATCTTCTCCTCGAGGGTCATGCGACCCAACAGATCAGTGACACGCTCCTCCACCGGAACACTGGGGTCCTTGTAGCGAGGTTTCTCATCTTGGCCAAGCGACAGGCCAGACAAGAGGCCCAGGAGCAGCAGCCCCTTCGTAAAGACACCGGAAACCATTTCTCTCGATTAAGAAGAGCTTCCTTGAGTAATCGTGTCGCCCTCCACGCAGAAACGGAAGAATCACAAAGATACTCCGACGAGGGGAAGGGCGACGACTTTAAATCTCAGGCCAATTTCTCAGCCTGGCTTAGCCCGCCGGAGAAATGAAATGAGCTTATGGAAAAAAAGTATTAAACCCCACATACAGCAAAGCAGCAGGCCAAGGCTAGCTCTCCACGGAAGTGAGTAGGTTCAATTTAGAGATTGGCACCGGTTAGAATCCATGCGTCGTATAGCTCTCATGATGTCAGGTGCCGATGATTCTCCGGAGGGGGATTGCAAGGCATCACAGACATCTCGAGTGGATTAAATGGATCAGATTGAACAAATGAAAGGATCGAGAATGGAGAATGGGAGATTGTGATCCAGGCGACAGGCTTTCGGTTAATCACCATGCATACCGACAGCACTACCATGAATAGTCCGGCTAAAGCTCACGGCTGAAATGCGAGGAAGGTAATTTAATGAATGGTCCACGAATAGCCTTGAGGAAGCTTGTCCCCGCAGTTTAATTAATGCTGCGCTGGGGAGTCTTGGCTGCAGATTCCCTTCCAGACGGCTTGACGGCTAAAGTCCATGCATGATCCCCGTTTGGATGAACGTTGGAAGAGTCCTTTTCTGGAATCAGAATCTTGTGATAGCTCACTATCCCTGGAAGTCTGAAGGTTATGCTTCAGGGACTTTGTCAATCAGGGTCCTAGCTTAAATATCCGTGGGTATATGAACTGATCGTGGTCCACTTGTATGCACTCGGGATGCTTGTCCGTATCCACTTCTCCATCGTGAACAGACACTAAAACCCCTAGATCCGGTCTCAAATAGCAAAAAGTGGATAATTGCACCATGATCATGTTCCTCAAATTCATTAACATCGTCTACCAAAGATACCTATTCTAACACAGTCATGCCTTTTCCCTTCGCCATATCTTCATCGGCATCTCGCCCATGATCAGGTTAAATGCCTCGAACCGACCGAGCTTCCAATTGGCCGGCAGCGCAAAGTCATACCGATGCACCAGTGTCGCAAGGACAACAGTCTGTTCAAGATATGTGATATTCCGACCGAGACACCCCCGGGCTCCCGTCGAGAACGGGACAAAGTACGGCTCCATGCGCTTCCGGTTGGCCAAATCCATCCATCGGTCCGGATTATATTCCTCGGGATCCGGGAAAATTTCAGGATCTCGATGAGCCGAATAGCTTGTCATCGACACGCTGGTGTCACCCGGGATCCATTCGTTCAATATCTGAGCCCCTTCCGGCGGGGTCCGTCGGGGTAGTCCAGCTGATGTAGGGGGGATCAGGCGCAATGCTTCATCTAAACAAGCGCGTAGGAATGGAAGGTTCTTCACCTTATCGTATGGTGCGACCACTTCATCTTCGTCCAGGGCGCTGTCCACCTCTTCCCGCAATCTTTGCAGGTACTTTGGATGTCTAATCAACATATCCAAGACTTGCGTTAGGGCAATCGCTGTGGTGTCGGCCCCAGCGTTGATGATAGCGCCGACTTCGGCGACGATCTCACCCCATTCGAGGTTGTTAGGGTGCCCTGCCTTATCTTCCATGAGTGAGGAGAAGAAATCATCCAGTTTCTCTCCACTCTGGTACCGCTGTAACCGCATAACTGCTTGGTGGTAGATCACGTCGCCCCACGGCTCTCCATCTTTCCACATCTGGCGGTACTTGGGAACTAGCTTCGATAGTCTAGAAAGCCAATGGAAATACTTATAATCCCAAACAAAGAGTGACTGCGCGTGTGCGGTGTTATCCTGAGATTTGCGATACCGAGCCGGGTATGTTGTCCCATCCATTCTCTGAGCGGTAACCTCATCAGTTCCCTTCTCCAGCAGTCCTAGGGTGGACGAAAGGGCAATGAGATTGATGGCCTCAATCGTGAACAAATTGATCCACTTGTTGTAGTCTAACGTGAGATCTGCCGCTTGGGGTTCTGTTTGTCCAGGAAGTAGCGGGAGTGTGCAGCGCGCATCCAACGCTTTGACAAGGCGGCCGGTAACGTTGGCCACCTTGTGTTCCCATCTTTCCAGGTTCTTGATGGCGAAAGCAGAAGACATGCGCTTTCGCTTCTCGGCATGGTCCGCTTTGTCAATAACGTCGAATAGGTGTGTATGAGAGCCCCACGTCATAGCATACTTGATGTCTTTAACACATGGGGTGTTGTGCCCGTATATATCCTTGACCGCACCGATACGGCCGAAGGAAAGATTGTTAGGTCCAATGCGCAATATTGGTGCATTTTTGTGAGCTTCGTATAGGTCTTTGGAACGATAACCACACGAGCTTAGGTAACAGTAAGGAAGGTCGGTGAAACCCGCTAAGGGGGCAAAGTTTGGATATTTGCGAAGCCCTTTGGGGTCGTAGAGGTAGTATATGATAGGAAGAATGAATACGTACCCTACCCCAAGGGCAAGAGCACCGGCGGCAGCCAAAACATAGATTCCTGGCATCTTGGGGATGATTCTTGGGATCTTGCAATGCCGAATGATTGAGAATTAGTTCGCAGGTCCTGTCCACTTTCCTCCAACTATATATATTTCAGAGAATCGGGATATGAGTGTCATTTCCCGACCGTGATCTCCTCTTGAGCAATTAGAGCTGCCGAGAGCAGAGCCAAAGTTTCCTAAAAAGGCTATTGAGGGTCTCGTCGTTAGCTCATGAATAACGATTCGCGAGATAGACTCAACCCCGATGTTGATCTCATGCAGATGGGCCGATTGAACTTGGAAGCCCTAGCCATCCCAATGGGGAAATACTTCCTTTTCAAGAATTGGCAGGACTGCCTTATCGGTCTCTGATTCGCCCAAAGGGATTTCGCCGGGAACCAAGCGGGGAAATTTTACCCCAAGTTTCCCCACAGTTTTCCCCCGCAACTCATGTTCAACCACCATCCATGACCATGTGGTTACTATCTCTAGCCCTCAACCAGGAATAGGAAATGAGCAGTTCTGGAAAGCACAGGCCGGCTGCATGTAGGAGATGCAAAGGTCAGTACTACCATCTGTAAAGGGTAGAATTCCACGCACTAACATCAGATCATCCAGATCGGCATTTGCGATGTGAGTCCTCCAGCGAGGGTCCTCGTGCAAACAGGTCACCCTTTGGTACTGACTGCTACCAATAGGCGATGGAGACAGCCCCTGCAAAAGCTGCAGACAGGCCAGCTCAAAATGTGACCGTGGTGCCAAGAACTTCAAATTTCGACATGAGCCAATACCGAAACGAAGGTTTCATTTCTCTTCTGATCAGAAATGGGTTGGCCTGCCTCGGAAAGGTAATTCAACCCGCCCATTGCAGTTATACGTGAGATATGTACATCTACTATTCGTGATTCTGACTATACGCAAGGCCGACTCCATTATGTCCATGTGAACGCAGATGGTCGTCAAGAAAGCGACGACGATGATGATGACAATGATGATGACGCCGAAGAGAGCCTGCCTGAGGCCAAAGACTCTCATGCGTCACCATCCCCCAGCTCCATGATCTGGAGAAAGAGCCAGAAGCCACATTCCCTTTCAGCATCTACCCCGACGAACGCTAGCCATGACCACCATAGAGAAGAGCTTGGCCAGAGTTATCGGGACTCGAGGCACTTTAGCATTTCCAGTTTCAATGCAGTCGCTGGCTCCAATGAACCGTCTCCACAGTCGGCTTCTTACTATGCCCAGACTTCCGCGTATGATTGCTTGTCTCAACCTACCGACCAACCCGTGAATGTTTTTCCAGTAGAGCGAGATCATTACCGCCTGGGACCTTTGAAGGGCGTTCCCCAAACCTTCTCAGACGCCTCCTATACCAGTGACCTACAGGAAGCATGCTTGATACGCTACTTCGTGGAGAGGCTTGCTCATTGGGTACCCTTCCCCCCTCTGCTCCCATTATACCAGCTAACCACCCACAGTTCGACATAACAGACCGAGACCGACATTTCGCGCTCACAGTGCCCGGCCGAGCAATGTTCTGCCCAGTACTCCGATACGCTCTCCTCACCGCATCAGCCGGCCACATGCGACAGGCCCTAAAATGCCGCAACAACAGCAACGGCACTGTCATCTTCGACGGAATCCCACTGCCGGGACTCAGCGAAGACTCGGCAATCCGCTACCACAACATTTGCATCTCATACCTAATCGAGATCTCCAAAGACCCAAATGAGGAGTACAACGAAGACGTTCTAACCGCAGCGACCATCCTCCGCTTCTACGAGCAATTAGACGGTACCTCCTACCGCCCCCTCCCTCCCCAAATAGTATCCCCTCTACACAAACTAACCAAAAAACCCAGCCCCCTCAATCGGCACCGACACCGAAGCCTACCTCAAAGCCGTCCAATTCATAGTGCACACGCAGAACAACGACTCCTTCTACGCAGCCCAAACAATCCACGGCCCAACCCACGACAACAACATCCACTCCTCACCGGCAATCTCCCTCCGCCACGCCGCCTGCCTCATCGCCCTCCGACAAGAAATCTGGAGTGCATTCCTGCACCAACGCCCCGTGCGGCTCCCCATCTCCCCCAGAAACGACTACAACGCCTTCCCCACCACCTGCGACTTCATCTGGGCCAACCGCGTCCTCGTCTGGTGCGCCGACCTCCTCAACTTCGCCTTCGACAGCCACACAAACACTAAATACCCGACACAAGCAGCCCGTCTCGCAAAATGGAACAGCCTCAAAGCCTTCGAAACAAACTGGAATAACCACAAACCCCTCTCCTACAAGCCCATCTACTATGCGCCCCCGGAACCGGAACGGGTGTCTTATTTCCCGACTATCTGGCTCATGAATGATAGTCAGGTTGTCGCGGAGCAGCATATGGAGCTGGCGCGGATTCTGCTCGCCGTGTCAAATCCGGGGATGCAGCGGTTGGGGGCCGGGGCCGGGGCGCTGAATCGTGGGCTGGAGGCAGAGTTAAGGGCTATCACGAGGAGGGTGATTGGGTTGGGGTTGGGGAATCGGGCAGGGCCGCCGGCGTTGGTGACGAGTGCGGTTGGCATCTCGATTTGTGGGGAGTATTTTGATGATCCCGGGGAGAGGGAGGCGTTGGTGAAGTTTTTGGTGGACCTGGAGTTTGAGTATGCTTGGCCGACTAGAGCGATTGTGAGCGCTTTGAGGAGTGCTTGGGCTGCGTAGATCTATATGGGTGGGTTTAGAGCATGGTGGGGAGTTGTCTGTAGTAGTAGGTCTTTGGGCTTTGTCTTTTCGGGATAGATAGGATTCAATAGATATATAGATAGGTTTTTTTTGTTTTTTTTTTTATTTTTTTTATTTTTTTTATTTTTTTTTGGCTCTTTTGCATATATATTAGCGGCGGTTCAATGAGCACATACAATCAATGTTTAACTAATAGGCATCCTATAGTATACGTCATGCTACGATTATATGTTATCTGAATGAACCGACCACTTTGGAACCTCTAAAGTCTGTATTAAACACTATAACCTACAAAATGCCAACAAATTTATTGGCTGGTAGACGAAAGTCTACCCAAGAAGCCTCTCAACGCAAATGCAATATGTACTAACAATGCCAGTGAGCCAGCCACCCTGACGAGAGAGGGTTTTTACATCTGCGTATTTGTCCCAGTTTCCTCCTCGTTAGTCTGTGACTCGGCGATCTGCTCATGCTCGTTGCCGTGGCCATTTACTTTGCGTAAAGTGCCACCCAGCCATGCTAGGCCCCCACCCCAAGAGTCACTTAGGCTTCGGATCCGAGATACAGATGTAGAGCTATCGGGCTGCAGGTTTTGTGGAGCATCCTCTGTATCTAATGTAGTGGTCGATTGTCCGGCAGTGACAGGAGCGGTGGCAATATCGCCGGTAGAGTTGAACCTTGCAGTTGGCAGCACACCGCGGGGGTCCAGGCCCTCATCGATATTGGCGCTTTCACCGTCGCGGTTGCGAAGGAAACCATCTACAATGGTTGTACTGAGTTGCTTGCCCCGATGCCTCCGCACGAACTTGCGATCCTTTACCGGACTCGTTTCCCCACGGCGCAGGGACTCTGCTACCACCGCACTGAACCCGGCAGAAATAGTCGGAAGCAGCGGGCCCGGCGAGAAACGTGACGATATCGAATTCCGTAGCCGGCGCGCCGGCGGCGTCTGTGGAACAGTGTTGGTTCGGGACCCTGGCGATGCGGTTTCCGTTCCCGAAGCGGCAGGAACCTTGAGATTGTTGTCTTCGATTCCAGGCGCAGGCGGGAAACGAAGAAGAACCGGTGAGCCGGATGTTGCCGGCCTCGACTGTTCAGGAGTAACTGGACGGTCAATTTGGGGTATTTGGGGTTCGGACTTGGGGGTTTCAATGGCCGACTCATGAACATCAGCCCAAGGATTGGTTAGAAGAGAGTTAGGGTGCACGGGAGGAGAAGGCTCCGGGAACTGCTCGGTGAGAGACTCGGCTGTCAATGAACCGATAGGAGAAGATGGAGCAGCGGATGAGACACCCCGGGGCGTACGCTGGCCCTCATTAATTCCCTCAGTACCGTGACTGAGGAGCGACCCAGAAGGGGACTGCAGATGCTCTTCCTGGGTTTCCAAAGGCGTCCGTGAAGGTTTCTGCACTCTTACATGACGCGCAGAAGGTAACATGTCGACGCTGTCGCGATACCTCTCTCCCGCCAGCAGACCAATAGCCTCCTCTTCGTCATCAGCAGAGTATGAAGACTCGTCGTCACTGCGGACCCTGCCACTGGTGATGAAATATACGCCTAGGAAGGTCAGGAGACAACCGCCTATAAACTTCCCGGCACGGTCAAGGGTGTAATTTTCAAAATCACGGTACAACACCGCGCTTCCGATAATGACAGACAGTGTGAAAAGCACAAATTGAGTTGGGATCACCTGGGTGGAATCAAAACGCTGGAGAGCACGGTTGATGTAGCGAATCTGCAATACAGCGCTGAAAACCAGGACAAAAACCAGAAGGTAAGTGATTGGGAATGTAATCACATGCCATAGCGTGAAGGACAACAGCGACGAAACACCCTTTGTTGATAGAGCAGTATATCCACCTAGACACGAGAATAAGCGGTCGCCCAAAACGAGTCCGAATGGATGGAAGCTTATTATGATAACTTACCAAAAAGTGCCACGAGTCCAACATCAATCAAGACCGTCCGTGACCCGTACTTTCCACTTGCCCATAAGAGGCCAATGATCAAGACGGTGGAGATGCCTACATACGTCTCAAACTCCCAGCGGGTAATCATCACCCAGATCTCATGCGGTCCAATCTTCTCCTCGGAGGAACTAGCGCTGAGAACGACCACCACTGCACCGGTGACCGCCACGACCACGCCCCAGAAGTCGCGCCCCCGGAACTTCTCCTTCAGCATAATCGGAGCAATGACGCAGTTCGATATCAAGGCCACGACACCCAATGGGGAAACAATCGACGCTGGAGCAAAACCATATGCCATGAAGTTCCCGATCTCGCCGACGCACATCAACACGATTCCGACCCACCAGTACGGAGAGCGAAGGTATGATTTCCGGCGCGGATCCCCCGGTCGCACGGTTCGATCCGACATGAACGACTCGTTCATTTGATCCTGATGCGCATCCGTGTCCATATCATCATCGTCCTCCGGTCCGAGATCAATATGGGGCTGATCGTGATGGACGAACCTAACCTCTGGGGACTCGTCCCTATAACGACCGAAGCGGCGGGACTGGTTTCTACCCCGTGTTTCGTAGTCGCTGTATTCATGCTCTGCAACCGAACCATAAGTGTCTGTCGAACCCCGGCCTGGATTTGCGCGTTTCCATTCCGCCTCCTTTTGCAGTTTTTGATGCTCCCATTCTCGCTCAATCCTGATATGGGCGTAGCGCTGAATATTGAGCGCCAAGGAGATCAGGATGTTACCGATTAGCGCAGTCACGATACCGATGAGCGAAGACCATTGATGCATTCCTCCCCCACCCCCGCGGCCGTCATCTCCGGGGTCCGAGGCCAACGTCGGGGATGGCTGAGAAGAAGGGAATACATACAACGGCGAGAGGGTCGGCGTGGGGGGAGCGGCGGAAGAAATGAAGCTCGTGAGCAGACCCGCTGCTAGAGGCACCTCGTGGAGGTAAGCCATTCGGGATTTTCGAAGGCTAAAAGTAAGGGGAATGAAGGGGTAGGGTATAGGGACGGGGAGGAGGGCGTTCCGACAGCTCCGCTGTCACCGTCGAAGGGAATCGGTATAAAGTTTGAGCCCCAAATTATTGATCATCCACCATCCGCTGTATCTGAATAAGGAGAGAACAGGCAACGGCGCGGTTCGCCTCCGATACTTCAGCGGGTAAAATTCTTCAGGGTTCAGTTCAGCTTCAACCCTGGACGAGTGTTCATGCTGTTAAGGAGAACCACATTGCCGTACTCCCGACACTACTAAATCTCCGATGTGAGACACCACCCTTTTTACCAGTGCAGTGAACTATCACACTGCACCTTTACCAGAACTCAAGAAGCAGGAGTAGCAAAGTCTATAAATAATCCAACTGGTGCGAATCGAATGATTGTTTGTGTTAAGCACGATTTGCGATGTGGAGTCGGTGGGCGGGAAGATAGCCGAAAGACACCGGCGACGTCAGGAGTCAGATTAGTAGTTCGCTGGGCGTAGTTAAACTAAGATCCAATCAGTCGCACGTGCAATACCGCTAGTTAAAGGTGGTGAGCGTAAGCCCAAGCGCAGCATCGTGAAAGGAAAACCGAAAAGAAGTTCGGGGGGGGTGTGGGAATTCGAAGCTAATGTATTTCCAAACTAGTAGAAGAAGGAAGAACAGCACTATTGAAAGGACGAGTGGATTGATTGGCTTAATCCTGACTAACGACCATCTCGGTAGGGATTTTCCCCGAACGTCATCGGGCAGCTGAGATCCGATACTAGGTTAGTACACAGTATAAGTACATACTAGTCAAATCATCTGAGTACTTGTATGCATCTGTGCACCCAAGCAGCGGGAAAGTTTATTATTATGCTGTCACAATCTCTCTATCACTAAATGATGTGACACGCAAGGCTTATGTTTTCAGGGGCACCGGCGCATTATACTATACGAAAAAGAAAAAGAAAAATAATAATAATAAATAATCATCGCCTGGCTCTTTTCTTATCCGGCTCTTGCTCTCCTTCATCGTCACTAATCTCCCTATATATCGTTTTCGGCTGAGTTTCCTTCCATGCCTTAGTGAAAACTGGGTCCTTCTGGGCCTTCTCGGCGTATTTCAGCAACGCTTCTCGGGGATCCTCATCACGCATCGAACTGAGAGGAATACTCTCTCGAATATGTTTCTCATCCGGCTGCGACTTGGCAAAGGGAGTCGTTGCTGGCAGATGCGGCCTCCGTGGATCCTTGGGCCGTCCTGAGGCTGTAAGCCCAATGGTTGGGTGTCGGGAAGACCAGGTTGCCGAGCTATAATGGGGCACACCGTTCGATCCGACAACCACGTTGTCACCCGAGATACCTTGCGAAAGATCCATGGTGAGGTTCGGGTCATCATCGATGTGCCGGCGTTTGGGTGCCTTGGACATAACCAAGGCGGCACCTTTGGACGACATGTCAGGGTTGTAAAGTACATGTGTCTCAGCGTTGGCAGAGCCAGTGAGGATCTGATTGAGTTTCTCATGCCATTGAACTGTAATCAAAGGCGATCCTGGTGTGACCGGTGTGACTAATTCCGGCTTCAGTGTCGCGGGGTTCAAAATGTGCAGATGGCCAGTTTCCGAGCCCGTGAGGACATTCGCAGACGTGGGTGAGAATACGATGTTCGAAGTTGGGTATCGGGAGGAGCTGGACGGGTGCGCCACTGTAGTAATTGGTTGCTTGAACTTTCTAGTATCCCAGAGTTTGATGGTATCGTCTCCGCCCTTGGTGACAACCAGTCTTCCATCCGAGCTAATATCCAGCCCGCTAGTCCATGTATCGCGCGTATGAGCATCGCGAACCTCACCACTAGGTCGGGTAAATGGTCCATTCCCACTCCACATCATTAAGCTTCCGTCAAGGGCAGCAGCAACAAGTACATTAGGTCCACCCTGCTTTGGGGAACCCCATGCAACAGCAGTCATCTTACTCCGACCAGCGGATCCAGCTGCTCTTGACTTATGCATGATCACTTCTTTCTGTGACCGCCCAATATTGGCGTCCCATATACGTACCGTACTATCCGATCCTGCAGTAACACACAGGTTCTCGTCGGTGGGACACCATGCGCCGCTAGTAACTTCCGATATATGTCCCTTGGTATTATGAAGATCTCTCAAGTACATGTCTCCTTTCACAAATTCAGTAACGGTCTCGCCGTCGCGATCGAGGATTCTTGGTTGGGGTGTAGCCGAAACAACCATGACATAGGCTGGCGACAGGGGATTGAACGCAGCATAATGCACGGCATGCGCTTCCTGCACAGCGGATTGTTTTTTGGCGGTAGGATCAACAGACTTGAAGGCGCGCACCGTCGAAGGGGTCATCGAAGCGAAATCATGTAGTTTAATCGTACAATCTGTTGACCCTGTGATTAAACGCGAGCCGGATGGGTCCACTGTGAGAGTTGTTACAGCGCGCTCATGAGTGTTAAGGACAAGCTCGTGCGAGACAGGGAACTCGTCCTCATCATCATCATCGTCGGAGTCAGAATCATCAGAATCTTTATCGCTGTCACTTTCGTTCTTGTCTTTTCGATCTTCAGCTCCAGTCTGAACGTTAGCTTGCTCGTCGCTAATCAAACCTGCCTTGTCATCATCGGCGGTAGCCTTGGCAGAGACATTTGTCCGCTTGGTGCGGTCTATCTGAGTGTTGACATCGGTCTTTCTTTCTTGTTTCCCGAAGCTGCCTGGGAAGAACTTCTTGAAAGCTTCTTCATCGAATCCGTCCATCATGAGATGTACTGCATGTAGTTAGTCGGGTTTCGCAAGAAATAACTGACTGGACGGCGGCGATATCAAGTTTAGTTTGCATTAGTTGCAATGTTTGTCTGGTTTGCAAACTAAGCTCTCGGTGCCGTCATTGATACAGCTCACCTTTTATGTTGTATGATTTTACCATTTAATAGAATCGTGCTTTATATGTGAGTAAGGTATGCTGGCATATGAATGAAGAAATTCTACGCCATATAATGCGTTTGCGTCATTGGAACTAAACTAGGTACACCACCAACATATCGACTACAGGTACAAACCTTCCACGGGCCCTCCGTCTTGCTTCGTCTTCATGATACGTTCCCTAGCGGAGCGGAAATCCTCCATCTGCACTCTCATACGACGTTCTCTCAAAGCCATCAGACCGGCTTCGGTACAGATTGCTCGGATATCTGCACCTGAAAGGTCGTCCTTCTGGTTGATAAACTCGTCAAGATCGACATCATCGCCGAGGGACATCTTGGATGTATGCAGTGTGAAGATCTTCTTCTTGGTATTTTCTGTGAGGATGTTAGTAAACAGATCATTTGTTGTTTACAGAGGGTAACACGTACGGTCTGGGTTCTCGAAGAGAATCTTTCGATCAATACGACCAGGACGAATCAAAGCAGGGTCGAGTGTTTCAATCTTGTTAGTGGCCATGATAACCTTGACATCTCCACGGTCATCGAAACCGTCCAACTGGTTAAGAAGCTCAAGCATAGTACGTTGAATTTCTCGTTCACCGCCCGATGTAGAGTCGTAGCGCTTCGTACCGATGGCATCAATTTCATCAATGAAGACAATGGAAGGCGCGTGTTCCGCGGCGACCGTGAAGATCTGGCGCACCAAACGAGGTCCGTCACCGAGGTATTTCTGGATAAGTTCACTGCCGACAATCCGGAGGAAAGTAGCACTAGTTTGATTGGCGACTGCCTTGGCAAGCAGCGTTTTCCCGGTTCCTGGGGCACCGTAGAGAATGACACCCTTGGGAGGCTTGATACCCATTTCTTCATACAGCTCAGGGTGCAGCAGCGGAAGCTCGACGGATTCCCGAACCTCTTGGATCTGAGTCTCGAGACCACCGATATCCGCATAGGACTCCGTCGGGGCCTTGTCTAGCTTCATCACCGACACCAAGGGGTCGGACTCCTCGGTGAGCACACCCACAACGGAGACAGACTTGTGGTGTAACAGAATGCTGGCACCAGGCTCCAGCAAGTCCTTATCAACGAAGGACATGATAGAAACGTAGTACTCTGGCCCGGTAGCACTGGACACAATCGCATGGTCGTCGTCAATCAACTCTTCCAGATTGCCAACTCCCATGGGAGTGCCTCTCATGTCATCGACACGACCCCTCTCATCTGCATTTCGGTCCATGATATCGAACTCGCTTCTGCTGACGGAATCCTGTGCTGCTTGTGCCTTGGTCTTGCGTAGACGTTCCATATTCTCGACGTATTCTTCTTCTAGCAGCAAGTGGTCGTGGACCCGTTGCATTCGCAAGTATCGTAATTTGCATCGTGATGTTGGGTAAATGTCGGGGAGCTTGGAAGCTGTACTTGGGCCGGCAGCCTTGCGCTTCTTGCGTCCAAGACGGGTCGTAGGAGGAGGTGGTGGTTCATATCTGGGCTTGTCCTTCTATTTAAGGGACGCTTGGTAAGCGGATAGAGCTGTCTGAACGAAGCAATCGAAATTACCTTCTTATCCTTATCATCCCTTCCATCGCCCCCGGGGCCTCCGCCGATGTTGGACTGCTGGTTACCCTGTTGTGAATGACTTGTTAGAGAGACCGTAGTATGACTACGTGAGAGAGTGACGACAGTGAGAGTTGGGAACCAACCATAGTCCAAGTGTGTGCAGCGGAATCAGCAAGACGTTCGTTATACTCTAATTACCCGAACCAAAATGTTATAATGAAAGCGACTCTAATAGTCAGGGGGGTGGTTGAAAGATGGGAGGATAATGGAGGATGATGATGAGCTTTCGGCGAGCTTGGAAGCTGTTGTCGTTGTCGCCATCCGTCGGCTTGGCCACCGCTGTGACCCTCGCACGTGACCCCGAGCTATCATGGCGCTTTGGTGCCTTGCAAATCAGGCGGCTATCAAACAAATCAATGTCAATTGCCGCTGCGTCAGATTTACTCGAAACTATTTTGGTCTGTTGGGCATGTCTACAATTACGTACTACACAGTACTTGGACTGAATAGAAACCCCATATCTCAAATTTCAAAGAATTTCGAAAACCGTCTTTAACTTCCTCAGCGCTTGTCTCACCTGTTGATCTCGTCCCACTTGAACTAGTAGTATATCCGCAACGGACGAGCCCTCATTCCCCCGCGGCGCATCCCCTCCGTCTCACGATACAAGCTACTCTCTGACCGGTAAGGCTGTCTCCCTACCTCTGAGTCCCAGACACTATATTTATAGTTACCCTTTTACCTTCCTTCTGTCATTTCACTCTTACATCATATGCTCAACCGTCCGTATATGATCGTAGCTAACAAGGTGGGCATGTAGTTTGGTTTTACGCAGTGTTCCTAAGCTGCAAGCTCACCTTTGACGCCTAACCACACATTCGTAAAATTCTCACAACTGCCCCTTTTATATCTCGTTTCTTTACCTCACACAACTTGAACCCTAAACCCAGAGTCATGGCCTCCAACCGATCCCGGCGTATCGCAAAGGAAATAGCCGATATCCACGCAGATACGCAGTCTGGGATCACAGCCGAACCAGTAGGCAACGATGAAGACCTCACACATCTACGGGGCACATTCCCGGGGCCCCCAGGTACCCCATATGAGGGTGGCACCTATGCTGTGGATATAAAAATACCAACGGACTATCCGTTTCGGCCGCCAATAATGAAATTCCATACCAAGGTCTGGCATCCGAATATCAGTAGCCAAACGGTAGGTTTTTCAAATATGCAGCTAAGAGATAGCGGATCTAGTATCTAACCGCTTGCATAGGGAGCGATTTGCCTTGATACTCTGTCGTCGGCGTGGTCCCCCGTTCTCACCATCAAGTCCGCTCTGTTGTCACTACAATCTTTGCTCAGCACACCCGAACCTAAGGATCCTCAAGACGCAGAGGTTGCCACTATGCTGCTACGCAAACCAAAGGAATTTGAGAGAGTTGCCCAAACCTGGGCTGCCTTATATGCTGGGGCTCCTACCAAGAATGCGGGCGAGGGCAGCGGTGGTGCCACTAACGAATCCCTGCGACAGCAAGAGCTCAAGTCAAAGGAAGAACAGGACAAGGAAGACTTAGCTAAGTATGTCTCGCAGTTATGGCCATTTGCACTGGAAGGACCTTTCTAACGTCTTTTGTCTAGATACGATGGATACAATAAGGACTTGATCGACCGCTTCTGCAGCATGGGCTTCGATGTAGACCGTGTAGTGGCCGCCTTCAAGTACTACGGTATTGATCGGATGAACGGAGAAGACTACGAACTAGAAGAGGCCTACATGGGTGACATTACTGCACGGCTACTGGGTGAGCCGTAAGTCATACTGACGGTAACCACCTACGGCTAATCATTTTTCTATGACTATGCATGCTGAATGGAGCTGGAGAAGCGTGATGCCTAGCGAGATTCAATCTACTTTCTTTACTTGTTTTGCAGTCCAGCTTATTACCCATTACATGTTAACTTCACGTTAAGGTGTTCTCGTTTTGAGATCGATCTCATGCAATGATGACCAATAGTATACCGAATTATATTTAGCCGGCTATCGGATCTGTGTTCTATATCTTGTGTGAAGCAATACGTTACGTTTCTTTACATTTCCTCGATAAATAACCATGTCTAGTCTGGATTTTAATGATTGTAGATAAAGGTACTTAAAAAGTAGAAATCAATAAATTTATAGCATTTTACTAGTAGTATGTGCTATCGATAAGCACGTGGCGGGCCTTTTAAGCTCCTCTCCGCCTTCAGATCTTCAATGCTTAACTCTAACAACTCACTTTTCTCTACCTATGGGTCAATGACTAGCCACAGATCCAGACCTCGAGTGAACCTACAAGTAGTCAATACCTTTTCAGTCTGAACAGTGATAAATTTATTCGCCATACATTACACAACAGAAGCTCGTTCGAGCGCAACTCCCTTCAGCCACCATGATCGAAGACGATTTCTACCGCTCCTCATCCCAGTTCCGACTTTGGTCTTACACAGAGAAATCTTTACAATCCCTACGCGCAACGACAAACGCAAACGCCAGCGAGCGCGTACGATCAGCACTCCGGAAATCGCGAGAGGCCCAACAATCAGCCACCTCATCTGCAGCAGGAACACCAGCAGCAAACCAGAATGGAAGCGACGCAGACAGCAAAGCAGGCGGCGAAGAGACGGAGATCGAATGCCTAACACCCGAAGAAGAGCACCAGCTGGTGCGATACTTTTGCGAACAGATTATAGAGCTGGGGGAGATGTACAAACCCCCACTCCCAACAATAGTCCGGGTACGTCACACCATCCCTCCTCTACCATCTATACACACAAATCACGGTAAGACACAACCATCGACTAACCACCAAAACCCTCCCAACAGGCCACAGCAATCCAATACCTTCGACGCTTCTACCTAACCAACTCCCCAATGACCTACCACCCGAAATCAATCATGCTCTGCGCTCTCTTCCTCGCCACAAAAACAGACAATTACTACCTCTCCCTCCGCCAATTCGCAGAAGTAATTCCCGGCGGCACAACACCGGAAGACTTAATCCAGCCCGAATTCCTGGTCATGCAAAGCCTCCGCTTCACCTTCGACGTCCGCCACCCCTTCCGCGGCCTCGAAGGCGGCATCATGGAACTCCAAGCCATATCCCAAGGCATGGGCCAACCAGCACCCCACTTTCCAACCCAGACACCAGACGACCTCAAACGCAGACTCCATTCCCTCCCCCCATCGCCAACAACATCCTCATCCTCCATCACAGACCGACTCGCTCGCGCGCACCACAATACCCGCGAGATCCTCAAATCCGCCGCCCAGATGACAGACGCTTACTTCCTCTACACGCCGTCCCAGATCTGGCTTGCGGCATTCATGATCGCGGACAAGCCGCTAGCGGAATTCTACCTCGAGACTAAGCTGGGCAGACCCCAACAGCAGCAGCAGGGATCCCCGCTCTACGAACTCCGGACGAAGCTCATCCGTACCTTAACCGATTGCTCTAATCTCCTGCAAGCGTATAAACCCTTCGCCTCAGATCCAGACCAGAAGAAGAACTTAAGGCGCATCCGGAAGAAGCTCTCCCACTGCCAGAACCCAGACAAGGCTGGTGTTGCGGGCCAGAAGCGTATCCCTGCGGCGGCGGCGGCGGCAGTAGCAGCGGCTGGGGACCCGGCGACATCTGAGAGTGAGATGGAACGTCTAGCAAAGAAGCGGAAATTAGACGGAGAACAGCTGAAGGATATCTTTGGAGGTGAATTAGTGACGCAACGCACAAAGGACGCGCAACAGCCTTAATAGCAGGTTACGCTACTGCTGTAGATGTAGATTATAGAAGATAAGTCATGGTGTTTTGGACTTACTTATGTATAATTAGACTATGTTCAGCTGAATTTGCTGCTCAGTTGTTTCATGCCTTCGTCATTAAACAAAGCCCTACCATAAGTGCAGGCTAAAAGGGTCCTATGACCATCAAAACAAAAGTCCTACATAACGTCTATAACAAATGGTGGAATCATAGAAGTGTAAAAAGATATAAGAATATAAATTGAACCCTGAAACGTGAGGGGTCTAGCAGGGGATGAGGTATGAAACACAGACAGACCATCTAATAAAAATAAAGCAACCCAAACAAGCAGAAGCAGATATCTCCAGATATGTATGTAAGAAAGAAAACCGTCCCCCGCCTATGTCATTGTATCACTCAGGATGGATCATTTCTCCTGTAAGAAACTTTTGATTTCAACTCCCCTGCAGCTTTTGAGTTTTCATTGTCGTCTCAGACATTCCAATCATAACAAGAAGCGTCGTTTTCCTTCATTTTTTCCCGTGCCTTTTCTTAGACAGCACCGGCGTCAATCATCTTCTTGCGCAGGTGGTCCTTGTATTGGCCGATAGTACCATCCCACCGGGTAACGGTCTTGTTCTCACAGACCATGATGTCCTTGGCAATCTTGTCGAGGAGACGGAAGTCGTGGGACACGACGACGACACCACCGCTGTAGGCGTTGATGGCATCAGCCAGACTGTCAATGGTGGGGATATCGAGACCGTTAGTAGGTTCGTCAAGAAGGATCATGTTGGGGGATTCAATGGCCAACAGAGCGAACACGATACGGCTCTTCTGACCCTCAGACAGAGTGCCCATCAGAGCAGTCTGGGACTCACCGCTCAGACCATAACGGCCGAGCTGTTGACGCCAGTACTGGTAGTCCTGGCTCTTGTCGGGGAACTTGTCGCGAACGAAGTCAAGAGACGACTTGGTCAGATCGAGCTGCTCAGCAGAGTGCTGGCTGTACATGCCCAACTTCAAGTGAGTGTGACGGCTGACACGACCACCAATGGGCTGCAGCTTTCCAGTCATGATGCGCAGCAGAGTGGACTTGCCGACACCGTTGGGACCGACCAGAGCAGTTCTGGAATCCATATCAACACCGAAGTCAAGGTGCTCATACAGAGTATCCTCCCAGTTGCCGGAGTAGGAGAAGCTGACATCATCGAAGGACAGGACGGGAGGGGGAAGCTTCTCAACTTCGGCAAAGCGGAAGCTGAAGATTCTGTCGGGAATAACGGGCTGGATGAAACCATCGGCCTCCATCTTGTCGAGGATCTTCTGACGCGACTTGGCCTGTCTGACCAAGTTGGCATATGTACCGGCGGAAGCGATGAACTTCTTGATGTGGGCAATTTCTTCCTGCTGCTTGTTGTATGCCTTCATCTGGTTCGTCTCCTGTTCGCTACGGGTCTTGTGGTAGGAATCGTAGTTACCACCATAGTACAGGAGCTGCTTCATGCGCATATCAATCATGGTGGTACAGACACCGTTCAAGAAGTCCATGGAGTGGGAAACCAGGACGAGCGTGCGCTCCCACTTCTTCAGATACTCTTCCAACCACACACAGGCCTCAAGATCCAAGTGAGCAGTAGGGTCATCCAGCAGAAGCAGGGAAGGCTTGACGAACAGAGCCTTGGCAAGAGCCACACGCATACGCCAACCACCGGACATGTCCTTGGTCTTCTTGTTGATGGTGACCTTGTTGAATCCCAGACCAGTCAAGATCAAGGAAGCACGAGTGTGGAACGTAGAGGGATCCATTTTGTCCATACGCTGGACGCAAATTAGCGTATTCCAGACTACCAGCGGGAGAAAAGAGAACTTACATCATACAGATCCTCGAGGATAGGGCTGTCGGGGCCTTGCTCTTCCAGGATATCTTCGGCCTGCTTCTCCATCCGGTCAAGCTGGTTCTGAGCCTCAGTGACGACCCACTCCAGGGCACCAAGGTCAGTAGGAGGAGCACCTTCGTTCAGCAGGTAGATATCGATATGCTCGGGGATAGGGTATTCACGCTGGGCGATAGACTTCAGCAGGGTGGACTTGCCACAGCCGTTCTCACCCAGAAGACCGTAACGACGACCGAAGTTCAGTTCGAGAGTGGAGTCGGTGATAAGGACCTTGCCGTGGAACACCAGGGAAGCGGAGGTGACCTTGACGTCGCGAGAGGATTCCATGGAAGAGAGCACACCGGTCGTGACACGATCCGAAAGGCCATGCTTGTCCATCTGTGCTGTAAGCTTCTCAACTTCCTTCATCTTCTCGGTCGTGGTGGCAGGCTGATCATCGGTCGGGACGTCACTGTCGACCTGGGGGGACTCAGCACCACCCTTCTTTCCCTTGCCGAGCTTCTTCTTGGAGTCGCCATCGGCACCACGCTTTGCCAAACGAGCGGCTTTGGAAGCAGACACCATTTTGTCGGGTGTATGTGTTGGTTAGGAGAGGAGGGAGGGGAGGGGAGGAAAGCGTCAAGAGACGGAAAGGAGGAAAGGTCAAAAGCCTGTCGGTAAGGCAAGAAAGAAAGAGAAAAAAGGACTTCCAGTGAGTGGATCAAATAATAGCGGGGTCAAAGGGGGTCAACCAAAAGCCTTTTTCCTCTGAGTGGGTGGGGTGAAGTTTTCTTGGAAGCCCTTATCGATAGAGAGCACTCGGAATAGTAATCGGTGGGTGAGACGAAGCCCCAAAGAGTTGATTCGAGACAAAGGAACAAGAGAGAAATGAAACGATATAATATATAGCCCAGGAACTCAACAGGGAAACGGTTCTAGTGGCGATAACCGAAGATGATTAACGCCCCAAAAGAGATGATACTAGTAGGGAGGAGGAAAGAAAACAGAGATTTTGATGGTTTCTTGGACACCTTCAAAAATTCCTTCAGTGGGTCCCGCTCATTTGCCTCGATGATTGGCTTTCCGACGTCACCGCACGGGTCGTGGCGCAGTCTAGTCTCCTTTGGGCATCAACTGCACGTGATTTACAGCCTTATGCCCAAGGCACCAGTCTAGACTGGTCAGCAAATAGGGTAACACCCTTACTCATGTAGTGGCAGATGTGTCTCCTGTGGGACATCAAGCCACAGCATACTACCATGTGAGGTTCCCGCATATGCCTACCTATAGTATTATCTGTAAAGTATCCAGATCGATATCTTTCGCGATACTACTTACTTACATTGCAAGCTGTGGTACTAACAATAGGGTGGATAGTCTCTATTTCTATCTGTATAGATGATGATGGTTCAGTAATTAGATGGGAGAATATGCATGTGCTTAGGCCGCTTGATAGACAATGGGTATATGGCCCAAACGTGGGATATCGGACAACTAGGTGGTAGGTATTAACGTATGCGCTGGCTGATTTTTTCCAAAAACTCCTTTTCCTCTGCCGTTATCCAAACATTATCCGGGATGGAAACCCTCCCTTCCTCAATAACAATCCGTGCTGGAACGGTAGCTTCAGTGTCATCATCTGATGCAGTAGGGGTCAAGCTCTCTTGCTTGCCTTCTCGGGCACTTTCAATGTCCTCAACCACAACTTTGGGACGTGGCAGAGGATCGGGGGTCCACCAATACACCGGAAACCGTCGTTGAATGTTATTGATCACCAGCGCCACCGCTTGCATCATGATACACCCAAGAAACATAATCAGGACCAGAAACCAGCCAATTTCGTACCCTTCGGTGACAGCGAGGAGAGCTGTTGCGCCAGCAGGCGGGTGGACAGTCTTCGTCAGAACCATTGCGGCGGTGGTGATTGCACAGGCCAGAGCTCCCCCAACCTGAGGTAGTGAATTAGCATGGGGATTTAAGGCGAAAAGCCTTCCGATCCCGATACCAATAGCGCTCGCCATGACCTGGCTCAGGACGGCATTGCGCGGTTGTGCAAAGGGTGACTCAATAGCGCTGAACTCCAGCACAGCTGCGGCACCCTATCCGAACATTAGTATGTTGATCATTGCAGGAGTCTGTGTGACGTGCGCCAGGTACGTACAAAACTAGCCACAATAATTGGCGCATGGTGGTGCTGGAAAGAGGGGACATGCAAGGATACTTCGGCGACAACTAATACACCACAGAAGACGCCGATCAAGGACCAGAAGGCGAGCACGAGGTTACCCAAATTCTTTGGAGGTTTGTCCCCTCTATATCCCAGGAAGTGAGAGATGGGACGAGGTAGCCAGCGCCATGGCGGACGTGGAACCAACGGATTCAGGTATCTGTCGATATCCACATGCCAGCGGGAAAAATCCACGTTCCTTAACATCGAGGTCGACTGGAGTCTGTTCTACGCGCGAAATGGGTTGCTGCGTGTTAGGTCACAAACACATCCTCCGGGTTTATGTATCTGGTGAAGTTAGAGCCACTTGCCACTTGTTGGAGGTGAAAAAAAGATTCGATACAACGCTAGGTACAAAACAGAAAATATTCCCCAGCACTAAGGATATAAAAAAAAGTATGAAAGAAGTACAGGAAAGGATAAATAAGAACTGCTTGAAAGAAGGGGTCTAGGCTGAGCCGAGAAATTACCGGCAGTCGACAGAGGATGAGGACCTTGACTCATAGACTATCCTCTTGTTTTGATCATCTGATGCTCGCGGACAGTAAATGAGAAGTGGACACTCACCAGCCCTTGACTGTTTAGAAAAGAATAGGAGATTTAACCCGCAGTGTGTTCATGAAAGCGCCACTGAAGGTTGGGACCATGGGATACTTCAGTACTTTTAATCCCGAGGAATGACCTTAAAGCCAAGGGAAAGACTGGCAGACGGTGAACTGTCCGTACCGTATCTCCGCGGAAAGTCGAGAGAATACCCGTCTAGAATTGACGAAAGAGAACATTGTGTCGCTTGAAAGGGATGACGATGACGGTGCTCGTCTGCTTGGTCTGCCATTGAGCGCATTTCAATTAAGTAACAGATTTCCGTCTTGGGTTTAGCGGCATGGGGACCTGAGGATTTTCGTCGACCCCACAGTTTCGTAACGTAATTTACGGCGTGCCCTACGTGATGGAAATTATCCCCGATTCGTGGATTACCCCGGCCACATTAGGTTAGTTTCATGTCAATTCAATCATCCATGACCGTCTGGTAGGCCTTTTTATTGCTCTGAGTTCCCCTCCCTTCGCCGAGTCTTGCGGAGAATAAGCCGAGCTGGTCAGCCGCGCCATTGCTGACAACTTGCGCAGTCGGCGATGATGATACTAAACTCCAGAACATCAGAAATGTGCGCAGCTCAATGTGACATCAACAGAGACGAAATAACAATCAGCAATCGCCGAATACCGACTCTGAATGGACGACAGTCATAAGGGGTTTTATAGATGTGCGCTACTCGGCTCATCTTGCCAATGAAATCTATCGGTTGTTCGCATAACTCGTACTAGCAAACACTTCGGAAAGACCTCTCCTTAGGGGTAATCTTACCCAAAAAGGCATGTCTCTACCAACGGGTAGAATACAGCATCATATATATAGCAGTGAGTCACAAAAGGAGCGCGAGGAAAAAAATTGTCATGTCATGATCGTCAATACCTTATCTTTATATATATACAGAAATTTAAACATCAAGGGTCTTTCCTAGTCGTGAACTCTCCTTTGCCAACTCAATCAAGCGGATAACATCACGGGCCTCCGCTCCGCTGGCGGGAAGGTCGCCCTCCCCCGCAAGAGCGCGGGCAAGCTTCCTGTAGTATTCAGACCAGGTGGGAGGCTCCACTGTCGGCGCAACTTCTCTGACGGGCTTGCCGTTCTGGATAGTGGTCAGGGTACCTGGGAAGAATAACATTAGTAAGTGTGCTACTGACAAAGCTTTGTCTGGGAATGGGAGAGAGACAAGCATACCATATCTTTCACTAGGTTCTCTGCCGTATACGCTGTCGCCGGGCTTGATTCCGCTCTTGAGCTGCTCCTCCTGGACATCGAGATGGAACTGTTTTTGGAATATACGTCAGCTTATTGTTTTTAGGCTCTAGGATCCCGAAACCAAGCCTTTACCTTCTTAAAGCTGCCCTTCTCTCCGCGAACCCAGAACCTGAGTTGCTCTTCTTCCGGGCTTACGACAGCGGCCTTGGCCGTCACCAGAGGACCGTTGTTATAGTGGAACAAGACAGTAAAAGAATCCTCGTAGCCGGATGTGTTTACCGCCCGCTGAGAGCCAATGAATCCAGTGACACGGTTGGGCAGTCCGAACAGATGCACGGCCTGGTCTAACAGATGACTTCCGAGATCGTAAATAGCACTACCGCCGGGAACAACCTTGTTCTTCCACTTGGAAACATCGGCAGCGGGCTCTTCGGGACGATGACGATCGAAGTGAGTTTCGAATTCGGCGACACGGCCAAGGACGCCACTCTTCACGAGCTTGGAGGCGGTCACGTAATCGGCATCCCAGCGACGGTCTGCACAAAACTCATTGTTAGTCGCTGTTCTGCAGCATGCTGGTCCTCGAACGAGACGCTTCACGAAGAGTTATCACACATACTTTGGTACACAGCCAAGAGCTTGTTCTGTTTCTCAGCAAGGGCAACGAGCTCATCGGCTTCCTGAGTAGTGGGGGTGAAGGGCTTCTCGCAGACAACTGTAGTGGCTTCGTTAGCGCGCACGAAAGGAATTGATGTCGCAGATAGTTCCTGGGACACTCACCATGCTTTCCGTGCTCCAAGGCCAACTTCGTCAACTGGTAATGCGAGTCTGGTGCGGTAGTAACAATGACGACATCGACTCCGTCGTCCTTGACCATGTCCTCGGCAGTCCGATAGGACTTGATGCCGGGGTGATCCTTCTCGGCATCATCGTCAGGCTTCGGTGTACGCTGAACAACAGCGTAGAGTTTCAACTGAGGGACATCGGAAACAAAAGGGATGTGGAATGTTTTAGCGCTGAAGCCATATCCGACCACACCAACATTAAAGGTCTTGGAAGCCATAATGGTTTATATGGATCTATCAAGGACAATCACAAGGGTGTCAAAGTAATAGGGTTTGAAAAATATGGATTTGAAAGAGAGACCGGCCGGGCCTTGTGGAGCTTTATATACACTTAGGAAAATTATTCAAGAAGTCATATTAGCGATGATGTAGAAACACAGCTAGTGCGGGGGAAGGTCCTCGCGATAGGAACCTTTGGGTCCGGCGGATAGGGCGGGGCAAAATTCTACCAAATCTGGCAAAGGCCGACCGTCTGTCACGCTTCCGAGCCGACCGATTGAAATGCTCTTCCGCCGGAAATGCTTTTCCCGATCACGCCTTCTCAACTCCTACACACCGAGTAATCTCCAGGGCATCCTACAACAGTTAGCAATCGTCATTCTTAATATATAATAGGCAGGCATCGCTCACCCTAAGTCCCTCCGGTTGATTCAGGGTGCTCTCATACACCAAATTCGGGTCCCCGAGGATGTCAAATAGAGGCGTGGCATCCGCGCCAAGAAAGGCCCGCACACTCACAACAGGTATACCCTCCGTGTTATACATCTGGATTGGCCCCTTCTCGGCCGCCTTTCGCTTCTGTTCCACCGTGCTCCGGACATACTCCAGGTACGGTGGATTGCCCGGATAGAGCACATTATCAGCCACCAGAACCGAAACATCGGGAACGATCATGCCAATCTGCTCGCATAGTTTCAGATCCGTAGTATACGCAGGCTTGTAGTGATCAATGAACATAATTTCCACCTGTGGAACTTCACCACTGGTATACAACTTATTCAGAGACTGGTCGCTGCGACCCACCAAGATCTGGACAAAATCCCGGAGGCCTGCCAGATCCAGCAGCAGGGTTGAGATAGCGGCGAATTCAGGGCTCAACTCTAAACTGTAGTACTTTTTACCACCGGCCCGACGCACGGCATCGCCGAACAGGATGGCCGAGTAGCCCACGTAACCTCCGAGTTCGATCATAGTCTGGGGCTTGCGCTCGGCAATGAGGTCTGCTACGACCTTCCCTTTCTCGGGACCCACATGGATGAGGTGACGCGATTTAGCGAATTCGTCAATCAGATCCAGTACCTTCTGGGGGTTTCCCTGGATCTCATCCCGGTTTGGCTGGGCGTAGATGAAGTCTAGAAGGTCGAGTTCAGCTTCGTCATTGCGCTACTCATGGATCATGTTAGCACTGATTTCTAAGGGTAAAGACGCATCGAATCTATCTTACCTGACGAGTTGTAGGCTGGCTTTGCGACATTATGAATGATAACTAGTAAAGATATCGATAATTTCACACCAAATAAACCAAAGACAGGAAAATCTCACGTCTAAAGACGAACAATACCACAGATACTCCAGACCAACCGTGGTATTTATAATGTCAATCCCAAGGCAACGATCGTCATCATCCAAAACCTAAAGAACAAGCTCGGACATAAATAATTGTCCACCAACAATCCATAACCCCGAAAACGGCATTAATTCCGCCATCCACAAGTCTATAGAGACGAGGACAAGATTAGCTTATCTAGTCCGACACTAAGTATAGTCGTACCCCAGTCCAGCAACGTAACCTAATCTTTATCTCGCGTGGGAAACATCGGCCTCGGATACTGGGTTCAGTTTAAGAACCCGTAAACTCCGAGGTCTAGTTCGTTGTCCGACAATCTGATAAGGGTTTGAGCCCCTCATTTAGAATATCTCCGAAGGATCGAAGGATTGAGGAATCGACAGGGTTCGGTATCCTTTTTCCTTGGGTCTGAGTCATGGCATTGTTTCTTTTCAGCTTTGTGAGTCATATACAGGTTGATCGGGGTCAATGAGAGGCATTCTCTCGAGCGTGAGAATATGGTCAGTATAAGCCGCTGACGTCTATGATAGGAATCGGTATCTCCTGTGATTCGGGGTGATCACTTATTCGAGAATCGCTCACAGCTTTCCGTTCAGAGAGGTAGCAAAAAAGGTTGGGATTCTTGTTGAGAGATTTACTACACTTGAGTTATAGAAGAATTCATTGTCGGGAAAACCGATGTTCACAGCAGCTCTAACAAGGGTCTTAAGTGTATTGTCCCATTTAGTAACGTAATTGCCAGCGGGTTAAGCCTCGCGGCATAGGTAAAGATGACTCTGACGAGTATGGATATCTAGCAACGTTCCAGGGAGAAGGCAATTGCCAGCTCCGTACTGCGGGGGTGATTAGGTTTGCAGAATTAAATACTATTCAAAGAGACTAGAAGTTATGTCGCAGAATCATGACAAATGATGGCGATTTCAGTTTCTCTCCCTTCATCCTGTCCAACGGCATGTTACGAGATAGCAAGATTTTATTGTAAAGTTGGATCTGAAAGGCTGTGGAGAGTGCTGGGTATAAAGGCTGACCTTATTCACCGCTAGGAGGCTAGGCCTACATATCTTATAGTTACATATGATCAACGAACTCAACCACGGACAGTCAAATTGGGAACTTCCTGTGGTTTTGTACCATGCTTATATTTCGAGAGACCACCATCACAGCAAAGAATGGTTAAGAATGGTTAGGAATAGTTATTTACCTAGTCTTGCTGTTATATGCTTTTGCCTTATTTGGCTGACACCGTCCTTTGAATTTTCTTTCTGTGGATTGAGAAAGCATCACTAGATTGCTATTAGACAGTTTGCTTATTGAATCATTTGCTTGGAAATATTCTCTTTTTCTCCCTGTTTGGGTGGACTTACGTATCAACTTAGAAGCTGCGCTATTCGTCCTTGATCATGCCTGAAGCTCCATCAACCGCTATTAACTACGCTATTATCTCACATACCCAGTGTAGTAGGATTTAACGGGACGGAGTCATATCATGTAAATGTATGGTTGTTGACTAATTCCATGGGTCGTCTCCCGTGCAAGATTCATTTTTTAATTCCACTGGAAATCAACCGGCAGAGCGTATGATACGGTGACCTCTTCCAGGTCCGGGAATCCCCAAGTTTGATACCTCTACTGTCTATTTTAGATTGAAGAATTAAATAACAGAACTATTCAAGCATCAATGTGAGACAATGAAACTTTGAGTTTGTTTACTTTGGAAATATTATACCAAAACACACCCTTGTATTATCCGAAGTCACACTAGAAGTGCTCAGAGCCTTGCTTGCATACTCTATTGCCCTACTTGTAGATCTTATCAGATCAGATCATCCATCACATACATCTGAGGTTACCATATCCCCCGTTCATGTACTACGTCTGAAATGACATACCTAACTGCTTGTTAACTACCTCAGGAATTAGGCTATGCAACGAGTTAGAAGATACAATGTGAAATTTGGTAGGGAACCCAAGGGGTCTGTGCTGAACAGGTAGTGGGGATTGTCGATCTTCTTCAGGCGCATTGCTTCGTGGGCTGAGGGCTGATTGCAGATCGCTTGAATTTTCTCCGTTCGTTCTCTCCTCTCTCCTTTTTCTTTTTCTAAAAATATCTTTTTGTCTTTCTATAAAGATTTACGAACAACTGCATCGGCAATAATATTGTGCTCTATGTATAAAAATGGTGAGGTTGATTGTATTATACTGTGTGAGTATGTCTACTAAGGTAGGGCTGGATAAATGAATGGTTCGTTCATTCGATCCCCAAAAAGCATTGGCAAAAGTGAGACGTGGATGGATAAAGTTTCGTCCACAAAGGGGGAGCCAATGACAGTTAACTAGCATGTGATTCTTGGAGCAAGGGGAAAAAAAAGACATTCAGCTGAGGGTTTCAGCCCAGCCACCTGGATTGACAACAAAAATATTAACTAATCCGGCGAAATGCAGGCTGACGTGGTCGTCTGGTCGCATTCCGGAGGGGTTCGTGGATGAAGACATCTGAGAATAACAGGGCAGTTGCCCACCACCGATCGAGTCTTTCTTCACAACTCTATGCATATAGCGATCAAGAATTTGGCCTCATGTCCATCCCCACAGTGAGACGAGCCTTTGGCTCAATTCCGAAACAAAGTACGCTCCAGTCCGTTCGAGGGCTATTACAAATCCAGATTCTCGCCCTTTTACTACGAATCGCCATCTCAATCATCCTGCTGCCGCTGGATAACGCCATCCTTTTTGCCACGTACCTTGTCGGTCATTTTTCTGTATTCCTCTCGCATTCTAACTCAGCTCGTCGCCGGCAGGCCGCGCGACGTGATGTCCAATTCTACCCGAAAACCATCTTCATCACCGGCATTGACACCCCTTACGGGCTGGCCGTGGCACGATGTCTATACTATCACGGTCATCGGGTGGTGGGTGCCGACATCACAGATCTCCCGTTCGCATCGGGCGAAGGCATGTCGAAAGCGCTAGCGATTTTCTATCGCATCCCGAGGTCAAGCTATGTGTCCCGCCTGCTCGACATCATCCACAGGGAGAAAGCCGATATCTGGATTCCTTGTTCGTCGCGGGCGAGTGTTCTGGAAGATGCAATGGCCAAACAGGCAATTGAAAGTCGAACGGCGTGTAAATGCATCCACCTGGACACGGATCTGGTGAATCAGTTTAGCGACACAGAATCCTTCACTCAGTATCTAGTCGAAAAGGAATTACCCGTGGTAGAAAACCACCAAGTGCAGTCGCGCGACTCTATACACAAGATCTTGCATCGGTCGCCGAGCAAGGTCTACCATATGCGCCGACCAGATCTTACTGTGAGCGACAACAAAGTCGTCACATTACCGAAGAGGACCCTAAGCATGACTTATACGGAAGTCAGCGAGATCCAAATCTCCAAAGACCGGCCATGGGTCTTGCAGCAACAAGCTCGGCTGGGGGAGTTCTTCGCTGAATTGCTGCTTGTTGGTGGACAGGTTAAGGCCATCAAAATTCGTCCAGCAGACAACCAACTTTGGGGCCACTCCCGTCTAGACGAGGGGCTTGCATTGGCAATTCATCGGCTCATGGACCGTTTCGCATGGAAAGGGGGGCATCGGATGACCGGCCATCTATGCCTACGGTTAATGGTTGACGAAGAATTTGATGCTAACAATGTACGCTATGTAACTCATATTGCCGGCTGCACTCAAGGCACAAGCGCTGTCAAGCATCTTCTGGAAGGACCATCACCTTCGTTGATTGATGGATACTTGGCGGTTCTCTCATCACAACCCGATGATACGTCCGCGGACCTCGACAGAAAACGGATGCAAGCTAGAGCAAGCATATCATCGATCCCACGTCGCCAATTCAGCTTCTACGAGACGCTTAAGCAGTGCGATGTCCGGAGAGTGCTCCCCTCTCTTTACCCGGTTGCCCAGCAACTCGACCATTTCGTCAGCCAGGGAAGCGATCTTTTACTATTCTGGAAGGATCCTCGTTTCTCGGTCCTTGATCCGCTGCCATGGTGGTGGAATGCACATATCTACCAACCACTGAAAGAATTGGAATTGGTATTGAGCAGGAAAAATGTCAAAAGGCTGTAGCAGTACCCACTAGGTCACCTCACCTTTCTAAGTTTTTCTTTTATATTTTGCCTGGCCGTATTATTTACCCTTCCGTGGCTGGGGGTCTTTGGGATATGAGCATAATCACCACGGATGGTACTATAGAGAGCAACAGGTGGCGTCTTCAAAATTATAATCATTATTGTACGTTGTCATGAACACAAAAACTGAACGAACCCCTTAACGAAATGATGTTATGATATGAAAAAAAAAATGGAATTTATTTGATTTTGGATGGACTGTCAGCTTATCATACGCTTAGCAATTCTCATGTAGGTTCTAAAGCATGGAAGCCATGTGTGGTTCTCCGTGTTTCCAATAATAGGAACGCGTCTATTCCGTATATTCACAATCTCTCAGTGCTCGTATTGGTGATGATAGATATGTTCTTGGCATCCCACATCATATTTACAACTACATGTCGAGCAGTTCTACGGAGTACCTAGTGGATATAGATTGCTGCCTTCTATGGGGTGGTTTCCGTGGCTGTGATGGCATTGCTGTGCACTGCCACTACACCACAAATGATATTGAGCTCAAATGGGCGTTGCCTAGCAAATTCAGTCTCTGGCTTTCATGGAGGTTGCCTTTAGTCAAATGAACAGACGATTAAAAAGCGTTAGTACCCTCAATGGTGCCCAACTAAGGATGAATAGAGGTCAATGACGTGTTTTTCCAATTGTGGCCCACAGTCCAGTCTGGATTAATAACAATGGTATTCTTTTTGGGTTCCAATAAAATGACAAGTGATTTGGATTCAGTAGCGTTCATAATTTCTGGTGCATTTAATGCACCTCTGCTTCTATTTCGGTGGCCATTAGGGCCACTAGACTGGAAATGGTAAGGTCGGTTACCTGGATACAGCCGCGTCTGTACAAGTACGGTAAACGCATGACTTCCTCAATACTTCCAAATTGATGTTCCTTGCATCGAGCTACATCTCGTTCATTCTTCTGTCTCTGATCACTTAATATGAAGCTGTAGTTGTGTATGACCTTTTGAATCATTCAGGAGTTGGGACAATTGCAAGCCACTTTACCACATCGGCTGTGTTGGCAAAGCCTCTGAGTCTCCATCCGTGAATTTTAGCGTCCGCGCGGCATCGATCGGGTTGCCCCGTTGATTGCCCTCGTCGTCCGTTTTTACGGCCTTCGCATAAACAATTGCATTCCACCACTTTCTAACGCTGTTAACGATCTGGTCCCTTTTTTTTGGTTCTTTTTTTTTTTTTTTTATTCAGCCACAATATTTCAACTTGCATATCTACAGTCTATTGTCAGTTACAAAGAATCCCCACAGGCCTCATCTCCATCAGCGATCTCTCAACCTGTTTCCTCGTGAAGGAAGCCCTCTTCTTTGTCAGGCACCACCCTTCGTATCCCCTCACATTCCGCAATCATGAAACTAGCACGACCCTCGATTAATCCTGGGCGGACGAAAAACATCATTCATGGCGTTCAAGGGTTTATTATCTTCTTAGCATGGGCTTGTACCATTGCCGTGTTCACCAAAGGTGATGGTATTGATGGTCGATCAGCCTGGTACTGGGCTTTGGTATGCTTATCAACTCTGTTCAGCGCAAGCTGACGACACGTCATACTAACGGCATTTTTGGTAGTGCTGGTTCAGCATCCCCGGTCTCATCTATCTCGTCGCGGTGCCTATGTGGCCGCGCGCACGCCGTTTCGGAAATGTCTATGCCTTTGCGACTGTCGACTGCCTGTATGCCTTGCTATGGTTTACTGCATGGGTCTGCGTTGCCAGCTATGTCGCGCAGGGGAAATCCGAGGGTAAAGACAGCAACCAAGAGGACAAAGACAAGGACAGTGACAAGAAAACTGGATGCGACAACTGGAAGTATGGTAGTGCCAGCAAATGCAAAATCAGCACGGCTACTTGTATAATGGGGGTTGTCATCTTGTACGTCTCAGATTCCGAGGTAAACCAGCTTGCGGTATTGCTAACATAAGGGTGTCTACAGTTTGCTGTTCATTGTGACCGCATTTATGTCCTTCCGTAACGTGATGCACTTCCGCCGGACCGGAACCCTGCCAGATGCTGTCTCCGACCCTACTTTCGCTGCGCAGAGCCAGGCCGCCTTCTCGTCGAATCCCGCCCACGATTTTGAGGAAGAGGATGATTTCCGGTCCGGCCGAGCTGGTGGAATGGGCTCGTCCGTCCGTTCCGACCGAGATGAAGACTATGCCCTCCTGCACCAGAGCGAGGTAGATGAGTTCGGAAACCCGAACGGGCGCACCGCGATGCACGGCGCCTACGACCCCACCGCGTCCAATGCCGGCGGAAGCGTCCTTCATGACTACAACACGGTCAACACCGCCACCAGCTATGGCGGTGCCCATGGGCAACACTACGCTCCGAACTCGGAATACGCACCGCCATCGGAATGGGGCATGGGCTCCAGTGTGAGCGGCTACGGACGCTAATCTACTCCCCTCTCGAAAACTCTCGACTTTGTACCTCAAATAACCATGGAGCGGTGTTGCGGCGCATACCCGTGCTGTATTGTGTTTTATTCTGCAAGTGTTTTGATACAGATGTTCTACATATGATTCTTTCCGTGTCCGGGCGATGATTGTATGCTGTGATTGATTAGAATTGAGACCCGGGCAGGTCGCATGTTCACTGATGATTTTGACGACATTCTGCTTTGTTGAAGTTCCGAGCCTTGGGAGACAGCCTGTTTGATTTATAATTTAGCTAGTACTATATCACCTGTTATGAACTAGACTATCTTTTGTTTCACCTGAAGGGCTACACGGTGCCTGGCAGTAACAACCAATAAGCATCCACAATCCTGTGGACAGATGGCAAAATGCCGGCAGTTCCTCACCGCCTCCCGTATCAACGCTACTGATCTGGACAGCTTGCGGTCTCATGTCCTCGTACCATATTATTTTAACAATCCATACAGCCTGGCCTTTAGACTGTGTAGGCCCTTCGATACGGTCACTTTAACCTTCTAGTTTAGCCTACCCAAGATAGAGCCCCAGGTAAACCCCCCAATCCATACTTTCACCACTCAAACTAACCCATCAACCAGACCAAGAAACCATCGAAATAACTCACCATCCAAAAACAACAACCAACTCAACCCTCAAAAAGAAACAAATACCATCCTAATTCCAACAATCCAAGAAAACACCCAAAATGGCCGACAGTATCGACATATACAACCAATATCCCTTAGTCCTAGACCCAACCTCCAAAGCCATCAACCTCTCCTCGCAAAACACAACCCCAGCCTCAGCAAACACAGTAACCACCGAACTAACCGAACTAAATGCCCTCCACCGCGGCCTGATCTCCCTCGACCCGCCCAGCATCCCCCCACCCCCACTCCCTATCAACCCCAAGCGCAGCGCCCAAATCACCAAGCTCCGCGATAGCGCAAATACCGCCTACCGCAAGAACAACTACGCCGAGGCGGTGCGGCTATACACGTTTGCCATCGAGATGGGGATCGCACGGCCCGGATGGGAGCCTATGAGTCTTGCGAGAGAGGAACTGGCGGGGTTGTTTGCGAACCGCGCGCAGGCGTATATGGCGCAGCAGGCATGGGCGGAGGGTCTGGTTGATGCGAAATGTAGTGTTGAGAGTAAGCCAGTCGGGAATGTGAAGGCTTGGTGGAGGGCTGGGAAGTGTTTGGCTGAGATGGGCCGGTGGGATGAGGCGCAGGTTGCGATTGATAAGGGGTTGGAGTTTGAGCCGAGGAGCGGGGATGGGGCGAAGGAGTTGCTTGCGTTGATGGAGGAGGTTACGGAGGGGTTGAAGAGGTCGAGTACTTCTGCTTAGATATTGTTTGTCCTCTGGGGAGGATACATGGTGGTTTTGTTGAATGGGGCCTGCATACATCCTCGGGCTGTGTTATCATCTGTGGTTCTTCTGTGTCTGCATGGTTTGTTATTATGGGTTTTGTTTCGTTAGTTCCGGCGTTTGGTTTGGAATGAACTGGTCTTGATATCTAGGTCGATGGATACAGTAGAAGGGCAAACTCAGTCACCCACCCAACAAGGGTTCAAAAAAAGAAAGATAAGAAAATAGCCAGTACAGGATAGATAGATAGATACTAAAGGGAAATCGTTATCGATTGGTCATTCCAATACAGGAATTGGAAATTCAAAAAGTTATTCCGATGCGGGGAATCGAACCCCGAGCTGCTGTGTGAGAGACAGCGATGTTAGCCATTACACCACATCGGATGTTGTTGAAGAATAGCTCTTTATCTTTATAGATAAGCCAAGGAAATTAAAAGAAGGATGCATTAGTACTACGTATAGTACTAGAGAGAATGTCGTTGTAGGGTTGTGCTTAATTACCATGTCGTGGCTTGTAATATTTAATTCCCTGTCAAGGAGCGTGTAGATGGACCAGACCTTGTCATATTGATAGAACTGGAGTCTTTGGCTGAATCACTTCAGTTCCCTCGATATATATATATATATATCTAAGATCGACTTGATCAGGAAGAGTCTAATGAATATATCGAGACAAACCACCAGAAAGCCAAAAGCCTATATATAGATAAGCTCATATAAAGAAACTATCACTATTCCATTACAGAATCCCATAAAATAGCGATCAAGTATGCGACTGTGCAACTTGCCATCGGCGAAGGCCACTACACAACAGTAGTAGCAGTAAACTAAACGTAGATAGTATGCTACCGTGGAACTCTCTTCTGCGCTTCCTCACTTAAGATTATTTTATAGTTTCTCTTATTTCATACATACATATCATGTCCTATCCACTAAGACATTTAGATTTTATCTAGGGTATATTCAAAGGCCCTCCAGTGGCCCATCGATTTTAAGCAAAAAGTCCGAAGTTACTCCGAACCAGACGCGAGGTGGTCGATTTCACGCCGAATGTTCCAAAATTGACCTGGCCGTACAAAGGAAACAAACAAATGAAAAAACGCAATAAAAAGAAATAGCCCCATGATGGCAAGTCTGGCCTTACTGTCGCTCTGCGGCGTCCAGGCCGGACGACCTTCTCTCCAGGGGATGGGGAAGATCGACGCTGCTGGTTCGCACATGGTCGTATCGTCCATGGGACAAGTCGAGCGACCTCATGCTCACGGCTCGCACTGACTCGGGACGGGCCTCTTGCCCGGCTTTGGACAAAGTCAAGAGGGAGATTCCGATGAAGTTGAGGAGGAATCCACACATCATGGAGGTAATGCTGGTCCAGTCGCTGGTGTTCAGGCCTTGGTAGAAGATGATGGAGGCGGTTAGGGTACAGGTCGTGAAACCAACGTAGTACATTGCGTTTACTCTGTGTGGCTGTGAGTACATATTTGTTGATGTCGGGGATACTAGATACGTACAGCGACGCAGGGAATTCACCCATTGCTTTGTTCAGGTAGTTCATTTGGGTTAGGGTGGTGACTACCAGGACCAGAGAGAAAACGTAAGTGGACGCGTGGGTGAACTGGTTGTCTCCGGCGAAGGTGAGTTTGATAGCAATTCCGAATGCCTTCACGGACATGACGGATATCGATCCCACGGTGGAGCAAATCGATAGATAGACCAGCGGGTTCGTCCGGCCTAGTCTCGGGGCGACTTTGTAGATCATGTAACTCGCAAATACGGTGACAAGGGTGCAATAGATGAGAAAGCCTATAAGACGCCATGAGTATATCGATATTGATATTCAAAAAGTCATCCCAGAGAAACCGACCTGGTTGAATCGCTAGGTGCAGGATTTCCTCAATGGTCTGGATGTCCCTGTCACCCGGCGCATGGAGCACGAGCAATATCGATCCCAAAAGGCAAATGGCGGCTCCGAGTTTACCAAGGACTTGTATATTCTCGTTGAGAAAGTATGCGCCCATCAAGGCACTGGGACTGATTAGCGTAGGACATACGGTTGGGAACCATATGACGTACCTGATGAGTACGCTGAGCGCCCCGAGCGGAGTGACCAGCACTGCCGGAGCAAAAGCATAAGCGGCTGTGTTCATGAGTTCCCCCGATATCACTGTAACCGTCAGACTCTGGCGATGGTAGCTCGACTAATAGCCATACGTATGATCATTCCACACCACCATAGTGGGCTTCGCATATATTCAAATCCTTCTCCACTGAAGCCATATTTCTCCGCCGCTTGTACCAGACCCTAGTTGACTGCGTCAGGTATTTGGTTCCTTTGAGATGCGATCCGCGGCGTACCTTCTTGGTGATGACATAACTCGACCCTGCCCATGGCGATCGTTAGCAAGTTATCCAAGCGTGTATTACCGGGACCGGTAATTTTCTTTTCCTTAGATGAAGAAAACAAAGACAAGAAAATATAAGTAGACACATACCAATCGCTACCGAAGCCAGCACAGCCAGTGCGAGGCCAATAAATCTGTTCAAAAGCAAGCGAGTCAGTGGCTGGACGGGGGACAGATCGTCTGTGCGACTACGCAATTACGTACTTATCATGTGCTCCCATACTCGCCAAAGCCTCCAGACATTGGATTGGGGGAGAGAAAATAACGGAGAGAATTAATGCGAGTGGGCGAGACGAGGATGATACCACGTGCACCAGGCAGGGGAAGTTGAGTTTGTTTCAGTGAATCGGCGCGGCTCGAATGCGGGATCACAGCCACAGCCCAGGCACCAACGCTAGTATACTAAATACTAAATTTTTTTTTTTTTCTATTTATTCCGTACCAGACATGGGAATCCTCTGGGAAGCTCCACCGTAGTTTCCGTCTTACAAAACTATTATACCGGTATCTGCATTTGTACCGTTTGACTTTGGATTGTGTTTCTTTCAGGGTCTCACAACCTTATCTTTGTCCACCTTCTTTGCTGATTGGTTCTTCTGCGGTTTCCTGTGCTGTGATTCGTTGCCCGCGTGATGCGGGCGCTATGACCGTAACCTTATCGATAAGCTCAAATCACTTTATTTTATACCAGAGTTTGTTCTTATGTAGTTATTTACATGTACCTGGTAAAAGAACATACCTTGATGTCTACATTGTTCTAAAATTGTTGAATATGTGCACCGTATAGTACATATAGTGTATGGTCCTCTTGTTGCCCGGATATGCTTGCACCGACCATAATTCCCTAATTCCCTTGAACATTTCAATAGCCCAATATGTAGTTATGGCAACTTGACAAAGTTATACAATACCTCCACACATGAGAAGTACACACATATCTATCTCTTCAAGAGGAACTGTAAAAGAACCATAGACACAGTCAATGACTACCATACACAGTCTATACCCAAACAGCCTGCAATCTGTACAAGAAACTCTAACCAAACCCTAACTAACCAATGGCCAACAACAACCTCTCGCACCAACATTCCGTACACATCCTTAAATCTAAAGTAAACTACCCCCAAACCTTCCTACTCACCTCATCAAAACTCACCTCATCCTTAAGATCCACCGCAATCTTCTCATCAGCAGCAGCCTGCCTCTCCGTAAGCGGCAGCACCTTCTCCAGCCAACCGATCGATATTCCACGCAGGAATAACCGGCTCCCAGGGTACATCGCCCGCCTCCAAGCCGGAGTAGTGGTACCAGCCCCAGAACTAATATTCCATACTAAAACAACAACGATGACATTGTTGGACGCCAAAAACACCTTCGGCTTTGTGGCGGCCAATCTGGCAATCGACAAATGCATTGAGATGGCACACACACCTATGGGATGGTGATGGTGGCCGTCCGGAACAGCAACCACTACGGTATGGGGGCTACATACGTGCTACGTGCTATTAAGCAGGGGTTCACCTGTGTTCGCGTACACGAATGCGAGTCGGGCGATGCCGCCGTGGTGAGGGGCGATGTTTGACGAGTTGTCATTTTAAATGTGGATTGTATTATATACCTACACACTTGATGGCTAGAGTATGTCATATTTCAGCTGCATTTATTATGGGAGGGCCATTGGGTTGTTATGCTGGCGAGTGTATACATACATACCTTCGAAGTTCTCGACATGCATAGCAGTTTGCTCTGGCACACCGTTGACGTTGAAACATCACATGTCACAGTAAAGTGCTATACCTAACTCCTAATTGAACCGCATAAACAAGCAGACCAAGCCCTAGCCTTAGCGTAGGCGATAAACCTAAACATAGGACTATTATCCGCCAACTCGGTAACATCAACCGCAACTCCAGACTCAGACTTCCAAACCTTCCGGTCCCGATAGCAGACCGCTCTGTGGGTATTTCCCCAGTCACCCCCCCAGACGAGCCAACAATGAATATCTGTGGAAAGAGACAGTCAAGGGTGAACAATGCATGAGTTTGCGGGGAGTTAGGGTTTTCTCTAGATAACTGAAAGCTTCTCTGTTATAACGTTATGTCTGCGATCATTCTCCCGACGGATTATCGGGAGACTTTCCGAGCTCCGCATCCAGACAAAAGGGACCTAAAGATCGAAGATCGAATCATTAATGAACCTGGGTATAATAAGATCACGAAGTATTACAAGACAAAAGGTAGTGATCGGGTACGAAAACTTAAGTATTGATAAAGAGGATACCTTCACTTGGACAGCTTGAGTTCAAATTCAGTCAATAATAATTTGTTCATCTTGATACCATGGAGTCTATCGACGTCGACACTATTCCACCTCCGGAGGCTTGGGGCAGCCACGTTCACATTGTGGATGAAGATCAATTCCCGTTGCATCCGCTACATCCCTTCTGACCCAATAAAGCCCCGTTATCTAGTCTATATGCTTTCCACCGCAGCTTAGGTATTGAGCATGCATGCTTGGTTGCATTCTCCGCCTATCACACAGATTACAGTTCCATTCTGGATGCACTCTCACGCCTTGCTAAAGGCCGCGCAGTAGCTTGTATCGATCCGAATACTGTATCGGATGAGGGAGTTGCAACGGCTACACAACGTCGGCGTACGGGGTGATCCGCTGAATGAGGCTGTAGTGATCGTAGTGGCCGACCGCGTGCGGCCTTTGGATGGGTTATTCAGGTGTACATCGCCTTGGAGCAGACCGTCGAGCTTGCACCCCTGGTGCCGCAGATCGGCCTCCAAGTTGTCATCGAGCACATTGGGGCGCTAGACTAGGCTCGTGGGCCTGATAGGCTGCAACCGGGGTATGTCGGATTTATTTATCTCCTCCGTATGGAGCAGGTGTGGACACCTTTGAGCGGCACATATCGTTTTCCTAATGTTCCAGATCTCGATGAGTACGTGACCGACATGTTGCGAACGGCAACAGATCGAGTAGTCTGGACGAGTGACTGGCCGCACAGCGGGGGCATGGGGGCCAACCCAGAACGAGATCGCAAAGAGGTGCAAGAATACCGGAAGCTTGATGATACAGCATTCATAACTAGATGTAGAAAGCGGTACCCAGATGTTGAAGGCGGCACTGGAGACCAATTGGCCTGCAAGATCGGGGTAGAAAACCAAAGAAAGCTGTGGCAGTGGGATGACGACGAATGAGAAGGCCGTGAAAAATATCATGGATATACATGATGGAAATAGTGATACTTATGATCCAATCTGGTTTGGAGTACAACTATGCTGCGGGGAAGAAGCATTCTCCCCCAGAGTCCATAATCCCATATTGAGTCTCAGGAAAGCAGTCCAATAACGTGAAACTGTCAGGATCTGTGCTTCCACGGTTCAGGTTAGCGCTGTAGCCCAGGTCGAGGTCTGGGTACGGAAAAGCTGGCAGGTAGTTTCTATCCAACGGAGTTGGTCCGGTGGGGCCACATGCTGGTCTAGCATCGGGCAAATTTGTTGCATCGGCTCTGAGGCTGTTAGTGATGATATGTAGGCTCCGCTGTACGACCGGACATGCTGTAGTCCCCTGTTTTAGAGCCTGGAGGAACGTTTGTATCTTCACCTGAGCGTCAAAGTCTCCCTTCTTCACGTCTTGCATCAAGACGGATGCACCGGTGTAGATGCAGTAAGACATAAGATAGGTAATTCTAGTGAATCCAAAGCTCCTCTCAAAGAGAAGCAAAAGTTTCTCGATACTATCTGACGCTGCGCGGCAAGCAGCGTGATGCGCCGGAATGTAGTAGAAAGGTCGGTGTAGCAGGATAATGGTGGTATAATACAATAAACTGTAACTCAGTTAGCGACAATGTACGGAGAGCACCTAATGTAGACTCACTTCTGCGTGATAATGTGAGGCGGGGGGCAGATTTGGGGCAAGTTGTCCGGGTCGTATCTTAAATGCACAGGCGACTGCTCTCTCCAGTGATCAAGTCTGCCTTGGATTCTGTTTAACGCTTCATCCATGTTGATGTTTCCACGACGGGAGTATAGTTGAAGGATGATATCATTTAATATAACCGCAAGTTTGCATACGTTTTGGAAACTTGAAACTAAATGGGACTTCATCGGCGGGTATTCCACTGGGGGCACCTTATCAGGACTGATTTGATCACCATAATACGGGGCCCATAGATCGTTCTCTGCCGAATCATCCACTAAAGACGGTTAGCGTGTGGTGCCTACGAGATGTCGAGTCCAATACTGACAAAGCTCCGGGCACCGATCAAATGGTAAATCTTGGAGAATGGGCATGCGTCCAAGGAATAAGCTTATGGCCTTATCCCAGAAGTAGCAGCTCCAGAAAAGGCGTCGTCGGATCTCCAAGTCCTCCGCCGTTAGATGTCCAAGCGTCACGATTTTAGTCGTGCTGTGGTGGAGCCCCAGGTCGCTAACCATGCGAAAAGCCATTCCGCTGTAAAGCCATGCTTGAGATATCGAACCCCAAGCGAGTTCGCGAGCACTGAGCTGAAGGAGACCCTGGACAGTCGGAATGCTGCTGGGCTTATGTATTTCAGTGCCCAGGAGAAGGCGAGCTCTTGAGATCAAGAGTTCACTGATCTGGTGATCATCAAAGCGTGCCGCGTGAGCACACATGACGACGACTAAGAAGGGAGAATAGCATGGTCCGCTAATAGCCATGTCTCCTGGGATAGAGTTAGACTCGCTTTATGTAAGGGCTGATACTGTCTCTCACGCATGAATGCTGGGCGATAGACCCAGTTGAACATTGGCGCAATCCACGTCCAATGGACCTGGAGGAGTCTCGATATCATCTGCCGGGGAATATCGGTTTGAATCGATGCATTTCCTAATGCGAATTCCTCCCAGGTTCTCGACTCCAGAGCAGCTGAAGTGAGCAGTGACCGGATGTCGGACATGGACGAATGAGAGTCATTTATGTTTGTTGATTCTACCGGTGGTGGCGCGTGGACGGCGGATGTAGGACCATGGTAGCAAAGCTATCCCAATAGCCACCGGGTCAATGGATGTTCATGGGGATTTCTGGGTTGACCCGTTACGTACCTTGCCATTTTCATCGAGACTGAGATCCGAAAGCAATACCTGCTCCGGCGCCATCTCAGATTCAGAAGCCACCTGTGTAGACGAGCTCGCCTCGGCGTGCGAAGCGCTATCGAAACTGGTATCGATTGGGGGTGTACTGGGAATATGACGTTCTATTGGAAATGTATGCTGAGCCAAGTTCGCCTCTCTTGCCTCGCGCAACGCGACCCGCAGCTCAGTGATCGTTTGCTCAGTTTCTTGTAATCTCTTGGCCATGGCAAGGATCTGCGACATGGGTGGGGCCTTTTCATAGCGACACTCCACGCCGTAGATCTCGCAGGTCTTGCATCCCGGTTGTGTGCCATCGCATCTTGTCTGATTGAGGTGAGCGATAGACGATATGAGAATATTGATAACGGACCGAACCAACCTTTCTCACCCGGCAGTTGGCACATGTCAAACCACGTTTTGACCGATTTGCTCTGTCATGTCCATCGAGTCTCGAGGCGTTATCACTAGCCTGGCGTGATTTTGGCATTATGGTGAACACAATGGCGTGGTGGTTGATAAGGGGGAGAAGAACGGCAGGAAGAAAACTAGTGAGGCGAGATACAAGGATCACGAATAGTGCAGTGCATTAGGGGCAGAAAAGCTGTCAGTCCCAATACTGGTAAGATTTACCTTAATTAACCTCGACTCGCATAAGAGCGGGGTTTGCCCCATAATCCTATCACTGAAAATCATGCGGCTGATCCAGTGGTCTCTATTCTATTCTGTTCTGACCCTAATTGTGGTTGTTAGACTGTACTTTAGCCAGAACCATCTGCCGAACGGTTACCTCCTAGTAGGTAACTCTTCTTTCGCCAAATGCTAATGAAATGCCTCAATGCGTAAGACGTCATTACAAGACAAGGATCTACGTAAACCCCAAGAATAGATATCATTGAGCCTCCACTTATGTACCCCATACTATACTAGGTAGCTATGATGCGGTGGACTCCACCTTCCATGTCAATGCTTAAGATACCGAGCATATAAGTACATATGATATATCTCTAGTAGCCTCTCCACCTGCGTGTGCCCTACTCTCTTAGATAAGACAAGTTAGCAGAGTTTTCTCGTGGTTACTACGTTGGAGCGGCTATTGCGGGTTGATAAAAGTTGAATTCCGACCTACCCGCGGAACTAACCAGGTAACGTGACAGTCAACTTTTATAGCTTACATATAAACATATTTGGGGTGGAATAATAAAGGGCGACCAGTTAGCAATCGGTACACTATGGGGCAGTGCCGTTATTGCCTGTGATTTCATTGTAGCCAGTCAAGTATCTTCTTCCAGAGTTAGTATCCCGTTGTATTATTACTGAATCATGAAAAGAATGGTATTGGTTCTTGATGCTCATCAAACAACTATTGCACAGCATATTCAACCCAACCCATTGCACCTTGAGGTACTTGGGAAGTGAAGCATAATATAATATCCCATTTCAAGGGTGTCATTCAACCATTCATGTCACATCGCATAGAAAGTCATCACGGGAGTTTCCTTCCAACATGTCTACCACGAGCCCCCTACCCACAAGAGGGATAGCACATACTTATACCAGATTTACCGAATCTTCCGAAGACCCTCGTTATCTATCTTTGGATCAACAGTAGCAGTCTCGGCCCAATCCACATTTCTAACGGATGCCTTCTGACGATAAGAGCGATACTTTTGCAAGAATCTTCTAGAACCGAACAGCACTGCAATGGCAATCACCACAGCTGCCACACAACCAACCACGATGCCAGCGATAGCACCGCCAGAAAGACCTGAGCTTGACTCCTTGGTAGCCGAGTCCTTGGATGAGGAGCTAGATGATCCGGCCGTGGCAGTGGCACCAGCGGTAGCCGTGGTACTGGTGACGGCGGTGAACTCATCCGCGGTAACGTTGAAACAGGGCACTTGAGTTGTGAACTTGCTAGCAGGGACATATCTGATATCGGCGCAGGCATAGTAGGTTTCGTTCTTGTCGGTATCGAAATCTGAGGTGTACTTGATTTGGAAGGTAGCATTCATTCCTTCTTCGACATCAATAGAGGGGTTGGGGACGGGGTAGCATTCATGGCCTGGCTCGATGTCTTTGATGCTTGATCCCTCGATGAATGCCTCGAAGTCATCATTGGTGCTCGGGTCTGAACAAGCATTAGTTTGGATGAATTGTATAACCGGGATGTGGGACGTTTGACGGACTGCTTTTGTGGGAGATTGCGATCTGAACATTCCACGATTCATCTTGGATGACGAGTGCCAGTTGGCCATTGACTTGGAGCACGCGCACTCATTAGCGATGGGATCGATATCTTTGTGCTCAAAGGAGGCTCACCCATAGGAAAGTCGGTTCTGTTCGTGGCGCCAGAAGATGAGCCACATGGAGCCGTGTTATCGTAGGCGGCGCCCCAGACACGATCTGGCGGCCACATGAAAGCCACAGGGCCCATCTCTTTGGCTGCTTCTTCACCATGGGCCCATGCGCCAATGGCAGAGGACAAGGCCACAAGAGGCACAAAGCTACTTTTCATGATCATATTGGGGGATGCCTGCTGAGGCTTTTCAGAGACTTGGAAATTGACTTGGAGTGTATGAAGTCCTTGAGAAAGAGGACAGGGACGCTCAGAACCGCGCTACTTATAAGCCTGCAGCAGTCTACTCAGTATCACCCACTCCGGCAAACCTCGAAGATCCGAAAAACGGCCCTACATGCATGTGTCATAACGCCATGTGTTTCCACTCGCCAAGGGACGAGTTCATTTGATGGAACCCCGCTCAGGTCTCCGGCATTTTGCAGCCGACAAGTCATTCACCGGAAAGTCTGGTATGGGTGTCCGTGGTGGAATGATACCTGACAGTCGAGTACATTACGCGAAAAATTAATTCTGCTCATAATGCCAAGAAAAATAGATTACTGAACCTGTAGACAAAGCGTGCCAGGCGCAAAGCAAGGGCTGGATTGGATCAGATAAGATCAATCAGATAAGATGGTGGGTGGAGCCCTGTTCCACTAACCCTTTTAGCGCTCTTGGAGTTACATCGTTTCCACCACGAATAACTTCCGATTAGTCCAAAGCAGGGCTTCAGAGGGTCCTTTCCGTACTCCGTACTTCTCTTCTTGTTTCCCTGTCGGCATATCCCGTGGCTTCAGTGAGACACTATCCCAGGACTGGGAATCGGTCCCGAGGGGTCTTCAGTCCCCGAAGGGTCGTACGACCTTTTTCATTTTTCATTTTCGTTTGTGTACTTTGGATACAACATTATGCTATCAGTTAAGGAGCGCAACCTAAGCGGGACTTTATCTTCTTAGCAGATAGAACATATATAAGTAGGCACCCTATTCATTTTTCACTGTCTTCGCCCACTACCTGTCTTTAGCTTTTCCAATCACTTAGTAATTGCCACTCTTTTCGTGCGTCCCTCTTTCATTCGCTAGACCAACCATGCATCTCCCTACTCTCCTCACTCTCGCCTGCATGGCTGTCAGCACCAATGCTTTCCAATACCCAAACTTTGTTCCATTGCACCGTCGCCAGGAACCCGGTACGCCTGAATACGACTGCCATGCAAACTGCGGTGAGTTCCGCTTTTTTTTCTGTTTATTGAATCTATTCCATAGCAATCAACTGACCAAACCAGGGGGAGTGATCGTTGCTGCTCGTAAAGACGGCTACTGCGATACTGACACCTTCAAATCTGAGTTATCTGACTGTCTCAATTGCGCTCTCAAGTACGACATCTGGAAGTATTACGGCGCATCCGTTTCCAAGGCCGCTACGGGGTGTGGTGTGGACGCCACCCCTGTCGAAGCGTCCTCCATTACAACTACTGCCGCTGCTAGCGCCAGCGCTACTGAAACCGAAACCCCTGTCACCCTATCCCCGTCGTCCACATCGACTGACACCGCTGCAACCACGGGTGTAACCTCTGCTGCTTCTAGTGTTGAGCCTAGCTCTAGCGGCACGGTGAGCTCGACACCCGCAGCATCTACTGTGGTTTCCTCTGCTACACCTTCTCAGAATTCGGTAAGCGTTCAATTTCCCCTCTCTTTCCCCCGACTTAGTGCATGGACCCTACTAAATTTGCTTCTCATAGACTGGCGGCGCTTCGCCGAGTGTCAGCTTATTCCCTGGAGCTGCTTCTACTAATTCCCGCGATGGATTACTGCTTAGTGTACTAGCTGGATGTCTCGCCGTGGCACTTTTGTAAAGGGATCTTGAATGATTGGTGAGATGCTGTCAAGTGAACCGATTAAGTGGAGTAAACGAGATGGTACTCTACTGTGAACATCTCTAGGCCGTTAAAGCTATTCGGCGGGGAAGCGAGTGGCGATAGTAATAATTAATTTCCGAATTAATTTATAGAGATGAATCGAATACGTAAATGACGTTAGTGGAGCCTTCAAGCTAGACATGTCGGAACGATGTTGGTTCGAAAAGACGATCTTTCGGTTAAAAGCAGCACTCTGCCTCTGCGTGATGCAACATGAACAAGGCTATACTAAGACCTCTATACCCGATACATTGATATGTCATGTCATATAGTACAGGGTCTACGTGCAGTGTGCAACGCTGTGCATTAGGAATGCTACCCAGGAAGCCCTGGCCTAATCCCATTATCTCAGCTCTCCACCGCTTGGTGCGTGAGAAGGACCCGCTACGACAAAAGAATGTCCCACTTTCGCTATTACGTTCGGGTTTCGCTTCCGGCTCTTCGTTAATTGCCCGTCTTATGGACCCACAATGTGAATTTTTAATCTGATCCGAGCCTGTGATTCTGCGTTAGCGTGCTCGGAGTACTCTGGGGCGCTGTTGTCTCATATAGCCGTGAGCACTTATCAATCGGAATGGCGACTCAGGAATCCGGCACTTCCGGATATGGCCATTGCTATTGTTCTATATGATAGCAACGGTGGCTGGTTCTTTTGACTTAGCCTAGGAGTGGGTTTTATGTGTTTCTTTGGCCTGATAGCCGTTTCTCATGGTTGTTCGCAATAGGACTCACTATCCTCCAGTGGCATTCAAGTAGTCTGCTTGCTAGGCTGATCAAACTGGATTATTCGACTTCCCTGGCCCCTTGACAAACTTCCTTTCAAGTTATAAATTGGAAAGATCGCGGTTTCTAGGACTTACTATCTTGAACTATAGGAAATATGGTTTAGAAAGCTACATCAAGTTCTGGTAATATCTTATGGGTATCACCACTGTATACCCCTTCGTTCAAAGTAGGTCATCAAGAAAAGGTGGGGGCTTTGACTAGTAGGATACTAGGCTAACAAGCTGCAATATCGCACACATTGGCTTAGCCTCAGAGGTCTCACTGGAATTATAGGGAAGGATATGCCATTGTAATAAGCAACCGGATTTCTAAAATAGGGTGTTCGGATGGAATCGCCATCATGGGCGTAAGAAGGAGCTGAAGTAGCTGACAGCTATGCGATAGTACCTTAAGAATGTGTATTTTCGCTATTTCGTGATACTAAGTCACTGCGATCACTTATTCGAGCAAGGTCACTTGCATCCCACTCCCAAGCTATCAGTTTCCTCGGTTTCACAGCTAACCTGTACGAAATTTGATATCACAGAATGTATCATTATTTCCATCGTTTGCCTTTCAAGTAAGCCACCCACATCCCTAACATCAATTGCTTGGGAAATCATACGCATATACTCGACAACCGCCTTGTATGCGCTAACTAGCCTTCCAGAAACGAGTTTATATGCAGCCCGAGCTTGCCTCATCACCAGAAAATGGAAGACCCGTACAGCTCAAACTCCTAAGCACCCTCCAAGATTTCAAGATTAGAAAATGGGCATATATTGCCTTCACTAGTCAGACATGTGATGTCTATGATGAACCTGTCCGGCAGAAATTCCTCCTCGAACGCCATTGGGATAATTCCTCGCTCTACCATGACGACATCGGTGTCCGATATGCATTTACTACGTGAGAGGTGCATCGCAAGAAGATGCGAATTGTATGTTGCTTGTAAAAATGGTGTTTTACGCGACACAAAAAATTGTCTAGGATTTTCACATTATTGTTTCGCTACTGTCGCATGACCTTCATGACTGCTATGATCTTTGATCGAATCATTCTGTGCACCTTCTGCCTTTCTCAGAGATATGACGAGGGCTAAGATGGTGGAAGCATTATAGAGTGCAAGAGTTGACCCCACATGTATAGAGGGTCAGTGATCGGTGATTATATTTTCAAAGGCCGAGATCCGGCGTTTGGACAACACTTTTGCGTCGCCAATGAGATCGACTGAATCAACGGATTGACAACCTAGAATGTACCCCGAATAGGGTCCGCAATCTTTTTGCACTTCAATGCGAGACAAACTGAGAGATTTTGAGTGACTCAATGCGACCTTCAACTAATTAGTCTCGTGGAGTCTCGCTTTAATCACTTGTGTCTATCAGTCGCGCGACCAGTTGTGTTAAAGATCTGCTGTACAGGTTGGACTCATTAGTATGAGGGAGCTATCTCTTTGTCAATGTTCAGATGAAGCGTAGCTAAAGAATTTATCCAAGACTCAATTGAGAGGTGGCGGTGAGGCGCATTGTTTGCGCGCGTGCCTTCGAGGGCTTTCTGAAAATAACCACGTTGCGCCCTAGAGCCAACTTTTGGACATCATGAGGAGCTATGGAGCTATGCTTGATGAAGAGTTCCTTAACGTGTAGGACGTTCAAAGTTCCGGCTTGAGACAGTCACCGGAAGCGTCTTAGGGCTATGGATCAAACGCCGTCCGGCCTATCGCCGCGTAGATATAAGCCGGATCCACGGCATGAGACGATGTTTTCTCTGTTCAAAGTGGATATAACTCTGACTATAATATCTTGGGTTATCTAACCTGTTTGATTGATATATAACGCCATGCTAACCAGGCAAAACGTCTCCTTGCCCTTCACCCACCAACATGGAGAAAGATACCCAACGACCGGCTGACCAAAACCAGGCCTCTGAAGGCCAAGTCCAACCTCAAGGTCAGCAGCAGAACGAGCAGAATAGCCCACCAGACGGTGGCTATGGATGGGTCTGCACAGCAGCAGCAGCCACGATCAACGCCCATTCATGGGGCTTCAACTCTGCATACGGCGTATTCCTCGCCCACTACCTGAAGCACAATACATTCCCCGGCTCTTCGCCCTTGAAATACGCCTTTGTGGGATCCCTAAGCATCACTTTGCTATTACTCGTGTCACCCATCGCCACAATATCCGTCCGAGAATGGGGCATAAAACCAATAATGTTCTGCGGAGTCATTCTCGAAACCACTAGTCTAATCTGCGCGAGCTTCGCCACCGAGATCTGGCACCTCTTCCTTACACAGGGGATCCTCTTCGGCATGGGTGTAGGCTTCCTCTTCATCCCAACGGCAGCAGTCGTCCCCCAATGGTTCACCACAAAACGATCCCTAGCCAGCGGCATCTCCCTCTCCGGCGCCGGCCTCGGCGGGCTCATCTACTCCCTCGCAACCGGGGCCATGATTCGCAACCTAGGACTGGAATGGGCCTTCCGAATCCTCGGAATAATTGGCTTCATCGTAAACACAACCTGCACACTCCTGATCAAAGACCGCAACAGCAGGACGACTGGCCCCGACAAACAAACATCCATGAGCCTGACTCTCCTCCACAAAGGCGAATACCAGCTCCTCCTCGGCTTTGCCAGCTTCACAATGCTCGGCTACTTCGTCCTCATGTACAGTCTCGCCAATTACGCCAACGAAATCGGCCTCAACGCCTCTCAGGCCTCTATCATAACCGCAATATTCAACCTCGGACAAGCCGTCGGCCGTCCCTGCATCGGCTACTTCAGTGACCGGGTTGGGCGGATCAACATGGCCAGCTCCATGACTTTCCTGTCAGGCATCTTGGCGCTGGTTGTCTGGACGAACGCGAAGAGCTACGGGGTATTGGGGTTCTTTGCCGTCGCGGAGGGGCTCATCGCGGGAAACTTCTGGGCTACTATTGCACCACTGATGGCTGAGGTCGTCGGGTTAAAGGAGGTGCCAGCTGGGCTGAATCTCTTGTGGTTGAGTATTGTCTTGCCGTGTACGTTTAGTGAGCCGATTGCGTTGGAGATCTTTGCGGGGACGGGCAGTTATCTGGGGACGCAGTTGTTTACAGGGTTTGTTTATTTGGCTGCGGCGGGGTGTCTGGTGGCTTTGAGGGGTTGGAAGGTTATGGTGGATTCGAGATGTGCTGGTGTGTCTGGGGATAGTACTAGTGGGGGGAGAGCTGATGGTGTGGTAGTAGCATCGATGGGTAGGACAGAGAAGGTCGGGTTTGTGGAATTTTGTAGGCTTTGTTTTCAGTGGGCTGTTGTTTGAGTGCAAATTGTGTTTTGAATGTGTGTTGGGTGTTCATTTTTGTGATGTTGAATGTTGTCGTAAGGTATGAGCCTCCGAGTATAAATCCCGTTGTACACCATGCTACATGCAATGCATGTACTCTTGTTTAAGAAACATATTATCTGGGATACTCCTATTGGGGGACTGGCAGACATTATAGAGGGCAGCACAGGAAGAGTCTTAAGGATATCGCTTTCATATTAGTAAAAGCCAAGGAGATCTTCAGGACAATGCCTGGCATCTGTACTTAAACTAAAGATTAAGAACTCCCAACTCCATCAAGTTGACAGAGAATAGAAAGAATCACTTCATTCTGACAAGCCCCACTCACATATTCCTAACTCGTATCTGATCTATAAGACTAGAAGCTACCCCCTCCCTCCCCCGACTCAGGTTCAGCTCGGTTCCAGCGGGGAACCCGTGACACTCTACCTCCAAGCGAACCATGGCTTAAAATGGAGCTTAACTTTGTTTATGTATAGAACCTGAAGCTTCGTATAAAGATATTAGTGTCTCCTTCGAGGAGGTTTTGTGGACTCTGCCTTTTTCTTTCTTTCTCTCTTTTCTTTTCTTTACTTTTTTGTTTCGGTGTAGTCAGTTATCACGCCACTACATCTTGGCAGGTTTTTGGGTATATAAAAAAATTATGTGGATTATATTAGATTATTTAGAATACATACTGTGTAAATATAAAATATGACAGGAACGTGGCGTAACATCCTTTCCGTCTATCTGGAACCTGCTTTATTTGGGCCTGCTTCAAAGTTACATGGTATAACTGCTGACTCTCCGCAAACGCTCCCCATAGAACCACAGCACCAAGGGCACCGGCACCGCTACGGCCAATGCCAGGAACCCTAAAAGGCTGTTTCCCCAGCCGTAGCCGAGGTGCTCGTACATGGAGGGCCCAAACAAGGGGAATCCGAAGGCGCAGAGACCTCTCAGGAGGAACGATGAACCCGATGCACTGGCGGCATAGAGCGGGAACGCGTCGATATAATAGGCCGTGACACATTGGAAGACAATGGTGCATCCACACATCAGGAACACGATGGCAACATTCGGCACGGACCAATGCAGCTTCGCCTCGGCCGTCCAGCCATACCAAAAGAGGGCGGGTGGAGCGCACACCGCACTGACGGCCAGCAGTGGGAGGCGAAATTCCGGGCGCCCTTCATCATGGTTTCGTCGCTTCAGCGCTAGGTATATGCGGTCGGCGGTGAACATGCCGATCTGAATGCCGATGAAGTAGCCGATTCCAGGTGCGATGAAGTGCAACGAGGCGAGATCCTTGGGTTCTCCGTAGTGCTTTTCCCAGAGTGTTGGGAAAGTTGAGAAGATGAGGTATGTAGTTCCGTACATGATGGCGGCATAGAGGGAGAGTAGCTGGATGATAGGCTGTGTAGTCAGGAACTGGACTGGGCGGATAAGAGTCTTGTAGTAGAGGGCCGCCAGGGTGTGGTGGTCATTATCGTAGGGCGTCCTATAAATACCATGGCTGGGATCGTTCTTGAGAAGCTGCTGCTTTCGGCGGCCAAGGACGACAGGAGGATAGGTCTCGCGGAAGACGAGGGCGCTAATCATGATCAGAACACCGGAGACGGCGGAGGTGGCGTAGAAGTCGTAGCGCCAGGATGCCGAGTAGCTAGTGAAGCCGCCCACAATAGCACCGATCGGGGTCGCGAGAATGAAGGCCATGTTGAGCACAGCGAGGCCTTTGCCACGCTGCTCCGCTGGGAAAAGATCGCTGATCATTCCGATTCCCACCTAAGTCACGTTGTAGTCAGCGATACATGGCGTCAGTCAAATTGCATGTGGCCCTACTAACCACAGGACTTGCACCACTCCCGAATCCTGACAATACTCGGAATGCCACAAGCTGTGCCCTGTTTTGCGCGAAGCCGCACGCGAGATTGAACACCGCATACACTAGGTTACCGGCGTGGATCAACGGTACGCGCCCCCACAGCTCACTAAAGGGCGCCAGCAGCAGCGGTCCCAGCGCAAGCATCAGGACATATGCAGATATTGTCAGCGGCCCTTCGATATTGGGGTCCATTTTCAACTCGGCGCATATCTTGTCTAGTGACGGGGCCACGATCGTTGTGGACAGGTTGACCAGCACATTAAGGAGCGTGATGAGAACTGTTATGGCCCAACGTCGAGTAAAGGGCCATTGATTTGGATGAGGAAATTCGTCGTCAAAGTCAACCAGAATTGCCTGAAGTTCTGGCGCATCATCATTGTTCTTTTCGGACTGAGTGCCCGGTGTTATGCTGTAAGATACAGCTGACTTTTCAGGCGGAGCTTCGCTCATGGTGGTGAATTGGGTACAGTTAGTACTGCGATAGAGCCAACAGATATGGCTTATATGAACATTGAACATGGTGGAGTGTATGCTCTCGGATAAACACACCATTCGACGGCAGGGCGAAATGACGCAGCACAGGGCCGTCTGTGGAATGGGCTAATCCCCCCCTTGCTGGGAAGGGCTTCGTCCACAACAATAAACCAGGAACAAGACCCTTACCCCGATAAGCATTTTCGTCCTGCAGACATGCCACCTAATTGGGAAATCACCTCTTGCCATACGGTCAAGGGAGATGTAAGGGCGATGTAGTACCCGCTGCCAAGGTAAATCCAATCCCAGGGCCCGGTGGTAACTTCACATGGAAAAACATGTCTTGCGCCTACAGAGATAGGAATGCATGGTCCAGATTTAGACAGGAGGGTGGGAATATGAATCAATATAATTTAACATCATTGTAAATCAATGGCTACTGATGGAAGCTGAAATCTAGATGGCTCGCCCATGTAGACCCTTGCTCTAACTCGATCACCCCACAATGAATTGGATTCGGCGTTTTACGCAGCGGATACACGGTTGGAGTACTCGGGATACTAAATGTGCGTAAGTATGAGTGAAAAGTCAGTCGCAAGGAAGGTACTACAAAACATACAAATCTCGCAGTGACATGCGGTAGGCTTCGCATGTATCGGGCCAGAATCCTCATGCCGATCGTGTCGAACTCTTCGTAAAGAAAGTCCTCCAGCATCTGATTACTGACACCATGTTTCCTATAGATATCCTGTCCGATGGCCTCAAGGGTCTTCTTGATCTTCGGATGGGCTAATGAGATATCGTAATCCATATGAAGGGCTGTGACGAAGGAGTATCGAGGGCCACTCCCGGGCTCCGTGGAGAGGACACGATGAAAGCCCGCTTTACAAACACCGCGTGTAATGGATTCACCAATCGCCCCAATAACATATAGTAAACACCCCGGCTTCGGTGGGCAGGTAACCCATTGCCCGGTTGGGCTCTGGATCTGGAGCGATTCATGGTCGGTAGCCTGGTATATTATCGCTCCAAAAGTCATGTCCTTGTGGCCGTGGAGCCCTTGCAAGCTCTCCTGCTTGCCCTGGTCCTTGGGAACCTCAGGGTAGCGAATGATAACATTCCGGTTCTGGCATGCCTCCTCACGGAACATACCATCCAGAACGGCGGGGTCGATGCCTAGAAACTCGGCGAGCAGGGCGCGCACGGTACTTGCAACTTTCGTGAAGCCCTTAATCACCTGTTCGTGGGCAGCACGGAAACCCGGCATTTGAGCGGGCCATTGGGTCTGACCCTGCAGATTCCGATATATAGGATCTCGTGATGGCCGTGGGTCATCAGGACGCACGATAATTCTCTCTCTATAATCGACCTTGTCTCCAGTGCGCTCGCTGGCTAGCTGTATGTTGTGGGCGAAATATTGTCAGGACAGTTGGGCAAGATGGAAGAAAAGTAGGTGCACTTACCGGGACGTAACCTAGAAAGCTGGGAACATTCTCCAAGGCAATTTCCATTTTCTTCTCCGTGGGCTGTTCAAAAAATGCCTTGGTCTCTCTCGTAGCATTTTGGAGTTCATCCTCACCAATGGGTGCACCGGAGATGTAGAAGGCACCCCAATCTGTACAAGCTTGTTCGAGGGTTGCCAGCGCCTGCCTCCTCGACTCGGGGTCGTCGAGCCGACTCAGGTCAATCGTAGGAACACTAGATATACCAGGCATTGTACAGGGCAGACAGGAGTCAGAAATCTTCTAATGGTAATCAATAGTGGTTATGATGGAAGTATCGTTTTTCAGTTTCTAACCGGTGGAAAATGACTTTGGCCCTACCTGTTATGTTGTTTGGTATTTCTATCATGAACCTTTGGTAAAGAAAGTTATATTAAGATTGTCCGCCTCACTCCCCCCTTGCAGCAAGCCACGATCCACCCAAGAGGGTGAGCCCTGAACACGCCGTCATTCGAAATGTAAGAATGTGCTATCTCCTTGCATCTGTTTCAGCTACCCTGTTGTTAGTTCGTGGTATCACGATCATCTTTCGCATTAAATACTCTCGGGAACGGGACGGGACGGCAAGCCTACACAAGCCACTCACTCTATTTTCACCGTCGCTTTAATGGGAGAACAGTACTTGTGGACTAAACGATTGATGCACATAATTCCAATAAAAGAACTGATACCCGTTAAATTACAAGTATAGGCAGCATAAATTACCCCCTAGCCTGTATCTCTCAGCTATCCCAGGTTATTGACTTGGGGGTTGAATCAGGTAAGATAAAATAAACAAATAATTAGAAAAAGACCAAACCCATGCTCATTTAGCTTCTTCCCATGTTGACATAGCCGGTTGACGTTTGACGTTGACAGGCTTTCTACCCCTGACTGGGACATATCCTTACACTCTAAACCAAGTGAATCATGTGGCCAGTTGAATGGATATGGAGTTGCGATACCTATTGCCTAGTCTTAGATTCGGTACGTGTCTCAGGCGGCTATTGCGGATCCTTTCGGACCCTGCATATTACAGTAAAACCCCTTTATAAGCAACCCAGATATAGGGAATCCCCCGGTATAAGCAATTTCAATGGCTTTGCTCAATCAATTGCTTATAAAGGGGTTTTACCGTATATACAATGACCTCACGTTGCATGAGCCTTGAGAGTCATATCCTTCAGTTGGGGTGTAGGTAAAACCATCTACTAAGAATGTTGCTCCTTGCAGCACAATTGCGTAGCATGCTACGTAGACTGCTCATCCAGAGTAAGGGTTGGCCCCTTTGTAGCCTGATCGTCTTTGAAGATCTCGACTTTCTGGGCCGAGGAGCATTCTCAATAGCAAGTTCAATTCCAGGAAGTGCGTGTGCAAGAAGTGAGGAGATGCTTCCTACAGTCCATTTTGTATGTATATCTGCGACCTGGGCCAATTGTAAGATTATTCCATTGATCACGTCTTTGCGGTGATATTCCTGGGTGGTTTTACTCACCTTCAATTTTGAGAATCGAGGTTCTGTAGTCTCTAAACGGGGCGCACGCTTGCTCGACAGTGAAACCTTGGCTGCTTATAAGTCCAGTTGTCCTACCCTCTAAGCATTCATCCAATATCAAGCATTGTTTTTGATCCTTTTTAACGATGGGATCCCGTGGTCTTGAAGTCTCAGGGAAGGCCTTGAATCTCCCCCAAGCGGAGAAGCCGCGGGACATTGTCGACAGCTTCCTCCATCAGCATCCGCATATTGACTACGTCCGCTTCCAATGGGTCGATTACTCGGGAGTTTTGCGGGCCCGGGTTGTGACCAAGGCTCATTTCCATACAATAGTGAATAGCAACAAGCCCCTCAACTGCGGGCAGATCACCCTCAGCTGCCTACCGGATGGGAGTAGAGTCCCTTTCGAAGCATGCGCCGTACACAAGCTCTTCCCGGATTGGAGGTCCCTGCGAATCATATCCAACTCTCGAGACGAGGATCTCCCTTTGTATGCTTCCGTGATGTGCTCCATCATCGAGGAGCTGCCCGGTGGGTTGGCCGATCCAAACTTGTGTCCACGAATCGCACTGCAGAACATCATCACCAAGGCCCATAGTCAGCACGGAATCGATTTTCTAATTGGGTTTGAAATCGAATTCGTTGTGCTGCAAGCCGGTCCGGACGGCTCCTTGATTCCCTTCTCCTCTCACCCGGGTGCCTACTCAGCCGCCGCTCTTCGCGGACCCTCATACGGTTACTTTGAGGAGTGCATGAGAAACCTCTCTGTCTCAGGTGTCCAAGTCCGTGAGTTTCACGCGGAAGGTAGTATTGGGCAGTACGAGATAACGCTTGCTGCGCGCCCGCCACTCGAGGCTATCGATGAGTTGGTCGCCGCGCACGATATCATCCACTCCACGTTTGCAAACCATGGCCTGACTGCCACCATGTCTCCGAAACCCATTGTTGACCGTCAGGCCAACGGCTCGCACATTCATGTCTCCATCCACCCCCCGCAGCACGAGGAATCCTTCCTCGCCGGCCTCCTTTCTCGCCTACCGGCAATCTGTGCCTTTTCTATGGCCTCGATCGCCTCCTATGATCGCCATGCCGACTTCCTTGCCGGTACGGTTGTCGCCTGGGGTTCTCAAAATCGCCAGGTGCCGGTGCGCAAAATGGGTCCAGGTTACTGGGAGGTGCGGTGTGCGGACGCCATGGCGAATATGTATTTGGCAGTCGCTGGCATCTTAGCTGCTGGCCTCCTGGGAATGGAAAACAGTGAGCCCCTGCACTGGAAGGATGTCAGCTATGCAGGCAGTATGCAGACTAAATCCGCCGAGCTCCCGGCCAATCTGGAACAGTCCCTGAGCCAACTAGAGCGCATTTCTGAAGAGCTGTCGGAAGCGCTGGGCAGTAGGATATCGGGTCACTATTTACATGTCAAACGGCATGAAGTCGAGGCTTTAAAACATTTAAGTTCGCAGCAACTGTACCAGCTTCTGGCAACGTTAATCTAAACAGAGTTCTTTCTTTCTTTTCTTTTTACGACTTTGAATCATAGAAAAGCCGTATGGCTGTCATGTAGAAGCCTGCCTATTCACTCATAAATTATAGATTGCGAAGTGATAATACTACTTGTATATAGTGTAACATGGATCATGGCCGTGCCAGTGTGACTGTCAATTCTTGCATTGTGGCATATCGCATATTAGATAGAATACTTGGCATACACTCTTAATGTACAAGAAGAATCTTTAGAGTATTTTTCATGTGCACGTTTCATTTAGTCTCCTGAGATTTGTATTACTATCTACAACAACACTCACCACTCACATGATGGCAGTTGTCGTTACTCGATATATCAACCTCACAGTTTGTGATACTTCACCAAAGATTTTAGTCGACGTCTTCGATAAGGATGTTCAACTAATTTGGGCGTCAAATGAAGGAGAAATACAATTACAGTGGAAAGGTTCAGGTGGTATACTATATTAGAATTTGTAGAGTCTAGATTTATTCCGAATGGTAAGCCTGGAATAAGTTCTTCCCATCTTCACTCAATCTAGATCAGTTGATGTAATAAACTTAGTTCTGGGTCTGCTGGCAAATGCCCTGGTCGGCCTTCTTGTCTAACTTTAATCTCCATTAGTCAGATGTAATTTGAACTGTATAGTTTGATCTAAAATCTTTTCCTATATAATTAAGAATTAGAGTCTGGTATAACAGTTTTCCATAACTCTGATCGGGACACAGGAGTCTAAATACACTGATTTGTATCTACCTCATCGCTTATATAGATGGAAGGAAAGGAATCAGGTAGGATACAAAAATATCATGCTGTTCCCTGTGGGGATGGTCGTATATTATTTTCTTTTTTTTTTTTTTTTTTTTTCTTCTTGCCAATTGGATACAAAATACAATACTCTGTAGGATCACCCTTGGCCTAGTAGTTCTGATAGGTCTACTTACAATAATTAAGCGAACCACTCTATAGGGATCAACACGATCTTTCCACACCCTATCCCAGTATAGAATTGTGGTTGGTTATTGAACTTGAGCTCAGAAATGCTGGTGTGTCTGGGGGGACAGTATTAATAGTGGGAGGAGAGCGGATGGGCTGAAGGCAAATCTTAAAATTCTGGCGAAGCGCATGTATGCCAGTGGGAGCTTTAAGTAGGGTCGTGAGGAGTAGCTGTCGGCTTGCGCCTTGATACCCCCCGATTCTCATCCTACACCCTCGCAGCTACGCTTGCAAACAAGACCAATGAAGAAGTTTGGTACCATAGCTATGATCATATTCCTAGGCGCGCATGACTGTAATGACCGTGTGTGATACAATATGCTCACAAATCAAAGACAACGAATAAGAAAACAGAGTGTGATGCCATGCCCAAGCTACTTTGATGAAACAAGTTCTCTTCCATCATCGAAATTCATATCGGTCGTTGAGGCCCGAAATGCAGCCCGAAATTGGTGGCGGAGAGGTCGGTCGAGACGGTCCAGGCGCCTGTTCGATGGAGATGTAGCAGTTGAACATTGTACGCTTTAATGCTGTCAAAATCAAGTTAGACAAGCTGATAGTGATCAAAGATACATTAGACTCACACTGCAAGAGGAGCAAGAGCAGCTAGAGCAGTTTCCACTGCAGCAGTTGCAGGCACAGGGAGACATTCTGATAGTAGAGATGAAACGGTGCTTTGGTTGATAGAAAGCTTGAAGGGTTGCGATGAGGCTTGAGGAGCTTGTGTTGATGATAGTGGATGGATTGAATTAGACAGGCATGGAGGCATTATTTATACATCGCTGAACTGCCACGGAGACAACCGGGAGTATTAATTTCATTGTGTAATGATCGAGTCCGCGAGAACCGCTGAGAAAAATCGGTGAATCCCGCTCGGATCCTTCATCGCAATCTCTATATCCGACCTATGACCTGGTTCGTATGGGTTTGTGGAGAGGGGCTTGTGAACCTCGGAGGGTGCTGACTCGTAGCGAGATTAGGCATTAGACTGAACCTGGAACCCTGATACTGCTTCTCCACATGAGTAGATGGCAAAGAAAAGAAGGCAACAAGGACGCGCTATCCGCCATGTTTGCCTGGCCTGGGCCCTCGGTGGAGACACTAAATGAAAGTGAGTGGTACGCATTGTCGTTCGTTCATCATTGAGGCATGTCGTATACGTCGATCACAATGTAGCAGAAAGGTCTGAAATGAAGGCCAAAGAAAGCAGAAAGGAATTCCAAAGTATTGTCACTGCGTGAGTGTCCAGCATTTTTATATTATATCCAGAGAGTGAAGGATGAGAACCTTGAAGACATGAGAGAACCTTGGGAGCCCATATCTGCCCCTTATTGACACTTGGCCTTAGCAATTTTGACGATTCGAGACATCTCATCTAGTCATCTTCCTATCGCTAATTCGATGACCGAGAGAAATTAATCATAACTGGACTGATCTACAGCGGTTGTAAAACTCTGACTTCGTGGCGGTTTCATGATGCCTGGCTCTATGCTATTTTCATTACGCGTGCTTCTCTCACGGATCTCAAGGGAGAAAAAAGCAAAATGGACCAAACTCACTTACAAAGTACGGAATTTATAAATTTTCTTCTTACACTTCACCACTCCCTAACATGACCGTGCATAAAACTGTCTACTCCATGTCCACAAAAGGCTTAGTATCGCCAGTGTCCTAAGTCAGGGTGGTGTTGACTTTGCCGTCAATCAGAACAAGCGAGATAAGCAGGGTACACGATGAAAAATACTACAGCTGACCCCTATTAGCTCGGGGCTGGTGCATACAGGCCCACCGAACTAAGTCCTAGTTGTGATCGAATCACGAGGCACATGATTGAAGGAGAAAACTGACCATGGCTGCCTATGGTAACGCTCAAACATTGTCATATCACTGAGCCCGTAGCATAGCGTTCTTCAGAAACAGTAAATGATGATGGACAGTTGCTAATCAAGCAATGCCCCAATTCACAGGGCTCCATAGTAGGCTGACTGTCAAGTTTGGCCATCCCGTTGCCTTGCTTTCTTTCTTCCTGTAGTGAGATACAGCCTCAAGCAAGCGACAGACCGTGTTTATCCCCCTCCCCGAGGCTTGGCAGTAATAGTTGTCTATCAATTACCAGATGATATGTGTAATGCATAATCCCCACGCTAGTACATGAGTCAGGTTTGTGTTCCAGCTCCACTGGTCCGAAATTGTGTCGGTCACACAATAATTATATCAAATCAAGCTACTGTGGTTGGTCGACTCGCTTCTCATTTCGGTAGATTCTGCCATGACAGACCTATCATCGTCGAAAGAGGAATTTTGGGGTCTTTAAGAAAAGCCTTTGCACATTATATAGAATAATACCACTACAGCTATGAGTGATTTCAGGCAGCTTCCGGTGTGTCCTGGAGATGCTCCAGTAAGCCCATTCCTCGGAGAAGTAAGAACTGGATAAGGAGTAGTTTATAGCGTCATTAACAACTAGAGTGACTTTAATGAGAGCGATAATGGGGAAAAGATCCATGCTGATATGACTCGATACATTCCGTTCAAGGAAATCAGGTAATGCGAACTAAACTAGAAAAGCAGGTGCTTGCAAAAGACAATTACTTTAACGGATGTGACGAACTATTTTATACCCGTTCATATTGTTTGGTAGTTCATGATGGCGTCGCGAACAAATCCCACTCTCTACTGTCCGCCATCTTTAACACTGAGCTAGTGTAATCAAAAGACGAATCAAACATTAAACAAATTGAGGTATTATGCGACAGGCGTCATATACATTTGCTATCCTCCCAGATAATAGGCACATATCCTAGATGGATCAAGATGCTTCGTAATACTAATACATATAGCTTGAGTGCAATGATAATCTCAATAGACTTCAGGCAAGCTATTTTTTATTCACACAGCAGTGTTCTGGCGTTAGCAAAAGGACTCATCAACTTTTGCCCTCTTTTGGCTCTGCTGACGCACCCATTCTGTTTCCTTATAGCAACTTTTAGTCCGAATATGTCATCTTGCCCTTCTTCAGTAAGCCGTACCTTTCAAAAGAAAAGAAACAAAAAATGAAAAAAATGAAAAGAAAAAGAAAAAAGGGAGAGCCAGTCAAGAATCAAAGCATCCTGCGGGCCTTTAAGGCTGTATAAAAAGTGGTTGTGTGGATGGTGATGTCGCAGATCCTAACGCATTCAACCAAGCGGCTAGGCGGATCCCAGCCTTCAAGATTTGCTCATTCACAATTAGGGCAGCAGCATCAAAATATTCACCGCCAAGGTCATTCTGTTTCAGCCAGTCGATACCATTATTCAGCACAAAATAGCAATTCAATCGATTTGTCTCCCTCGCCCACAGCATGGAACACTCCAAAGGCTTCTGTATATTAGAACACTCTGCTTGTAGAGGTCTCAATGCATTTAATTGGAATAGTTTCGCTGCCCAGTTGGCAGCTGCAGCTCTTTCATTATTGTGCTTCAAGTTGTGCCCGATACCATTCATCTTGTGCGGGATATCAGTATCCCAGATACCGTGGAGGTTCTCCCGTCTGTGGTCGAACTTGACAATAATATCATTTCCCCCACGCGCGAGAGCTTCGTTGTGCAACGGCTGGTGTATATCTCCAATAAAGTGAATCAGGAATCTCAGGGCTTCGACCCGTTGAACAGAGTCCAAACTAGGATCATTGACCCTTTCAGTCTATTGGGAAAGTCAGGGCTATGCAGGAGACCTGAGATTTGTAGTCATGAGGCTTGAGCATACCATATTTTTAATAGCAGAGACTACACAACCACTGTTGCAATCAGATTCATACGTGACCGAGCAGGAATTTGGTGGATTATCCTGGGCGTCTGTCACGATGAGCTGCCGCCTCTGGTTGCGAGGTTACGATAACCTACCAATAAAGTGCCAAGGCCTAGTAGATGGTCTTCGAAACTTGATCCGATCAGCCCAGACTGCTGCATCGGAGATATCATCGTTATTGTTGGTACGAAGGATGTTTTGTACAAGATGAGTGCCTTCATCATTTAGGTACTTCTGCGCCAGATAAGCAACAGTTCGATGGCCAAGATCTCCCCAGCCCGCAATTAGTTGAAGAGCTGAAAGGAGAACCAAAAACGACCGGAGAAATTTCATTGTGCAAATATGTGTGACGGTTGAATTCGAGTATATAGCTGTACAATTCAGGTGCAAGAATGAAGGAATACAATGAAGTTCTATAAGATCAGCATACGAAAGATACCCAGCTTATACATAATAATTTGGGGATGTATGTATGTATGTCAACCTGTTTCCGCAATTAGCAGAAGATTATGCCGAATGTTCTGGCCCTCGTCAACTGACTTGTTAGGTCAGCCATGATTGATTGACATTGACACAGGTTTGGTCCTGAAAAACTCTATATTTCAAGTCAGGAGGAAGTCAAGTGCTGTGACTTTATAATGGGCTTTCGGGTGCTGCCGTCACTGTGATATCAGGATAATCGGAAACGGATAGAAGACCGTCGATATTTTTACCTAAACAGCGTTTTCTCAATCGAGGTATAAATTAAATTCCATATATTGCGGAGCCTGGTACCGCCAACGTCACTCTTTTGATAGTCCCTGCGAACACATAATGCCAACATTTCCTAACCTTTATTTAGTACCAAACGATGTCTAATCTCACCGATGAGTATTATGATTGACCCCCCAAGCCAGCCTCCGAAATTGGTGGTGACAGGTAAATGTTCTTATTAATTGAGTAAAACCAGAAGTACAGGGTACCGGCCTTGAGACATGAAGCTCTACACACCCACTGCAATATTATTTGGATGTCTTGCAAAAACACAGCACGAACACCGGCAACTAGAAAAGAGCCAAGAAATATTCTTCCACAACTTATCAATATGCGATATAAATTATAATGTCAATGCTCCGGAAACTCCTTCCTAAGGACGTAGTGCACTTTAGACTGTAACCCAAGAGGGCTATCAAAATACTGCTAGCAAAAGGCGCAGATATTATTGCTATCAATGCCCCGCCTTGATGGACAAATAGCACACTAGGCCGCAGCTGAACAGAGCCGCCTCGTTGCAATAGAATTACCCCTAGAAAAAGGTGCAGATATCAACGCTCCAGCAGCTAAAGGTGGATAATAGGCAGCACTCCAAGCTGCGGCAGGGGGGATAATGAAGCGATAGTTGAATTGCGTATTATGTAGGAAGTTGATATTAACGCTCCAGTCCAACTCGGTGCCACATTGCATCTGAAATTTATAATGCCGAAATTCTAATTATTCTTTTTGATCATGGTGCAGGTGTAGATCTCATAAAACAGGTCCTTGATCAGACCATGCGATAGATTTGACATCGTGATCATCAAGCTTCCCCTTTCCCTCCAAAACACCGCCTTTGTCTCTGTCTCGAAAGAGTCTACAGAGGCAACAAAAGGCAACATGTAGCTATTCAGGTTGTATGAAGAGTATTTGAAGTTAACGATCTAAGCGGAGGTATTTTTGACCACTAATGATAGGCTGATTCAGCTTCCACAAAGGTCTCTCTAGTTAATATTGTGTAAGGTAAATCGGGTCAATTTGGAATCCCAATGTCGTAATATGCCAATGCGATCCTCTCATCTCAACGAAGGCCTCTCAGATAGTTCTTCAACCAATACATTCAATTGGTTCCCTCAATACTGGTGATATGGATATCCTGAGATCCGACGAGTAGTCCCTAGCTGGGATGAAAGAGTAACTTCCAGTCCAACATCCTATTTTAACATGCTACGGCATGCCAGATACTCCAAAGCAAGTCTAAGAATAGCATATATTTAAATTCGCATCTCCAGCTACAGACACCAAAACTATTGAGCAAAATCCTATATTACGGTCCCCTAGAAACATTTAAAGTTTTACTGAACTTTAAAATATACTTTTCGACAGTGCCCCCGAGTAAAATTTAATGTTCCAAGGTTTTGTGCTATGTTTTGGAATTCCTAGTCCCGTACTTTGCAGTTGAATACTTCATGAATTTATACCATGGTCTTTACCCAGTTGGAGTAGACGATGGTACGAGAGGTCAAATTAATAGTACCAAGTATGGCAATGCATACATGTTACCTCAGTCTTCCATGGTTTACTAGACATATGCGTCATCACCAACCACACAACCTCTCTGATGGGATCGGTGCTCGTGTTGAATTAGGTAAGTAACCTTATGTTTGGATCTACCAAAAAGCCACCTAAAGATAATGGCCGGACTTAGTATAATGAGGTGACCACGACATCCCCCTTGCCGTCATATGATCCTAAGCTACACATATATTAGATAGCTGATTTGCGTAGCATAGATCAATCAGACAAGTTCTCCGTTTCTTCATGAGCCGTACCCGCCGGTAGTGTAAAAGTATATCGATAGGTGAACATCTGGAATCTGATCTAGGAGCAGTGTGATCGGGCTCGCCCGCTTTACACTAAGATATGCTTAAGCTTCACTGGAAGCGGAATAGCTACCATATTGCTAGGCTTTACAAGCATAAAAAGTTGCCTCATAGGCAGGCAGAGTCTTCACTACCTTACATTTCCCAACTATCCAGGTTTCATACCATCATGGCACAACAAACGCCCAAGTTGGCAAGCTACAAGCGTATCATCCTTTGCGCTGATGGGACATGGCTGGCATCTGATCAGGGTGACAGTTCTGTGCCTTCGAATGTCGCGAAGATCGCTCGAGCAATAGCGACCAGTGGCCCTGATCGCGATGGCAACATTGTGAAGCAGGTTGTGTTGTACCATTCTGGCCTGGGAACTGGAGACCTCCCGTTCCAGAAGGCTATATATGGTGAGTACTCGAGCTCACTTTCGCCGCTTTTCTTTCTAAGAAGCCCGGCTAATGGCTGTTTCCCTTTTAGGAGGCCTTGGCTGGGGTCTGGATGTCGATGTTTGCCAGATCTATGATTTCATTTCTAATAACTATGAGCCTGGCGACGAGTTGTTCTTCTTTGGCTTTTCACGTGGCGCTTTCACCGTGCGCTCAGTCGCTGGCCTGGTCTGTGATATCGGTATCCTCTCTGCAGTGCACATGTCGCACTTTGCAGAGATGTGGAGGGCCTACCGTCAGAATACAGATGGGAGGCCCTTTAAGATGACAACATGGTATCAGGAGAATAAGGACAAGCTGCGCTTGACACAAGATCTCAGGATCAAAGTTGTTGGGGTTTGGGACACTGTTGGAGCTCTAGTACGCAACACCGGGTAGGATTGATAGATATACTACTCCCATGAGACTAATCGAGCATGGCTAGGGGATCCCTGAGTGGCCGCTTGTAAAATTGGCGACAAGAGCTGGCATCGCAATCAACGAACAGTATGCATTTTACAACACAAACGTAGCAAAAAGTGAGTTATCATCGCCAAAACCCTAATTCACTGGCTCTAATCAGCATTTCCTATCAGATCTGGACTATGCCTTCCAAGCCCTTGCCATTGATGAGAGACGACTAACTTTCCCCCCTACCCTCTGGCACACGGCCCCTGGTGCTCCGGCCAGGGATCTGCAGCAATGCTGGTTCCCCGGCGTCCATGGTAACATCGGTGGCCAGGCAGAAGATCCACGTAGATCTGGTGACCATGAAGAGATCGGTGACATCACATTGGCATGGATGGTAAATCCTTCCTGTCCTCTTTACTGAGAGACTTATATAGTCCAGATTGACTGACTACTCGGAACAACCCAGGTGGACAACCTCTCAGGCATGCTGACATTTGAAACGGCTGCCATCAACCAAATTATCCAGCATCACCATGATGCACTCGCGGAGAATAGGATCGCTGATGGCTGGGGCTGCGGGCCCATCGTTTCTAATTTCTCTGGGCTGCAAGGCAAATTCTTCAGGGCTCTTGGAAAGCAAGACCGCACGCCGGGCAACTATCCACCAGTCCCTCGTGACATAATTGAGGATGAAAGAATTGAAGGTGAAAGAATTGATGGTGACAGAACTTTTGGTGCCACGAACGAGTTTTTCCATCCGATTGCCCGCATCCGGAGGGGCATACTACCTAACTACAGCCCGGCATCGCTGGACGGATTCGAAATGTTCCATGGCGAGAATGGCTGGAGGTGGGTTAAAGGGGATATTGTAGTGCCCGAGTATGTGCTACGTCCGGAGAGAACAATGAGTGTGATGCATGAGGGGGAATATACTACTGAGCCTAGCTTGTCAAGGTCTCTGTGTCCGGCGAACCTTCTGGTAGATCTTGATGGAGATAATAATATGCAACCCGAGTGATCTCGTAGAGATAGTAAAGGAGTGCCTCTCTGCCGGAGAGGCTGCGAAAATTAATCAGACAACAAAGCTCGTTCTACCACTCACTAATCTTAAACCGCTTAGTTATAATGAAGAGCATACTTAAGACGCAGATCGAGTCAAGAGGATGAGCAATAGAATAAGTCATCCTATAAACAACCTACAATGTAACGTGCGCAAACCTGGCGAGGGATTCTTTGGAACAGGACATTTGAGAGTGTAGATAATAAAGACAGTGGTCCTCCACTACAGAAATGCCAATTAATGAGAGTAGTACGCAAGGACTACCCGGAATAAGATACTAAGAGGGTTTGAGATTAATACTCTGTAACTACTGCTATTGATTCGTTTCTTACCGCCTCTTGGACTATCTTGCCATTCAAGAGACGGCTACATCCAAAGAAGGCATTTGGGCTGTCAGGCTGTGCAAAGGCGTGGAGTGCCTTTTCTTCAGCCATCCAACCGAATATGGCCAATTATATGAGAACATTAAACATTGGTCGTCTTACTAATGCCCTGCATATTCTATAACATGTTTAGAAAGCGGGGGGTACCAATTGCTTGGGGAGGCAGGACTGAGTGTCTCGAGCACATCTTGTTTTAAATTCAAGCCGCGCACCCCGGCGATAACCAAAGGCATTGGTAACCTCGGGTGGTATAAATGGGAACGATGGGATTTGGGGTTCCTGTGGCTATTGGCGCCAAGCTAGGACGTCCAGATTCACAGGTGATCGATATAGACGGAGATGGGCCATGCATGACAATGCAGGAGCTCTTAACCGCCTCACAGCACAATGTGAAGATAAAAGGCCATCATTTTCAACAATCGGGGAACAGAAATGACGACACAGTATCAGCAAATCTACTGTAATGGCCGAGTAGCATTGTCATATCTGAAAATACTGATTTTACGACTCTAACACAGAGTTTCGGCTGTGAAGCGCGTCATTTTCATCTCCTTGAGGGGCTTGAAAATAGCATCTCGTGACTTCCGGAGACAGAATGTCCAGCGGCCCTGGATGTTAATCTGGAGGGCGAACCTCCGATGCTTCCTATTGTATGTGTTGGGGCTTCCTTGGATACATTCATAATGGAGCAGGATTTGCAATATAGGATAATCTGACTAGATTAGGTTATTTACTGTTTCTTTATTGGGGCGGGATATCACAAGCTACCGATGGTTATGATGGCTTGGCTCGCTATTGTAGAACAGTTGGAACGTATGCAACTCATGTAATATAGTGACGTCGCTTATGTGTCGAGAATGTAAAGCGCTCTTCCGCGAGAGTCAAAAAGACTTGTCTGTGGGGGAGATGGGATGCCGTGGAGGATTATGTATGGCAACTACGGGTGTTACGGATTAGATAGTGATCCAGCTCAGAAGCCTACAGTATACCTGGCTCCAGTTGCATGAACGAACCCCGGTCGCACGTACATAATGTGCAGTCTGCTGTGTGCAATCAATTCAGACCGAAGAACAATCATCTGGCCTAATAGTCTCATTTTTAGTAATAGATCTGTGTCCACAGAGAGCGTGCCAAGATATGGGTGGTCTTCTAAGTACTAAGGGAATGTGGCCCAATGTCCCACAGGACTAAAAGATCACATAATTCTGAATCTATGATTCAGCATGCCCTAGTCACACCTATATAACTTCCCGCCGTTACAGGAAGAACAAGAACAAGACCTTGACTCTGTTTGAATTTTAATATTCTTGGAATGCTTACGTAGCTTACCTAGTTGAGGTATATCTAGGCGACGATAGTCCAGAGGGATAATAGTACCAAGATATCATATTTTGAATCTGTGAGTCTATGACTTAATAACAAAAGCCCAGTCAAGTTGACAACTGGCAACGCGCTCCAGACCGCGTTCTAGGCCTAGTGCCCGATCTTTGTCTCCATTCCTTTGTGTGATAGGCAGCATAAATAGGACCTCAGGCCCCCTCTAGATAATCATGACCGTGTATTTTTCATCTGATCTGACGCTTCGTCAAGCCTTCACTCACAATACGGAGTCACGTTGGGTGAAATGAAACTGCCTCACCCGCATATCTACGGATCATCATTTCATTGGCTGGGAAGGTATATGAGATAATCAAGCGGGGGGTCGATAAGTATCGCCATAGGTTCCAACTTGAAGCTTCATGCTCTACTTGGATCCCACAGACGCTCGCATCGCACGGATTTGAAAACAATTTTACTTGCAGGGCGACACTTTCTGTCCAAATCTCTCCTTCCTATAGCCTACACTACACAAAAGCTCAGACGCGACAGAACATATCAACAGCGAAGGTGAGGAGAATCACCTACGACCCAAGGAATCATTCTCATATATGCATGGCTCTAGAGAACATCTTGTACCCCGCATACTCATGAGAGATACCGAAGCCTCTACACCACAGAGATTTTGTGCATAAAAGTTGAGCCCATCGCAGCTTTTCGACACTAGCCCACCGCGCCAGTATGCCGTACATCATGGAAATCTACATCGACGGTGGCTGTAGAGGCAACGGTCGATCTGGAGCTATCGGTGCTGCCGCCGCCGTTTTCAAAAACAAATTTGGGAAATGCACCGGTTGGACAAGACCCTTACCCCAGTATCCCCCACCCACAAACCAGCGGGCTGAAATCACGGCCATTATTCTTGCGCTGGAGACAGCCCTGGAAAAGTTCGAAGCGCTGGACACACGTCCGCATTTAGATGTCAAGATATATTCAGATTCCAGATATGCAATCGGGTGTATGACAAACTGGATCTACAAGTGGGCAAATAACGGATGGAGAAATGCTGCCGGCAACGAAGTTGCGAATCGGGATCTGATTGAACAGGCCTCTGATCTTGACGATAGATTGAAAGAGGAAGGATACGTGGAGTACATCTGGATTCCGAGGGAGAAGAATCAGACGGCGGATGAAATGTGCAATGATGAGATGGACGAACAATGGAGAAAGGCTGAAACCTTATCGGATGACTCTGATTACTATTATTGAATTGATTGCTAGCTGAGAGAGCATTGCTTTCACTATGGGAGGATGATAGGATTATGTCCGAACTGGTTGCTGGTCGCGTTTTACTTCAACGACATTGGCACTACTGGATTGTTGATTTTCAGGTATGATCTGGTGGCCATAATATTCACTGAATAATAGCCCGTGGCTTGGAATCTACGATTTCCCTGCTTTGTAAGAAAGATATTGATGTATACAGGCGATAAATCGAAGATGATATGTACCATCAAGGGATACCCATGCTTCATAACATCAATCACGTTGAAACAAGAACAATAAGCCAGGCGTTGACCAGCAGCGGCGGAGGATGGTACTACAAGTCCTAATAATAGCCTAGACACAAACATCGCTGAAGTGTCATTTCAGAAGTGGAGGCGGAATCTATGGCAGCATCTCCCCGCGTCGTACACGATGATGTGGCCCATATCGATTCGATCCCGGTCGATATATCCCTGTTAAATGCGCATGACCCCGCGCGTTGACCTCGGTTCTGCTGTTGATATTGCGGCGCAGTCATATTGCTTTAGTGCATCAACCGGACTAGGGTTCGTCGGTCTACTATTGGCAATCGATGCAGCGATCTTTTCATCCGGCCGGGTGGACCTTTTACTATGCCGCATGATTGAGAACGGCTGCTTTATCCAACAACTCGCTTCTTTCTTCCTTGCCCTTGACATTATTCTGGCCGCGACCTTTTCGTCGCTTGCCGAGCGTAAGAATGGCCCCTCAGCTCTTCCGCAGTCCTGTTACCACTCTTATCATCGCGTTGATACTACGGATAGAGGGCGTCTCGGCCGAAAACTTCACTTTCCCAACAGATTTTGGGAGTCGCTTTATCGTTGGGGATCAGGTCAATGTAACCTGGGATGTTGTCACGCCGCGAATATCTTTATACGAAGCTTGTGGGACAGAACAGTGGATTATTTCACGTAAGCGGTCTTCTCATATTCTGCACTTGTGTATTGTAAATAGCTAATGAGATCAGAGAATGTCGTGAATCACTACAGCTATGTCTGGATAGCAAATCGGGACGTCTATAAGGAGTCCGGCTGCTGCTTTGTGCTTGAGTCTTTGAATTCTCAGGGCAAGCCTGCTGGCCAAGACAATGTAACTAGTGTTGTCTTTGGAGTTGCGAAGAGGTACCACGATGATCCATCCCCGACCTCGTACCATTTTGCTAGTACCTCGGCCACATCTTTGACTGGTACTTTGACCCCGACGACAACCTCCTCGACTGAGTCTGCAGGTGTGGTTACAGCTACAGATGTGTCTGCTGCAAGCCCATCTACCGAACATAGCCGTGGCGGGCTTTCCTCCGCCGCGAAGATCGGCATAGGCTTAGGTATTCCATTGGGCTTTCTCCTAGTAGCTCTTAGTGTAGGGTTGTTTCACTTTATTCGACGGAGGAAACGATTGCAAGACAACTCGCCGGAAGCTTCTGAGCCGGTATGGCATCCTGATGGTACAACTCCTCTACCGGGTGGCTTTGTAGATGGAAGTAATACTACCAAGAATGTGCGCGGATCTCACACAGACACGATTATCTCAGAGCTGTCATCGGAGAATTACAGGACGCGAGACGAAAGGCAGACCAATGAGGTCAATGAGTTGATGGGTGTGGCGCGGAGCGAGCTGGATTAATATATTGCATACGATAAGTAATAGTATAATAATAGTAGTATCTAATGGATGCGACTTCCCTACACATCGAGGTCTAGGCATACGATTTGTAACAGCTTCCCGCTAGTATCCAACATGTGGCCGTGATAGCACCCTCCCCACAACTACTGTCGACAGTGAGAAATTGACGTGAGTGGCTGGTCAGTTTGAGGACACAGCCAGAATCATGCATAGGCTATATGTACCCAGAGCACATACTCCAGTTCACAGCTGCATTACTGTGTGAGTAAGCTTCCAGTTGGCCGTCACCTCTTAGGTAGACGCTCCTAGCTTAGCGATGGACTTATCCGCGCTAAGCTAGATTTCAATCTCATTCGCTTATATCGCTCCTCGGTAACAGATATAGTTCCCTTGCTTCCATGATGCTTAAAAGGTTTTTTGTTTTCCTTGTCTTCTCAAGTGGCTCGTAAGACGTCTGTTGCTGTGAGAATGTATTGGATACTCGTAGAGGCATGTATTTCTTGCCATCCATGTGCTACTAGTTAAAAAGGGGCGTGATAATATGAGGTAGACAATGCTTCTTAGCATTGTGGCTATGCTCTGCAAACTATTAGTAAGGAAACAATTCAAACTAGCGAAGAATACTCCTTGGTTTTCGCATCTTCCCGATCACTGAACTGTAGATGCCATCTTATCTCCGAGCCAGATCTGCGAGGACAATTCCGAGACCAGGGAAAACACCGAACGTAAAGTCCGAGATTTCGCCTCCCCGGCGGACTTGATTTCCGCTTTCGGTAATAAGCTGTACGTACGCTTCAACCTCAGCCTCAGCTCCCATCTATCTATGACTACGTCCTCATCTGTGATTTGTACAATTGCTGTCTGCCTAGGTGGCAAATTAACAAGATGTACGTACACCAACTTGACTCATGCTCGCCTGTGCAGGTATAAATATCACAGTAAATCCATGAGATCTTTAGCCAAACACAGACAGATCTTATAAGATCAAGATCAATCAAAACATACAATCATACAACACAAACTAAACATGAAATACTCATGCCACTTTCATCAGCCTCCCCAAACATGGGAGATGGGTGTCTCTATGTTAGAAGGTCATCCTTTCTTTGCTCACCACCATCCTCCTCGGTATGAGGACCTCTTTGAGAAGAGGCATGGGAAGTGCTTCAAGGGCAAGATGCATAAACTGGGGAAGGGTATGAGGGATATGGGAGATAATGAATTCCCTGAAATGCCCAGGTTTGGATTCGGTGGCCGTGGTGGTCGTGGAGGTCGTCATCATCCTCACCATGCCCATCACCATCCGTATGCATTTGGCCATCATGGCCATGAAAAATTCCACACCCATCCCCATAAACGTGGTCATGGATATGGCTCTGACCATGAACTCGAACCTGAGCATGGATTCAACCCATGGACTAAGCATGACAGATCCGGACCCCGCCATCCCAGCCAGCCTGGCTTCCACCACCAGCATCACCCTCACCACAAACGAGGCGGTCCAGGTCCCCACTTTCACTCTCGGCGAATGTTCCACCATCAAGGCTACAGAGGCTCAGGACAAGGACGGGGCTTAGGAAAGAGAAACGGAAAAGGAAAAGGCTTCCATCCTTTTGACAAGTTTCACCACATGCACCCTCTCATCCGTGCACACCATCACTCACGCGACACAGCTAGTTTCATGCCTCCAGTGGATGTCTTTGCTACAGCTACCCAAACTATCATTCATGCTTCGCTACCTGGAGCTCAAAAGTCGGATCTGAGTGTTGGATATGATGCTCCGCGCTCTATGCTTCGTATCGCTGGTGTTGTGCATCGACCTGGTGTTGATGAGGGATTGTATAGGGCTCTGTTGGTTGGAGAGAGAGCACGTCACTTGGGGGCGTTTGACAGGGAGGTACCGGTTTCCCATCACGTGGCGGTTGAGGGAATCCAGTCTCGATTGGAGGATGGAGTTTTGAAGGTTGTACTGCCTAGGGTTGAGGGGGAGGAAGTTGAACATGGCAGTGACGTGGAGGAGGAGATGGCGAATGTTGAGAAGGAATTGTCGACCCCGGATGGGTCTGATACTGAAGGAGAGGAGGAAGACGAATGTGAGGTTGAGGATGAGAAGGCTGAGAAGGAGTTTGTTAAGGTGGATATTCAGTGATTTTGATTTTTCTTGAGTTGCTTTTGATCATGTTATTGGGAAAATCATAACTATATAGGGTAGGATAGCTAATTTGAACATCCTATCCTAAATCACGCATTACACTGGTACATACCATTATTATAGCTCACTAATCGTAACAGTTTGCTTATAATCCTATTAGCAATTGGCAATTCTATCATGGACAAGAGGGTGAAGATTATAGCCACGTGGTTTCCTTTGATTTCTAGTATCGAGCCGCACAGGATACGCTGAGAACCTTTAGATAGTACCAAATCTGGGAGACAGGGGTTTCCTCCAACGAATCATAAGGGTTCTTACTTTCTGTTGTCCTAATGGACAAGATAAAGGGAAGATGGGGAAGAAAAAGCGGTACGCGAAGCTGGAGGCTTCAAGCAATAGCCGAAAATAGGGAGGCTGAGGAAGTCCTCCGCTGGCTGCCCGCTTTTATATAGCGAGCCTAGGGCAGCTTATGTTAACACGCCACCCTATGGCTGTGACGAGGCTGAGTACTGACTACTAGATTGATTTATGCACGCAGCCGTACTCTTCCCAATGGAGTAAGAAGACGCTTGCCTGGCACCGAGTCATCGGGGTCGATTTTCAATATCAATGGGCTGTGTCTATAGCAGATGGTATGTAGTGCACTTCTCTAACGAGAGATTACCGTTTATGACCGACAAGGCTTTGATAGCGCAGTAGAGGTTCTTGCCAGAAAAAGACAACTTTAACCCAGCCTGATAGCTAGAGGATCATTATTGTGAACTGGGCACACGTCTGGGTAATAAGTCCATAATAGAAGCTGCTGCTTTTGATGAGTGGTCTCGCTATCATGTACTGTGCTGGACTGCCACCATGATGAATGACCATGCCCCCCACGGTGATCGCTGTACGTCTATCCAATAGCTCGCTGATCTGTGCTTAGTTTATGGCCTACATACGCAATTAAGTTAAAGAGAATCAGATGATACTGACTGTTAATCTGATTCCTTTACCCTCAGGCCCAGATTACTAGGCAATACCGACTGCCGCCGATTCCACAAAATTGTTATCTGATTAGGAGCCGTATAGTAAATAAGAGTGATGCCTTTGAACTGTCACCACTATGATAGAAAATCCATCAACGGCACTCAAGAGCAGAAGTGTATTTTAAAGCCTAACAAACTGCGTGACGGATGATATAGCCTTCAGGGGCTCCTTGAGCGTAATATTAATAGATGATTACGTCCCAGTGCAGCAACATCTACCAAAGGAAAGTAAAGCAAGAGAAAGACAAATTCCAGCAGTAGTCAGAACAACGAAGCTGTTCATGGAAGCTTTACATGATATCAAAGCTATTTACAAGAAAAAACGCCAATCGCAGGTATCCGGAACAGGAAGAACCGCCGCAGAATAATGCCATGATGCCAAATAAACGATGAAGGACAAAGCAGACACTTAGACCAAAACGCTAGAGCCATCGTTCTTCTTGCACGAGCAGGGAGAAGAACCAGCGGCAATTTGAGAGGGCGTTCTAGCATAGCTAGGAGGCACATCCAGTACAGGATTGCGAGTAAAGAAGTGACGAGGGCGGAGAAGCAATGTCATGGGCTCTGCCGGCATGATAGGGTAATCCTCAGGAGCCGGGAAGTGCGTCAGTCCGAAGGTGTGCCACAGCACAACATCCGTGTTGTCAATGGAGCTATTCGGACCAGCTTCCTCGATCCAGGCAGGTAAGCCCTGAGAGGGTTCTCCGGAGGTCTGAGGAACGTGACGACCCGCAGGGTGAATCTGGTCATCAGAATCTTTATAAAAGTTAGTCTCCATCGATAACCATGCAGAGGCTTAGGCTGGGTAATCTTACATTTGGTAACATGGACGGCATGTCTAGCGAAACCAGCTCGCTTCCAGACCAAGGAGCCCTCCTTCGGGAGCAGTGGGGGAACCTCACGGCTGACCAGTTTATAGCACACGGGCTTCTTGCTGTAAGCGTTCAATTTGTTGGTGTTGGCAATCTCCCACGTCCGTCCAGTAAAGCCATCATAATCGGACATTGCCTCCAGGGGAGTGGTGAACTTGGTCTTCTTGGCGTAGAAAGCGTTACCGTACTTGTTCTCGGCGCTTCCAACTTCACCTTCGCCACGGACAGCGTCGACTTGGAAGACCGTGTTGTTCGGTCCATCAATGTTGGCGTCGACACGTAGACAGAACAAATGCTGGTGGTTGTGCGCATTCACACCCGGGTAGACCTCAGTACCCCAACCCTTGGTGTCTTCTCCGGGGTTCATTGCATAGGTATTAAGAATACCAGTCAATTTGATGTCCAACTGCACGGTACCATCCTGGTGGAATATCCAGTACACGCAGTATTCGTAATTGGCAGCAGTGAAGATGTGGGAAATGATCAATTTACGACCACGGGTGACGATGATGGATTCATCCCGGAAGTCGGTATGCTTGAAGAGAATGCCTGCATCTTCCTCGTGAATGCAAATGGCATTCTTCACGATGGTGCTAGCTCCAGCGCGGTTGACGAATGCGGCATCCATATAGTGAATCGCTCCTTTGCAGTCACATCCAAGAGACAAACTGTTCGTCATGTATCCGCCACCGTATTCGCCAAGGTCAAACGCGTGCTTACGCTGGTGCGGGTGCTCCGGATTTCCATATGGCACCACCATCTCTCCGAGCGACAGACGGTAGAAAACAGGGCGAACATTCCCCTTGTCATTGAAGGTGATGTTGTTAAGCACAATACCTTCACGGTAGTTGAAGCCCACGTGGATGTTCCAGTTTTGCCACTCGATGTGCCGCCCATTGACTGTGAACGACACACCCTCCGGCTGGGTGATGTGGATGGGCTTCAAATCTGTCCTAAATCCACCTTCCTTTTCGATCGCTGCCGGGTGGTAGTTGTTGGGGGGCGCCTTGCTGAGTGGCCGCCGCACCGGTGGGACATCAATGTGAATAATCTGCTTGGTCTCGGCATTGAAGATGGGACAGAAGTCCAACGGATACGTGTACTGGGAATCATCCATATGGGGTCTGTAGTACATGAGGGCTTGCTGGAGGCGAACACCGGTACCGAAGCGCTCATCGTAACCAATGGTCCAGGCTAAACATGTGTTAGTTGATCCAAGAAACAGGGTTTAGACCCCTTCTGCTCCGTTTGATCCGGGAAGACTTACGGTCACAGTACACCTTGTGCATGTCCTCCTTCGGGATGCCAATAATGGCGCACTGTTCAATAACTTTGGGGTCCTTGCGAACAATGTGCTCGACTTCTTGCAAGTCTTCCATAGTAATCAAGGGCTGCACACCGGGGGTATGCTTCCACTCGATGACTTTCTTTTGGTCCAAGTCGACAATTCCGTCGTAGATCTTGCCACCAGGCGCAATAGCAACAACATCAGCGGCTCTCATAGGACGGGGAGCCTTCTCGGGGTTTGCCAGCCAGGCCATCATCTCCGCCTTGCGAGGCTCCCAGAGAGTGACGGCATTGAAGTTGACCTTGCCATGTGCTTCGCGGACGAGAGCAACGGCAGTATCAATCTCAACTGTTGAGAGAGGGTCAAACGGGTGGGGAGGAGGAGATGAAGCGCTGACCTGCAAGGTCAGCTGCTGAAGCCGATCGAGGACCATGGTTTAGGTAAAAGTCGTAGAATCGTTGGGGGATGTTTGTATATAGAGATTATCAGGGAAGTTGAAGTAGGAGGTCGTGCACCGGGTTATATAGTTTGGTAAAGTCCCCGGGTATCAATGTCGGTGTAACCGACAACCAGAGAGAGAATCTAAGAAAGTAACACAACACAGCGAAGAAACTGTCCATGGCAGAGAAGAGGGGGGGGCCCTTGCTTTTTAAGTTGCAGCATGACTGGGTTTCGTAACGCACTGAGCTGCCTCACTTGATAATCTGGGGAAGCCGATAAGCGCCATGACGCGATAAGACCCGGATCGCCTTTCCTAATCCGGTATAGCGGGGTGCGTCTCAAGCAGCAGCGGAAAGCATCCGTTGGAACTCGGATCGAGACTCGTGTTGGAAAGTGGGGAAGCAATCGGATATCATTACTTCTATCATGACAGATGGTCTTCAATTAGGTCACACTATCCACGCAAGGGAGGGTCCAATTCCTGTGGTGGTCGTTGATCCGCCGACTGGAGACGTGTTCCGTCGGATATGATATGCCAATACGTCAATTGGTAGGGTAACAGAAACTAGGGACATTCCTACAGTATCGCTACGGCCATAGAAGCGGAACCCAAGTAGGCAATTGGGAAGGAAGGGCTCGAGACGCCTGTGAAACGAGAATCATATTCCAGCCATATAACGAACACCGTACACCCTGCGCAAACACCCCCGTCTCCCAGACAATGTGAAGCATCTCAGGCGACGAACCGTGAAATGTGAGACCTAAACAACGAGAAAATGCAACTCAAAAATATAAGAAGAGATAGAGGCACCGCCGTGGTGCAACATGCTATGTACATCCGTCATATCGTATCCATCCTGCAACCCCCCGCCATGAGAAAGAGAGAAAAGCAATCGCTGTGAACGAGGTAAAGGGTAAATGAGACAAATAGCGTCTAGGGACCTGGAGAACATTCCTGAGAGGGAAAAGCCACTGGACAGTTCCCAGGAAGATTTCAGACACACGAAGCCTATACAAAGAGACCAAACAAAAGGGAAAGATACAGAGGAACAATGATGCAAAGCATGTCATAAACTCCCCCAACCAAATCTAACACCCATTGACAAATGAGATCTTAGCTAAATGACTTTCACGCTTTCCCAACTTGAAACTGTCCCAAGACACCGCCGACAGCGCCAGGCGTCAGTGCGCCGAGCCCCTGGTGCTGGGGTGTACCGGCATTCGGTGTGCTCGGCGTGCCAGCAGCAGAGTAGATCGTAGCCCCGTTGAGGTTGGGCGTCTGATGGGACATCTGATACAGTAACGCTGGCATCTGACCGTTCAGCCCCCAGATTTGTCCAGAGTACTTGGACTCGTCAATGCTGCCGTTGAAGACCAACTGTCGCATCTTCCAATAAATTTCGCCGGTGACAAGCGAATCGGAGCCCGCCTGATGAGCAATACCGACCCGTTTGACACCCAATTCGTCGGCAATATCTTGAAGTCCAGACTTTTGACCAAGGTTGTTCAGAATCTGGGCGGCGGCTGGTGTCAGAGGCGTATCATTGACAGCCTGATTGCGTCCGGCATGCTTCATCAAGTATTTAATATCATACAGCGACGGGAAGAAGATATTGAGAAGTTTGTGGAATTCCTCTTCGTTCTCGGGTAGAGGCTTGCAGAGCATGATCTTCATCAAGTAGCCAAAATCGTAGCCAGAGTGGAATGACACCCAATGAACGTCATCCAGCAGGACGAGGCCTGAGCTGATCAAAAGCGCACCAAACTCGAAGGGATCGATGCCGTTCTTGTCATGCATGGAGAAATCGATCCCGGCTTTGGCGAGCATTGCCGTAGACTCTTGTGCGTACATGTCATCCTCCAATGAAAACCGGAAGTTGAATTGCCAGGTGCAGGGGGCCGGCACCAGACTGTTCCCGAGGGGTTGTCCATTTGCATCCGTAGCATTAGACGGGGGAACTTCTCCTTCGGCAGAGAACAGGGTTATTCCTAGCTGAATCATCTTCAAGAGATCGACGTTGCACCGGAGAGTCTGGTAATGGTAGTCCGCTTTGTTCGTAAACGCTCCGATGGGGCGTGCAACGATACCGGGGAACTCGGTATCCTAAGTTATCGTTAGCTTTTTAGATCTCAGAGATTAGACAGAAATCGCCGCTCCGAGGATCGTTTGGCGATCCAAATCCCCGGAACCACCTCGTCGCAGTCTCACCATGCTGATATATGGATACTTCTCCACCAACTGCCGTAGTACGGCCATTTCTTGGGCCAAGTTGTGCTTCCATACATCCCGTATCCTTGTCTTCACAGCGCCCGCTTTGGCATCGAGTGCTAACCGGCCGTCATGAGCTTGATGGAGTTGCTGTTGCTGCATCTGGGCCCCTCTCGCGAAGCCCATCTGAGCCGCATGGCTGGCAAGACCGGTGCCGCCGCCATCTGCGGCACCGCCGAACCCAGCAACAGACATGCCGTTTGTAATTCCGGTTCCGGAGAGCGTAAAAGGATTGATATTAGTATTCGGGTTGCCGGCGGCGAAACCAGGATGGCCGCCAAGGGAGGGAGGCGGCAGAGCTGTGTTAGTGGACTGGGCATGAGCTGGATGGTGTTGAGGTTGCTGTTGTGATTGAAGGTGGGCTTGTTGTAAGTGTGTGTAGGGGGCACTTAGACCAGTAGGCCCATATCTGCCGACAGGTGGTGGCATGTTGCAAACTGTAATGTGGACAGCTCGTCATGCATTTGAAATGTGATGGGGGGTTGGGTGAATCGAGTGGTCGGGCCTTTTTCGCGCTGGACGGACAAGGCGCTCACTCACAGGTCGAGTCGAGAAGGCGGAGAGCTTCTTTGGCCGTTCCGTATTGGGTTTAGCGCGCCAAGCCTCAACTTCTACGGTCCTGTACAGCTTCAACTTCGCTCCCACTCCCGCCTATTCAATCAAAAGTCATCTTGTCCCCTTCTGTTCCCCACCTTCCATTGTACCCCGGAACCTGCGGATTCGGGTGTCGAACCTCTCGTACTTTCGCTCGCTTACCCATTGACCCCGACTTTTCTCAGTCCTTCGTCTCATCCGCTCACCATGGCCGGCACGAACCCCACCGGTTTCGACATCAAGGAATTCAAGGCCGCCGCTTCCCCCCGGTCGGTCTGGGCAAAGAAGGACCCCTGGGCTCGCTAGTGCGTCTCACGCGTGATCCCTCTGCCATGCCCCCTACTAACCCATCCGCAGTGAGACCTGGAGATACACCGGCCCCTTCAGCCGCTTCAACCGTTTCAAGGGTCTCTTCCCCGGCTTCGGTATTGCCAGCGTTGCCTTCGCCGGATACTGCGCATACGAGGCCGTATTCATGAAGCACGACGACCACCACGGCGAGGGCCACCACTAAACCAATCCAACTGAAGTCAATGCATCGAGAACGGGAGGGATATCCCGACGAATTGCCGACCGATATCGATGGGTGAAAACGGCGAGGATACCCCGGATGGCAGACGAAGACGTCCGCATACCAGTAGAGGGTGCGGCATTTGGGTATCATATAAGGGAGTGTGATGTGGTGAATCTGTGCTGGAGACGCTCGGACGAGCGGGAAATAAAGTATTCTGATGGTCATGACGCGCGCCCTTGCTCTACAGTCGGCGCTTGGGTTGTTTGGAATTTGTCCGGTGTACATAGTATCTATCTGGTTTTCGTTATATCAAGACTGTACCTTTTTTTCATTCTGGTGCGGGATTTTGTCTGGTAGAATAGCACTTGAGCTTAGTAATTACTGTACTAACTAACGAACGTGATGTGCTAGCTCGCGATAGCTGTCAACGGGGCTGATGGTTGAAGCATGTATGATTTGAAGATCGCGCTAATAGATAGATTCATTTTGGACTGACTAGATTACTCTTCGAAAACGAATGAGATGCCATCGTCACCGGCCGTAACAACACGCTTGCCATCCAGACTTTGGGTAAAGGCCATAACGCCACCGGATTGCTCGCCCTCCGAGTTCTCCGTGAGAGGCAAGTGACCCTTCCATTCCTTCAACAGACCCTGTGCGGCAGCTGCAGTGCCACCGCGCGCATCCCACCGCTTTACGATACCGTCCATGCCGACGGAAGTGAGGAGCCACGGCTGGCCCTGTCCAGATGCGGCAGATGCAATCGGACCACGGGGAGGCAAGGAGGCTGGGGCAGAGCGACTCTGGAGGAATTCAACCTTGACAACGGCACCCTCATGGGCCTCCTTGATGTGGCGACGGACAGCGAAGCGATGGGCGGTGTCGAACAGAGCAATCGATCCATCTACCGAGCCCGCAGCAAGGAGACTCAGGGGAGGGGAAGAGAATGACAAAGTCTCAATGCCATCAGACTGAGCCTGAAGAGAGGCCAGGATAGTACCAGCAGCAGCACCGGTCGACTGAGAGGCAGCCGCCTTGCCCTTCGCTTTAGATGCTGCAGCGCCACCAGACGCAAGACGAGGAAGACCGACAATCTTGATTAGACCTTCCGCACCGCCAACGGCGGCGAATCCACCACCTGGCGCAACCGCGACCGAGTAAAGTCCTCCATCAACTGCAAACCGCTGGTCCTCTGGGGTCAATCCGACAACGGCACTGGTGCCAGCAGAGTAAGAGATGCCGGCGCCGGCGGCAGCACCAAAGACGTCATACACATAGAAGCTGCCATCCTCCGAGACGGTCGCAAGCAGCTTTCCATCGGGCGTCCAGGCACCCGCGGTACAGGATGCGGTGTGCTGGAAGAAAGTTTGGATGATCGAGATGGGCTGAGCGGTGTCGTTGTGATCAATGCGGAATACCCAAGCGCTACCGTCGTTTGCTCCCATAGCAATGATATTGCTATTCTCCTCATCACCCTTCTCGCACGGGCACACAGCAAGCCAGTTGATTTCCTCCACTTCCTGCGCCTCTGCGACAAACTCCCAAGCCTGGCCAGTCAACTGGGGAGTGGTATCGCGCCATACGCGCAGCTGGCCATCCAGACCTGCAGTCACGGCATATTCACCCTTGGGTTCAGTGAACGCAGCTGCGTTGACGGTATCCTTGTGGCCTTCAATCTTAGCGATAGGCTGCAGAGAATCCCGCTCCTTTTTCGGTTGAGGGTTCGACTCGTAACTTTGTGGGAGCAGAGGGCGCTCGGTATTTGGTGTGGAATCGAAGATGTATGCGGTATCGTCGCCGGAGCCAGTGAGAACAATAGAGTTGTGAATAGGATGCTGAGCAATGCAGAAGAGCGAATCTGAGTGAAGATCGAAATGAGCGGAAGAGTCGTTCTCCAGGGTGATTTCCTCCTGTTCGTAGGTCATGGGCTCGTCGCCGTCCTCGCCGTCGGAGTCCATGGGGTGGTCCTCATCGCGCTGGAAGATTTCCTCCGCCTCGTCAGCCTCCACGTAGGCATCTTCCTGCTCGCGGTGGGGATCTTGAGAAGAAGACATTGTGTAGGTTATATCGTATCGTGAAAACGCCGAATACTATTGGCTTGGAGGGGTAGTATAAAGCGAGGGAAAGATGCAATTGCAGGTCTTTCAGGGCTGGAGACTGATATATAATTAGTTTCCCTTCCAGGCCTGTATGTCGCAGAATAAAACAAAAACTTTGCGACAATTGGCGAGCTGCGAGGAGATTTTTAGCTGATCAGTAAATTATGGCGATAAGGCCCCGCGCTTAGAAATTCGATAAATTCTCCCCGCGCCCAAGTCAAACACTGCAAACAGATAGCCTAAGTCTCCGATTGCTTTATAATCGCAATGCTTCACGAACTGCCATGAATGTTCCAAAATATTATTGTGGGCCATACAACTCATGACAATAGAATACTTAACTGTTTCGCCACGATAGGTTAAGTCGTAATTCTATTCTACCCACAGGATCTGTCTTCTCAAGCCTGCCTTCCTACAAGTAACAACTTGAACTAAATTCTCCCGCGTTGTTGCATGAGGGGATAACTTTATATATCTGAGTTGTAGTATGGGGAGAATGGCCTGGATTAATCAACCATACTTGCGTATACTAGTGTGCTGTTAAAAATTCGACCAATATAACTTAGAAGAAAGCTGTGATGGTTAATATATACTACAAGAGCATGTAGATGCAGAGCATAAGTAATAAAATCTATTCTGATCTAGGCTAACCATGGAATCTTACACCGTCTACAGCTTGGCACCAGCGCGCCTGCGTTCCTCCTTCTCTTGGTCCCGAAGCAAACGACGCAAGATCTTGCCACTGGGGCTCTTGGGCACAGCATCAACGAAGCGAATACCGCCCTTCAACCACTTATGCCGAGCCTTGTGTTCTTCCACATACTTCTTGATCGACTGTGTCGTCTTCTCATCATCCTTATCAGCCGAGGCTGATTTGACGACGATCGCCTTCGGAACTTCGCCGGCAGCTTCGTCGGGAATAGCAATGACGGCACAATCAGCGACGGCAGGATGGGTGAGTAGGTGGGCCTCAAGCTCGGCAGGGGCGACTTGCAAACCCTGAAGCTTTTATCAGCGGGGGCATTCAACAATGGCATCGCCATGGTACGGAAGAACAAACCTTGACCTTAATTAACTCCTTGATACGGTCAACAATATACACATGCTCGGTTCCCTTTGGGCTCAAGCGGAAAACAGCTTCATCACCAGTGCGCATCCATCCGTTTTCAAAGGTTTCTTGGTTAGCCTTTTCATTGTTGAGGTATCCCAATACCACACTCGGACTGCGAACCACAAGTTCGCCTGGAGTGTCGTAGCTTGTGATTTCCTGGCCTTCTGGGGAAACGATGCGTACTTCAACACCCGGGATGAGATTACCGGAGGATCCAAGGACGACGTCGTTAGGGTGCGTCGAGGCCACGACCGTGCATGTCTCGGTTAGACCTGTAGGAAAGCATTAGTTTACTGCATATATTCTTACCAATACCCAATTGAAGCTTACCGTAGCCTTGACGAACGATAACACCGGGGTACATCTCTTGGAAATCTTCGGCTGTTTCCATACCCAGAGGAGCTGCTCCAGTGAATAACGACTTCACCGAGCTGAGGTCGTACTTCTTGCAAATCTCGTGGTTTCGGAGCATGGTAATGATGATTGGGGGGACCTAACGAATATATTAGTAGCTGAAAACTACAATAGTCGACAGGCGTACGAACCAAGAAAAGAGACACGATTTTGAAGTTTTGAATAGCGGCAAGGTATGACTTCAGCTCGAACTTTGGTAACACAATCACCTGGTCGCCTCTATAGGGCCCGGTATGACACATAACCACCAAGGCATAGATATGACTTTGAGGGAGTAGACCTAGCGCGACTTCGGTATGTGGGGGACCTCCTGGTGCGGTGAGGGCATCTCGATGGGTCTTCTCGAAAGCGGAGATCTGCAAAACGTTTGCAATAACGTTCTTATGAGAAATCATCACTCCTTTCTGTGATCAAAGGTCAGTATCCCTCGACCCATAACTGGTTGTGCTAATCACATACAGGTAAACCAGATGTTCCACTGGAATAACATAAGAATGCGGTTCGGCGGGCACCCTCTCCAGGCCCCCAGTTGAGCCTTTCTAGCTTAGGAAGTGATTTCCCTGCCGCAATGAGTTGAGAGACGGTCTTGTATTGCGCAGGGACGCTTGCGCCACCGGTAAGTTGGGCGGGAACTTCAAGCAGATAGATACGGTCCTTCGGGAATCCAGCCAAGGACGCCGCCTCCAGGGCAGTGGACAGCAAGGGAACACAGGTGAACAGAGCTTTCGCTTGGGAATCAACCAACTGATGCTTCAGTTCGGGCGCAGAATAAGCCGCGTTGGCGGGCGAAACAACTCCTCCCAACTGATGGGTTGCCCAGGACAAAGGAAGTGTATCAATCTGGATGAGGAGGTGATTAGACGGGGAGGTCTCTTTATATTTGACTTCCAGAACGTACCGTGTTCACGCTGAAGACTGCCAGTGTCTTGTCCCATTCCGTACCCTGATTCGGGGCCCAGTTGAACTCCTTCGCTAGTGCTCGAGCTAAATAATCGACTCGCTCCGCCACCTGGACTCCCGAGTAGGATTTCCCAGTAATTCCACAAGTGAAGGGGTCTCTCGACTTTTGTAGCGGATTTCTCCCATATTGATCGTTGAGCATAAATTCGCTGATAGCGATACTATCAGGGATTGCGGGTAATTCTCCCGCCCCTTTCTGCGGAGTGAAGACCATTTTGGCAGGGAACAATATTACGATGGAGATCTATGCAGAGAAAGAAAAAATAGACAAAGAAGAGAGCTATGTGAAAGAATAAAGAAACGGATGGGACGTGAGGGGAGAAGAATACTAAGGAATAATAAGCCGGGGTCGCTCCAAGTCTCGTGCGGGGAAAGCTCTTCATGGTTCTTACGCATTGAAGGCGTTAAACTGTATGTGGTAGTCCGGAGAAATGACCGAGCCGCGGCCTCTGCATACAATTGCCGATTAGATGCATCCATTCCATTTGTAAGTAATATTGTCGAGCCGGTCCGCTCCAAATGTCGGCATTCCGAACTAATTACTTCTATATATTCCATCCTTTGAAAAATATTGTGATCGAACCTACACCCTGTCGAAGCCGTGTAGTTCGACATGATAATTAATCATTAGTGAAGAATAGGATTGCCCTCGGATATCGTTCGATGAGCCGAGGGTCTTCCCCAATCGGTGCAAAAGGCTCCACTCATGATGAAACTAAGCTCCTAACTATTCAAAGCCTAAAGATTAGGCTGTGGAGGAGCTTTCCTTTCATTGCCCTTGAGACCGTGGGGAAAGGAAAAATTCCAAAGTCACACTACACTACTTAAATGAAGTCACCAAATCTGTTTTGACTGGATTCTGTGGGATCGTTTGGTAGAGCGGTGGATGGAGCCATTGATTATTATTCTGCCGATTTCTATCGAATGGTTGATTTATGAGGCGGGTGCTCCATGCAGTTCACGGACCGATTCTATTTCGGAACCGTGACATACACTAGGCAACTAAAATAGTTACTTGAAAAGCTTATCTATTGGGTAGATACTGAAGGGCCTATGTAGACCCTAGTCATACACTAATCTTATATCACTATAAACTCAAGCTGTCTCGAAAAATAAGAGAACAATTAGTATGACGGCCCCAAGGCCTGAGGAAGCAGTATGGGCGGTCAGGCCGATCATGTGGTTTGCCATTTAGGTAGAGGTATGGAAAGCACGCTGCCAGACTGCCACAGCACATTGATCCTTCTGACTCGGCATGTAACTTATGACTATCTCACTGGCGAATGATTAACGCACTGAGAGTTTGATACTCCCTCCTAATGCATGATTATATGAATATCCCCATCTCTATATTTCTCCTATACTTATAACACTTCCGTATACCTGAATCGTGACAAGCTTGAAGCCCCAATGCCAAAGGAGCTCGTTATCTCTACTATTGATCCGAAGTTGAGGACATAATATACACAGGTGCAAGAGAACCATGCCTGCTAAGAGGAAGAGAGCCACCGCAGAGGCTGAAGGTCTATTGCCTCCTACCGTTGATGGGGAGCCTCCAGCGTGGGCAAATGTAAATAGCTGGACCCTATTCCCATATCCTTGCTAACTAATGGATCAAGTTCCGCTCGGAGTTAGGTGACACCCTTCCATGGTTTCGAGCCGTTCAAGGTGGCATATATCATAAAGATGGCCTGGCCTGGGGGGTTCTGATTAGTCGTGACTCGGGAGAGCGCTCATATATCGATGAAGAAGTGGTAATAACCAGGATGTAGGTCAATTGCTTCGACTTGCCATCAGTCATTCTCACGCTGAAATCCCTCACCTCTTTGCAGAGGTGGTTCATGCTCTAGAAATGCGAACGGCGATTTGGTTCGTGTCAAGGATCAAGAAGAGAAAGATCTTTTGGTAAAATGTCTGCTAAACAGCATGGAACAGAAGGTTCCTGTCGGAATCATCATCGGTAGGTACATTGCACCCGCAAATGTGAAAAAGTCAATTTTGATGGTAATATAGGGGAGCACAACACTGTCTTGGGAAAGACGGTCCCGCATCCGTATAATGTGATGGATTACTTCCGTATCACGAACATCTGGTTTGAGTGTATTGGCAAGCGTACAGCTGCGAAGGTGCGGTATGAGAAGTTGGATCTCCAGAGCAAGAGCTGGTGGGCAGACAAAGGGTCGTTATTGCCACCGTCTCTTGAAGAACGTGATTTTACAAGCAGACCAAACTCAGCTGAATGTAACGCATGTAGCCACAAGAGCTTCCAGGTATTTCACGAAGGCTGGATGTGTCTACAGCCATCTTGCACCCGTTTCTTTAAAATTCAAGGATTGGTCGCTCCCGCCAATCTCACCTACCACCAAAAGTTCCTGAGGTATCGGATGGCCCCGGACCCCGTCATAAAACCTCACCACAGCCTGATACCAGATTTGCTCAGCACTCTTGACGAAAATGACGCAACTGTAGCCACTAGTAGAGTGGCTTGGAAAGGGATTATATGCCCACAGTGCCGCAAATGTATCTCACGAAAGTTTTGGAGAGGTTGGAAGTGCAGCGACGATGGTACCTCTATTGCGGCCCAACCTCAACATTTATGCACTTTTGAGAAGATGACACGCATGCCAATCATGTCTTTACGATCCGTCATTGATACCCTCGAAATTGCTCCTCAGAAGCGAGCCTTTATACCAGATGACAGGTTTATGATTCCAGAGGTTGATGATAACTCACTGGCTCCATATAGAAGGCTCGTCTACATCATTCCAAGAGTCGGTCATATTACGCAGCTGGTGTCGAATAGAGACATAAATGACCGCCCTAACGGACCAAACACTATGTTTACACAACTGCAGCTGGCTGAACTTGGGTTGAAGAGATTTCCTTTGAGTAATGCTGTGGGCAAGTTGGCATTATCTACTTATAAAAGTGCACATTTCCGTCGGCACACTTCTAACGAATCTCTCCATAGTTCCTGGCACACTTACTGCGCACTTTGCAGTTAACTACGTCAGTTTTGCCTTGCCGGGGTTTATTCATATGGTCAACATCATCTGATGTTGTCTTAGGGGAACCCGTATAAGTATGTTGCACCGGTGAATTGCAAAGGCTTCGATGAGGCTCCTGGGGTAGTTCTACACGCACTAGGCCGTCTGCAATGGGCGACGGAGAAGACTGTGCATTTGGCTGGACATACGTCCTATCCACCAAACGAAATTCTAGTGCTAGGTTATTTTGCGGACATGAAGATCGGGGTAAGTACTATCTCATCTTTTATCCATCGAGAAGGTTATTTACACCAAGAAGGAGAAGGGAACGAAGAAGGTTAAAGGTATAATCAGTTGGTGCTAACACGTTTAGTATCACGACGACGGCGAAACGTCCCTTGGCCCCACCATTGCGACGCTATCGCTGGGGTCGAGGTCTATCATGCAGATCCGCATGAAATCCAAATACTACAAGGGGAAAAGTAGTAGGAACACTCTGCTTGAGAACGATCCGGTGCTTCCAGGCTGCGCGTTTCAGTTGCAAAGGCAGACATGGAAAACTGAATTCGAGCGTGGAATGATCACACAATCCAAGTATGACCAATGCCGGAACGAGCTTTTCAAGAGCCACCGCACCCAATGCGAAGCCAAACCGTGTATTAAACTGGATATCCACCACGGAGATATGGTTGTAATGCATGGTGAAAGCCTGCAGAGATACTATGAGGTATGGAGACCAGATTATACACATAAATTCAAACTTGACAATTGTTTAGCATGAGGTTGTCCCTGAGAACAAGTTGCGCTTTGCGTTGACCGCGCGCCACATCAAAGCAGAGCACGTGGACCCGAAGGATACTCACAAAGGAGACTTTATGCTCGCTGGAAGCCAACTCTACAATGGAATCTGAGAAATAGTGTTTTTTTGTTTGGCCGTTTTCTGTTTCTCTGGAAACTCAACTCTGATGGCGGTTCGCCTTGCACTAGCTCGGTTGCTGTTTTCTGCTTCGCCGTTTTCTGTACCTCAAGAATTTGCGTTTCGATGACAGCTTGCCCTATGCTTGTTTCATTGTAATTGTCTTTCTAGTAGTTACTACCCAGATGAATACACAGTTGATATGCTTCGTCACCATATCTCATCGGACAGACAGTGCATCGTTTGACCTACTGATCCCGCTTGAACCAACCGCTTCCTTCACCAAGTTCAAAACCCTGCGAGCTCTCAGGGGCCCCGAAGATATCGTTAGGGAAGGCACCAGACGGAGAAGCCGAAACTTCCTGATAGTCATTTGAAACTGGCTGCCAGTCGTTGGAAAACTGAGCATCATTGGACTGGGCACCTTGGTTGGGGTTGTTGAAGGACCAGGGAAGGTTGTCGAAGCCAGCAGGCCATTTGGAGTTGGGTTGTGTAGTGCCTTCTGCGGCGCCAGCTTGCTGTCCCCAGGGAGCCATACCACCGATACCAGTGCTAGCGCCTTGGTTGGTCTGTTGACCGGCTCCCTGATTAACCTCCTGTTCGTTTCCTTGGCCAATTCCTTGGCCCCAGGGAATGGTAAAGCCTCCTCCATTCTCCATTCCAGTTGGGGCACCGGTTTGCTGACCGGCTCCCTGGCTAGCTCCCTGGCTAGCTCCCTGCTCATATCCTTGACCAGTTCCTTGTCCCCAAGGGATGCTCAGGCCACCCCCATTACTGTTCGAGGAACCGATTTGCGTACCAGAGTTTCCATTCTGGTTACCATCAGCACTGCAGTTGTTGAAAACACCTACAAAAGCCTAGTCAGCACAAGTCCCTACATGCCCAATGGCACGTGTACTTACTGTTTGCATAGTAAGCAAATGAATCAGCGTTGTTCTTGGCCTGCGCCGTGCTCAATTGGAGCACACCATCAAGCCCATACACAACATCATCAGTGCCAGGCGCATAAACGCTAGTAGCATGCGAGAACTCATGGAGCGAGATAGCTGCTTGATCCAGATATCCACACTCGTTCACCACCTGCTGTGTCTCATAGTATGCTTGGCAGTTGACAACACGGTTTAGTGTTGGGTACGTAATGGCCGCAATGTTGCCGCCGCAGGAATCCTGTGCCGATGGCTGACAGTAGTAGGTCAATGTGCCCTTCGATGTTGCTTCCTTAGCAATGGCCTCCAAGCGCTCCGCAACCTCCTTCTTATCAGCCTCATCTTGGGACTTGAAGAATTTCTGGAACAATCCACTGCTGCCGTCACGAGCATCCGCAGCGGCGGCCTCAGCCATCTTGGCGGCCTGCGCAAGGTTATCCTGCATGAGCTGGTTGTATTCGCCACTACAGGCTTCGAGGGTGGCACGGGTCGTAAGGCGGTTGGCAGAGTCCTCAGGAGCATCGAATTCGATGGCGTTGGATGTGTAAGGTACGACGAAGAATTTCTTGGTGTTGTCCAACCTCGTGTATTCGAGCATGCCGTCCGCGATGGCGGAGTACTTCTCTCCGGGAGACAGGTTGTGGGAATCGGCGATGTCGAAGGTGGACTCGATTGTTTGCTTAGGGGCGAGCTCCAAGAAGGCGTCATCATTCAAATGTGTGTTGACGTAGTCTACTTCGGCACCAGTGAAAGTTGGGTCGGCCCCTTTTCCTTGTTCGTTAATCATCTTGTGTTGAAGTTTCTATGCAGGTACTAGCCCTTCAGAACTTACCCGATCCAGATACAACCACTTTCTTAGTAGGAAGTTCGTTGTCGAGGAGACCACCCCTCTTGACGACGCGGAGATTCTCATCGGCAATATTAGTGATAAAAGCCTTGATGGTCGAGTTTCCGAGTGACTGTAGCTGAACATCAATCAGGTTGCTAGCACCGCCCTGCGGCGCTCCCGAAGCCTGCCTCGGAATAAGAATCGGCTTGCCAGCAGCCAAGGTCAAAAGACCGAAGAAGTGAACGAGTTGAATGAATGACATCCTGAACGGAGGAAAGGAGGGAGAAGATTAGAAAAGAAAGAAAGGAATGAATGGCTTGGATAAGAAAAAGGCACTGGGAACGTGGCACCTGGCCTGGCTTTATACATTGTATGACCCTGACAAACATAATCAACTCATCCTCGCGTTTCACGTTGGCTAATGAGTTTTTCTAATGGTTACATTGTTACCCAATCGATTAATTTGTTCCTGATGGATACATCTATCCTGTGAGCTATGGTGGTCTTGGCTACTGGCACTTGATACTATGGGCCAGCGGTTATAGATCTGGCGGAGGATCCCATGATGGGCTTGGAAGTGTCATCGATGGCCAATGACGGAGGTGTATAAGGTTCCTGGGCAAGAATCAGGTAAATTAAACGGCCATGGGGTCTCGAGATCTAGCCTAGATGAGGCAGATCATGGCTACAACAGGCTAGCAGATCTAAGGCGAGAGGATATCGTGCTACATGAAAAGTACGTTAAGATCGAGAAAATTCCGACGCGGAAAGCGCCTCATAACCCCCGATAGTATAGAAGTATCTTCAGCGCTCCACCCGAGTAGATGGGGGTGTCATGAGAAAGATCAATCCCGACGCATTAGCTAAGAAAAAGGCGCCCTATCTGATTCCGCATCCCGCACCTGAAACGCTTAGCAGCCTTTAGCAAGGTTCAGGGTTCGAGATGAATACTACCTTCCATTCCGGGCTCAATCCACATTAACACGAGATAGGTGGCACTGCAAGGCATTTATGACACATTTCCATGGACCCTCAAGCCAAGAGCCCCAAGTGAACGGGGTCAAGCGGATTAACACAGGAATTAAGGAGCGTGGAAGTGGGGACGAGTCCCTAGTATATGCGACATCTTGGCATCAACGGCGTTTCAGGGGTTCCAAGCCCTACCGGATTGTCAGACTTTTTTGTGGTCAATTTTCTTTTTAAGGTTATACCCGTTTCAAACGCATCGAACGGTCGACTCCTACAGGCTCGGGATTTGTGACTTGCAGTGAACTTGGAAGAGTTTCTGTTTTAACTGCCGCTTGACATGAAACTGTCCCGGATGTTCGGATATTGTGAGTACACGGCGGGAGCTCTTGGCAGCTAACGGAACGGCACTGCTCGGAATCCAGATCAGTCTGTCTCTCATGGTGCTATGGTCTATGGTTCACACATGGTATCTAGATGGAGTCAAGTCTGGCTGTTGGTATCTACTTACATAATGCGGTAGTCTGGGGTAACTAGCTGGTGTTACGATCCTCGGTTCTAGACAGGATGACATGTAGGTCGAAATCAGGACCCTGCCCTACATGGTCAATCAACGCTAAATTAACTAGAAACCAGAACGAAGACGAAAGGCAAAGTAGTGATAGGTACGCTGCATGGGGATATTGCCCAAAAAGGGAAAAGTGAGGGTTAACGTGCTTAGTCTAGAGCACTTGGAAAGCGGAGCGCACCCACTTAGAAAGCCTTCCCTAAGACTCTTTCAATCCACCGCGGAAAGCACAGCCGTACCAGAACACAGCGAGAATCTCCATTGCCAAGTTACTCTTAATTAAGGATTGCAATCCTAAGCCGAATTTGGCCTTACAATGTCGATCTTGTAGCTGCCATTGCTTTAATGCCGCAATTCAGGGTCGGTCAATCAGGGTATGGCCCCCGCGTTCCAAGCAACTCAGGATCAGACTAGCTTTATATCGCACATTTTCTGTACCCACCAACATGCCCTTATATCGCCGGATCCAGGGGGAATTCTTCATGTGATCCGGCAAGAGTGGTCCTTCTGAGCCGCGTCTATTGTCTGTTGCACCGTACGTACCGAGTTTGCGAGTGGGCCCTTGGGTGCATCGTTCGATTGTCTTCCCATAACGGCCCGATGATTACAAATGCTATACACCGAGACCTAGTCAGGGAAGTAAGGTGACAGCGCTCAATTCCACCGCAGATAACTGTGGCGTTGACACTTTTCGGACGAGGAAAGTCCACACCGAGACTCTACTTCCATGATCAGGAGATTGTACAACCTTCGACCTCCCATCATCAAATCTTGCGATTGGGTTAAGAAAGAATATTGCCCCAATCGCATGTTCCAGGCACCACGTGGCTGATTTCCACCACGTATCAAGCATTTCAGGCGCACCCTCGTTGTATAGCCTGCCGTGTGACTTGGCTTGGGAAGTCTCTGACTTTCTGCCCTCTTCTCGACCACCGGAACTAAGTTTACTAATCGTGAAACTCTGGACGTGATCAGGTAAGTACATACGAGCACAACCTGGGAGTATAGAAACGATAGCCATGTCGTGTCTCCACATGATTTTCAAATGTGGACAACGACAGGAGGACGTCCAGCCTGATCTCACGCCCTCACCTCCGAAAGGGCCGCTCTAGGAACTTTGAGGAAGCAACGCCTACAATGATGTATACCTTGTACAGATTGCCAATACCATACAAAGATGTTGCTATGCTTTATAGCCCGTGGCATTGCTTTACCGTGCCACTTCATTCGTCGATGTCATGCTTGAGATGAAAATAATTATCCATGATGATGAGTCCAGTCGGACCTATTGATGCTCTCTTGTCAATAAACAATGGTGAATTCTTGCTTTCGGAAAGCCTACTCCAGGCTGACTAACAAGAACGAAACAGAAGTTTTGTTCTTCAGATGTCACTACACGAGACGAACGTCCTCTCTAACAGCCTCCAACTTTTAGCGAGAGTTAACCCTGCGGATTGATTTATACGCTATACTCGAATAGTCTAGATGCATTAGAGAACGTGGGGGCAGCTGAGAGGATTCCCTATTCAGAATGAATGTGTATCAACGAGGACTATCACCTTATATATGAGCTGGATCCACTGTGCCCAAAATCATGAGAAGGAACTCATGTCTTTCAATATTGAGGTCTTCTCTTTACCGTCACACTTACCGTCCATTTCGTACCATCTGAATACCTGTATTGTCACAGCTCAATGCTTGCTGCTCTCACGACGTATTCTCATCACACCCAACCTTAATCCAGATTGAGTGACATCGTGAGATCACCGAGTTTGTTGCAGCTTGTTATCATAACAAAGCGCATTGTGGAGCATTTCGGAGCAGAAAGCATTGGAGGTCTGATCGCCCAAGTGAGTCTCTCAAAGCCAATTAACAATCAACAAAAGACTGCAAGCGACATGACTAAGATGGCCAAGCAGAGAGGAATGTCACCTTTCTAAGGAACAATAGCATCTGGGTCGAATGTTGGTTGCGATCGGAATGTAACGTCGAATAAATACGACAGGTCGAGACGCCCCCACGGAATGCAACCGTCGATCGTCTGGGGAATTTCCGGGGTTTGTTTATGGCTATAATAGACCCACGTGCACCGGTACCAAAGATCACGATCTCCTCACAACCAGGATCAGCCATGTGGTCAGTTATCTTCCTGTTGCTGATTGCAGCTGTCTCTGCCTTACAGTCCCTCCCGCCAGTTCAATGGACCGGCTTGGGTTCTGAACACGGCGGTTTCGACATTGCCACAATCGACCGAAATATCTATATCACCCAGAGTTTCGCATCAGTCCGAGATGAAAATGGCCTAACGCTTATTCCACCGTCGGCTCTTGAATTTGCAGATACCTTTCGCCAGGATCTGGAGGAAATAACCGGCGACGCATGGAATCTTCACCCTGTTGAACAGTTGCCCGACAGACAAGCGGGCATTTTTCTTGACAGGCTAGATGGCTCGCAAGGCGTATTGACATATGAAAATGGGGATGTGACCGAAGAGGGCTACAAGCTCCAGGTCCAACCCGGACGCGTCTCGATCCTGGGTTCAGGCGCCCGTGGAATGTGGTGGGGAACACGAACGTTACTGCAACAGCTGTTGATAGCTCACAACCATCCCATCCCGTCGGGTCAGGTGGTTGACGCGCCCTCGTTTCCAACGCGAGGGTTTTTACTAGACGCCGGGAGGAAATGGTACTCACCTTCGTACCTCAAGGACCTATGCACTTATGCATCGTTTTTCAAGCTGTCTGAATTCCAGTATCATACGAGCGACAACTACCCCTTAAGTCGTGGCCACAACGAAACCTGGCAAGATGTTTACGCACAGTTCTCCTTGCGACCGGAGAGCCCTGAGCTGCAGGGAATCGTGCAAAGACCAAATGAGACACTCTCCCGGGCGGACTTTGAGGACCTTCAGCAGCACTGTGCGCAACGAGGTGTCACTGTAATCCCAGAGATCGAAGCGCCTGGCCACAGTTTGTTCATTACGAAATGGAAGCCAGAACTGGCCTTAGACAGTAAAGATCTCTTGAACCTGTCCCATCCCGAGGCCATTCCCCTGGTGAAGTCTATCTGGGCTGAGTTTCTGCCATGGTTCCAGACGAAGGAGGTCCATATCGGCGCTGATGAGTATGATGCTACACTAGCGGATGACTATATTGATTTTGTGAATGAGATGGCGGAGTTTATGGATCAAATGGCCGGCAAGACAATTCGGATCTGGGGGACATACGAACCATCCGACACCCGCAACATCTCAAAAGATGTCATTATTCAACATTGGCAGTATGGACAATCCGACCCGGTCGATTTGGCCGAGCAGGGCTACGAAATTATCAACTCGGAGGACTGGTGGGCTTACATGTCGTTGAAAAATGATCACATGCCGATATTCCCGGCCCCGTATCCAGATTTCTTCAATAACTCCAGAGTGCTTAACTTTGCAGACAGAGATGGGTGGCAGTGGACACCGGCTCTTTTCAACCCGGTGAACGTCACCGAGCAGCCTGACCCGAAGCCGGTCAGGGGTGCCATCTTGGCCGCATGGAATGATAATGGGCCCGATGCAACGACACAGTTAGAGTCTTACTATGCGATCCGCAATGGCATTCCTGTTGTTGCAGCGAGGGCGTGGGCTGGCAACCGTGGACCCAGCATCAATGTATCCACTTTGTCCGGCTCGATGGACTTGTTGACCTCGAAGGCCGTGGCTCAGAATTTGGACCGACAGATCCTCCACCAGAATCAGGATGTCCATGAACTGATAAGTTGGACCAACCCTGCGAAGAATATGAACCGCGACAAAATCTATCTAGGATACGGCAGCAAGGGGATGAACTACGAGTTGACTCTAAATGTTTCCGGCCCATTTACCCTGTCGTCCAACGACTCCACCCTGGCATTGTCACCAGACGGCAACCTGACATTTGTTTCAGACGGATGGGAGTATCCCTTGCGCTCTATAGAAGAGACGGATGGGTTCGATCCAAGCTATCCAGGACGAATTTGGACGAACGAGACCTCCTCATCCCACGAGCCGGTGACCGTCCCATTGCAGAGCCAGATCACTATTCGGACCGACATGATCGGGGGCAGTCGGGTTTGGGTGGATCAGGGATTCGCTGGAAGATTCGAAGTGCTGGTATTTGGTGGTAAAAACCGGTTATTATCATGGAGCCAGATGGCGTTCGTGGCACCACTGGAGTGGATCGAAGGAGGCATCCAACGATTGACAGTGAATGAGTTTGACGGGCAGCATTGACCAATGTCAAACCTGCAGGCTGTATAAAATTCCCGTGGGTAAATTAATTCATGCAGCAATACCCCTCACTTTTCAATTCACCGACTTGTGGATCCGTTACCCTTCTGTAGAGACTTGCATTTATCCGTCCAGTAATGGCTTCCATTTCCCCGCATCGTAAACAAGAAATCGGAGATCCGGAGCAACCGCCGCAAAGCTTGGATATTCTATATAGCAAAGCTCTTCTGTATTTTCCTATATGTATTTTGCTTTCTCCCGCTTTTATTGCCATCCACTAGAGCTCACCGTCATTGAGAAGCCACGTTTTTTCGCAATGCACACAGTCCCACTCCTCCTAGGCATTCTAGCCTTAACAAAGGACATAGCCCTAGCCCGATCTACCCAGAAATGGGGCCCACGAGAATTCAACAACCTCGTCACTTTCGGCGATAGCTATACAGATGATACGCGAGTATCCTACTTCTACGCCCACAACGGATCTGCACCACCAGTAGGATGGAAACAACCCGAGGTACACACCCAGCACCCCAATATAACCCAAATCCAACCCCCAAAGCCCAATCTAACACATAACAGGCCAACTCCTCCGCCTCAGGCGGCTACATATGGGGCCACTACGTAGCATCAGCCACAAACGCAACGCGACACAACTACGCCGTCAGCGGAGGTGCATGCTCGAACAAAATCACCCCACGGACAATGTCCGGGCTAAACATGCCCTACCCATCCGTTCTGGAATATGAAATCCCAGCCTTTCTCGCAGACAGCCAATACGTAGACTCCCAGGGAAACCGCTTCCTCGACATTCCCGCTGACGAAACAGTCTATGCGATCTGGATCGGGACGAACGATCTAGGCAATTACGCCTTTCTAACTGACTCCCAGGTCCAAGGGAAGGTAATTCCAGATTACGTGGAGTGTGTATATGAATCTCTGGATCGGATTTATGCAAGCGGCGGGCGGTACTTCGTGTTGATGAATCTGGCGCCGTTGCAGTTGACGCCGCAGTATGCTTTGCTGGAGGACGTGGGCGCGAAGACTGTCTCGTGGTGGCCTGATAAGCCTAGTAACCAGACTTTGATTAGCTATCGCATGTGGGAGCAGGTGGTTAATGTTAATGAGGTGTTTCGGTATAGGACGCCTTATGAGGTGTTGGTTGCTGATAGGTATCCTGGGGCTGGGGTTGCGGTTATGGATATGTATGGACTGGTGAGTATCCCTTTGTTTTGTGTTTTTGTTCTTTCCCTTATGATACATTCCTTTGTGATATGTGATTGGGAATGGGAATACTGATTCTTGGTAGTTATCCGATATCTACTATAATCCGGATGACTGGTTCGGAGACGTTGGTGCCAATGTAACGGGGTTCGTGAAGCATTGTAATGCCGAGGGCGAGGATTGTGTCCGGTCACAGGATGAGGCGAACTTCATGTGGTTTGACGAGTTACATCCGTCTCAAACAACGGATAAGTTTATCGCGGAGGAGTTCGTGAAGGTGGTTAATGGGGAGAGTGAATGGGCGACATATTGGTGAAGCTTTCTTGCTTACTGGGACAGGGATAGCAACCCCCTGTCGAGGGCTGTATCTGGTCTCGTGATCCGCTCTGATGACAGGTTAGAGGTATGCATACTGCCAAATATCAATGATTAAATTAAAGGGATGTCATTTGAGTAAACTATTTTCTTGAAACTGCTACTGATTTAGTCCAACGAGCTAAATAACAAACTCGCCGAGGCAGGGGCCTTGCGCGTGACATGTCATAATGACAGGCCAGGTATCCGATCCCTAGCCGGCCAGATATGACATTGACATAGAAGTTAGGACAGCATAGCCACCCTCAGGGAGCCTCTATTCCGAACAGTCAGTATGACGAGATAAGAAAAAAAAAATAGAAAAGGACAAAAAGGAAACGAAAGGAACACAACAGCGCCGCAACTAGCTCAGACCGCCCCTTCACTCTATGAATAGCATCATCATCAAACCCATGGCCCTACGATACGCCTTGATAATCAAACAACACACCCCTAAATTTAACAAATGTGAAGCTCAAGACCCCAAGGCCCCAGGCCCCCACAATCCAGAATTCAACGGCTGCTGACAGCGCATGATCCCGCAGCGCCTCAACTGGGGCACGCGTGTAACGCACTTTGACTAGGTAAAAGAAGCCCAAAGGCCTAAACACGAGAAGCCACCTATCATACGAGACATGAACACAAATATCAAACTAAGCCCAGCATCCTTCTTCGTACCTTCTGGGGCGAAAACTAGTAACAAGTGGGCATCTCGCGAATTGCCTCATTAAGTAAAAGCGCAACATAACAATCGAGTCAAGAAAATCCACTCCAACCAATCCCAAATCTCCGATTCGAGAATTCTCCGGAAACCACGACTCCCGACAGCAAGCTCCCCTAAAGCCAAGCTGATCTTCCATCCCGAAAGGCCCTAGCCAGTGGAACGCACATCGCACCGTTCGAACCCTCTCCAAGCGAACCGGCCAATCACGGCCGCCCAAAAACCAACAAGAACAACCGGCGTCTCTGACACGGCATGTGGCGAGGCAGAAACGCATGTACGCCTTATAAGGAGTGTACTGAATGAACGGTCACATACACAATAGCGAAAATAGGCGTACAAGATAACACAGATATCACCCAGGGCAAAGGACACACGAACTTCTTGGTTTGGACAGTTGGAAAATGGCACCCAATACAATCTATTACCATTACCGTTGCTCACTGCATTCGTATAGTCGTATGATACACACGGCAAGAGAAAGAAATGGACGACAACAACAACCCAACCACATGCTCTCGTCTAAGTCCACCGCCGAGACCCATTGCTCTTCGACCCGACAGTGTATCACGTTCCGAAATACTCTTGACCGTGAAGAATCGCCCCGAACCGTGGCATTCGTTAGATTATAGTGTGGAATATGAGGGTCAGACGATCTTTTCGATCCAGGGGTATCCGTGGAGTATTGGTCAACGACGGGTTTTCTATGATCGGTCTGGATTGCCGCTTTTTGAGTTGCGGTGTCGGTGGTATAATTCGTCGTGTTTGGAATTGAGGTTACCGGGGCAGATGGAACATGTTATATTGTCTGCGAAGTTGAGGGTCGCGGTTCGAGCCCCGAAGGCCGTTATCAGGTTTCGGAATGCTGTGTCTGAGCAGCGGAGACCGACGGATTCAAAGAAACGCAAAGGGAAGGGAAAGGTCGATGCCGATTACGATGTCGATAATAGTGCTTACCTACCTAATTCCGATGAGCTGATGCTCGAGGTCCGCGATGAAGATCCGTACTACCAAACCCAAGTCTTGGTGCTTGGGGACCGGATCGTGGCGCATATTCGTCGAGTGACGAACCCGGCCGAGCTTGCCGAAGGGCCGCAGCCTCCCTTGCGATATCGACCGAAGTGGGAAGTGAGAGTTGCGCCTGGAGTGGATATGGCGTTGATAGCGGTCGTGGTTGTTATATTAGGGCAACGTGTTACGGGGGATGAGTATGACGGTCGTGGTGCAGGAGACATATAACGGGATTGGGGGTGTTTTAAGACTGAAGGACTTGTTATATCTGGTGCTGGGAGAAGACCAGTGGTGCCACGGTGAGCATTTCGAAAGTTTATGTTCTGAGAGCAGCCTTGTGTAGTGCCTACTACCCTGGAAGAAGTTCAAACTTTGATTCATGTATATTCTTTTGCGCTAAGGCTGACACCTAATATCCCCTGTTGAAATGGCTCCATGGTATCAGCTGCAGATAGTTGCGTATGAAATGTGTGACTCAGATGTTGTTTCTATCTTGTGATTTGCGTCGACGACATAGGAAACAAGCGGCACAATGGAAGAGGTGAAGAGAAGATAGGGGTGAAGAGAAGATACAGAGACAACGTGACCCAGGCAGACCGATGTCACTGCGAGGCCTCTCAGATGTCAAGACACGTTCTCCAGCAGTGTCCGCTGTACATCGATCTATGGAGGACCATGCTGGACAGAGTGACTAGGATCTGCAGATGTGTAGACTACGACGTCATCATGTATGTCACACCCGGCGGCAGTCCACTTTGTTGCCCGGTTCATGCACAAAGCGACCCTGCTAGGAGAGGATGAGCTGGCTGTACAGGACCTGGAATAAACTAATTTAATAGGAGCAAATAAAGGCCCGGGTTAAACAGTGAAACAAGGATCTAAGGAGACCAACCTAAGACTAGAGGTTCTAATTATGTGAAACTACAGGATAGATAGAAGGGGCCAAGATACAGAAGGATGATCAGATCAGAGAGAGTGCTGTGGTAGGTGCATGAGCTGTGGAAACTATTTCATACATATGATGTCTCTCATACATGGGTCCGAGAGTACTTCAGCATTCTGCCTCTGCGGCGAGGCGCCTGCATAGCTAGACATGTCAATAGATAGGCTTTAATAGGTTAATAAAATTATGATAGATTGATTTATTGAAAGATACAGAGACAGACAGACACACAGACAGGGAGAACGGAGAGCTACATGAAAATGAGAAGCAAATCCACAGCTATCACACTGAAACCTGTAGAAGCATTACGATCTAGAAAAGTCAAAAACCAAACGCAGTGGAACAGAGGGAAACGTAGCATCATGGCCATACCTTCTCGCAAAAGCTCAATACCTGACCGTTATCCATCCATAGGGCACACCATCAAAGTCCAATTGAAACAAAAGTGACGCCGATGTCAGTGTGAGCTTTGCGACTATCTCACTCCTGTAGTACTCAACCCCCTTGAAGGTTCTTTTCTTTGAAAAGCGTGATTGGAATAGCGTTGAGATCAAATTCTATCGTACACACCTTGAGCACATCTTTCTTTGAGGTTAGCAGTCTATACCTCTGAGATAATGTAGGCTGTAAAAAGCGTTTCAGCTAACCTTCAGCGCCTTGTTTGGCGCTGTGTCGGCGTAACAAATCAACAAACTTTGGTAACCCCTTAAATCCTTATCAGGGCGAACGTATAGTACTAGTGAGAGTTCTATTGACGTATTTTTAGAAATTGCATCATTCTATACATGTACCAGTACGTTAGATGTTTCTTCCACCTCGCGTCAAGAGATTTAGGGCTACGCACCTTCATGATGTACCATGTCAACCGGTCTTTTATGAAGTAAACCTCTTCGTGATCCGACTAGATTGCTTTAGAGGCCTTGTGGCGAGAAGGGTCATAACGTGACCAGTGATTTGTTCCGTAGTAACATCGTGCAATACACTTCCCAACTCGATTGCCATCCAAGCCTCGTTGTACGGCGCCGCTTTTGACGCAGTTTTCGGATCATGATATACAACTATAGCTATGGGACAATTCACCGGACAGCCGCTGACCATTTGTAGATTGAATTAGAATATAATCCTCTCACACATACTACCGAGAATTCACCTACGCATCTGCTGGCTGCATGACAGGGGTCAGTGGACAGGCTGCTTCCAGTCCCTGATAGAGATACCCCGACTCCCTAAGCCACCGACAAGGATAATTGCCTACTAGGTCAGTAAGTCATACTAGCCAATTCTGAGGGTAAGATGGTTAGTTATCTTGTTTTCGTTCCAGAGCGAGCGATATCACGCGTTTGAGAGTGCACAAGGGATACCACTTTCTCTACCACAGATTCAAATATCCTTGAATTGTAGTCCTGGCAATTATAATATCAGTCACGAGTAGCTTCCGTTCATTGAGCTCGGTACTAACCTGTCAAGGGCTAGGAACCCACCTTCGAGGCCTATAGATGGTTTATCCCCCACACCGGAAATGGGATGAGCTGCCCGAGCTCTTGAAACTCGTCATTGTCATCATTATCCTCGTCGAACGAGAAGTCGGGCTTAACGTGTCTCGCCAGCAACTCATCGCAGCCTGTATAGATACCCTCAGGATCCTTTTGGATTCGGAGCCTCCGAAGAGGGCCTTCAGGGAAGCCATAAATTTCGCGTCTAGCAACATCGATCCATAAACAGCCCTTATGCAAATCAGTCAACTGCTAAGCAATAGTCAGGGATATACCACACATACCAGTTCCTTGGGTTACCTCTTCAAGGTAAGTTGGACTAACAGATTTCACGCAATACGATATTAAGTCCTACGCAGGTCAGTATGCTGCATATCATAGTATCACCTGCCGAGCAACACTTACAACCGTTCCACCAACAGCATCGCATACCACGATGACATCCCCACTCTACATTAATAAAGGGTTATCTTCCCGTCACGTTCCCAGTTCAGTTAAGGTTTACCTGGATGGTATTATGCTGCATCGCTCTTAAACAGTGGAGAGCAGCGGCCTCTGGCTCGGATACAAGGGAGATCTGAGGCAGTGGAATACCTGCAGCTGAAGCCGCCAACCAAGTAACCATCTCTCGCTTTGTCTAACCACACAGCTGGAACTGTTAGCACGTACTGAATGTTCATATGTTCGACTGCATCTCCGAATCGGTGGCGGAGTATCTCCATTCCATGGCCTAGTAGCCTTCAGGTAATCTCCTGCCGCCTCAGCTGGGCTTAATCTTCGGTTGTCTAACACCTTCTTGGTCAAGAGAGCTGGTATGAAATCAGTTTCCAGCCTTTTGCCAAGTAGCAACTTGACTCCGTGCATGATGTCCTTTGTGAACGTCAGACCGTATCCCCATCGAACCTTTCCGCCCTCATAGCAAATGGTAGTCGCCGCTTTGGGAGTGGTTCCTGCCTGGATTAGAACTTGTTTTATAGGGATAGGCTATAGGGCTATACAATTCCCTCTACCTGGCCATTCAGATATCACTTCGATATCATCGGCCACTCCGGTAAGAGACCAAGCGATCCAGCCATCGTTGAATTTCATATTATACGTGATAACACGATGGGTCACACACACCCTCTATACGTTGTACCGAAGTCGACGCCAACAACAATCTGTGGCTTGCTCGTCATGGTGGTATTGTGTGAATACTGCGCCGGTGAGAGTTAAGAGTGTGGGCAAGTGTCGTATACTAAGAGAGAGTGAGGAGGGGAAATTCGCACTATTATAAATTCCTTCGTTACCAAACTGCAGGTATGACGAACATTATATCTTCTAAAGACACCATCTGAATATAAGCTGGATCTACCCAAAGATGGGTCGACTAAGTTTGCCCTTTTATTCTTATTCTCTCTGAGAGCCCTTCAAAGGAAGTACACCTTGTAGTTTTAACAAGGCCTGACTGAATTTATAAATATTTACTTCACTGCAGCCCACACAAGTGGCTTTACAGGTTCAAAGAGGTATGTGGAGCGTTCCTTCAGGCTTGAATAGTACACTAATCTTTAGAGCTTTTGCAGGAGCCCCACCATCGCGATCTAGACGAACTCGACCGGCAGAGTATCCGCCTTCGACCCTTGCAAAAGCTAGTAGCAGAAAAGCAACAGAAGATGGAAACGGAGATCACATAAAAGAATAGCGATATCCATCTGCTAATAGAATGAGTGAACTCCATGGTGTTCCGGCCTAATCCATTAGATGACGACTGCGCCAGGCGTATCATGAACCGGCTCAGGCACTCGCTGGATGCTTGGGTTAATTCAAACTTCCGGGATGAAGGTCGATTAAGTAGCCTGGCAGCTGCTTCAATAAGTACGGAGATGGGATCTCTTCCACGACTCGATGAGCCGCAGAATGTTCATCAGCGACGGGCTCTAATCCGGGCTGCCGTTAGCTGGCATATTTATGACTACGTATTGAATTGGCTTATAATAGGAGCTCGAAGTCTTGCAATGGACGAAGAATGGCAAATGATATGATATATTCGTGTATAACAGAGATGTGTACACTTGCACCATACTCCAAACTTTGATTATCCCGGTTGACATGAATCATACCCCTAGGCCTAACGTATGTTTCAAGCCACTGGCGATCTGCAACGAATATTGCTATCCAATCCCTGAGCACCAGATATCTACAGGAGATGTGTAACAGCCTTTGTGGGAAAGTCAAAGTGGCCTTCTCCAAATTTTCATCCTCGAAAGCGGAAGGAAGAGTTCTCAAATTCCGTCGACAGGTCGAGCAACGCATAGAGTTCAAGCAACCTTTAGAAAGACAGGAGGATTGTTATTCCTTTCTTAGCACCAATCCTGCTGAGAGGGATAATGTACATCAGATACGATGCATTGCGGATTCACAAGGTGAATGCCTCTGTGTGCAGCTTAGCCTCTGGCCGGGATTGGCAAAATGTGGCCCTAGTGAGACGTTTGTTGTGGAACGGGAGATTGTGTGGACAACCGAAACCGATAACGAGGACCAATCTCCCACATCTTCTGCAATCATGCCTACGCAAGAGTTAGGCAAGTCTGATGTGGTTCCTTTTGATGAAAAAATGGCTGTCTTGTATAGCCATGACTTAAATGATGAGGCCAAATCTTTGCTTGTCGGATGCTATGATTGACGATTGCTTTCTACCAATTGAGCTCCTAACTATTCATATTCAGCTGTTGCTTGACTTGTATTTGCTGTGCCGACCAGGCTATTAGTAGCTTGCCAATTCGGCTACATTCTCATTGTGTCAAACCCTAATGATTTAGGTTGATCATCCCTAGGTCCTTGGGTATCCGTTTAAACAGCTCCTCACCCTCTGCTCCTGTCAAGGTAGCTTGTTCCGGATCCTGTATAACCAGCTCGGTTTCACGGAGCTGGCCCAGCAGGCCTTCTCTGTGCATGAACTCGGCAACGTAGCGGATTGCGTGTGGGTGTGACATACATAATGACGTCGTCGTCTACACAGTCTTGACACGTACAGTGAGTTTCCTCCAGTAGTGTCGGTAGTAGTCTTCATAGCTCTATGGAAATGCATCACACCATTTCTCTCCAAGCAGCTTATGACCTAATCAATACTAGTTATAAAGGCTTATATGAACACAATAGCATCATAACATGATGTGCGAAGGTTGTTACTGAAGGTCGATCTCATTGAACAAAAGTCTTATCAAAAGACATCTAAAACTTGTGCAAGGCCAAACAAAACATACAAGAGGCACAAGGTAAATCACCGGCAAAAAGGATGTACGCAGTCAGATCGCATAACCAGGTCACAAAGAACACAAAAGAAATTCAAACACCGTTGGTAAACCCGCTACCCCCGGCCTCCGTATCAATCTTCATTGAGTCCATCAATCCACATACCTCGAATAGCTTCTTCGGCCCCAAGCCATCCGGAATTCCAACAACACCTTCATTCTTTAGTCTTTCCAGCGCAGCCTTAATGCCCAGATACGCTGGTGCGAAGCAAGCGAAGGAAAAGATCATAATGCGAAAGCCCATCTCCTGTGCTTCCTTGGTGGTGATGATGGGCCCAGCACCATTTTCTACCATGTTCAAGAGCAGGGGCCACGGCGCCAAATCCTGCACGGCCTGTCTTGCCATCTCCTTGGAGGTGAAGCCTTCCAACAGTCCGACATCCGCACCGAGGTCACGGGCTGCCTTCAGACGTCGGATACATTCATCATACCCATGCTGTTGTAAGGCGTCGGTACGGGCAATCAGAACGATATCCGAGCGCAATCTGTCCTTGGTCAACTTGGCAGCGCGGATGCGGGTGAGATATTCCTCCAGGTCGACGACCTTCTTTCCAGCTAGGTGACCACAACGTTTGTTCTGAATCTGGTCTTCAATGTGAAAGCCAGCAACACCGGCCTGGATGTACTGTTGAACGGACTTGGACACCATCAAAGGACCTGGACTACATCAGGGGGCTGACAGTCATATGGGCATAGGGAGATAGCATACCACCATAACCGGTATCCATGTCAGCGATCAATGGGGGTCCAAACGGGTCCAGGTTGGCAATCATCTCGGCATTGGTCCGCATATCATACAATTGGGCCAACCCAAGATCTGCCATACCGAGCCTTGAGGCGGTAGTTCCAGCGCCAGTCTAAATGGTTAGCGTTGATATGGAAGGCTGTATGAACCGGACTTACCATATACATTGCCTTGAAGCCGAGCCCCATGGCAATTCGAGCAGAGATACCATCATACACACCGGGGCAGACAATCAAGTCGTCTGTTTCCCTCAACATACGGCGCAGCTTAGATGCTCCGGCAGTCATATACAGGGAAACAGTGGGCTCCTGCCTGGCACCGTTAACTTCATAGAAGCCATCTTTCTCGACGGTTATGGTGATAGCCAGGTTAGACGAGGAGGAATCTCCGACCTTCATTGTGATTGATTTTGAAAATAGATAATGATGAGGATGATGATGATGATGATGATGAGTTCTGAGAGATAGCCCTCCTACACTGGAAACGACACCCTTTATATACCCCAGTTCCAGCCTTCAATGTCTACAACTTCGGGGAAATAACCATCCGTCGGACGACCAGCCGGTATCTGAAGTTCCTCCATTTGTTCATCGGCTAGCACTAACACCCTCGTTCTGATATGCAACGTAAGGACTTGGCCAACTGAATAGCCAGTCAATACGAAAGCAGAATACCCCCCCCTCGTTATTAATTGGAGGTACTAAGTCATCTTGGCTGCTGGCTTCCTTGCGGCGCCGAGGAAATGTTATGTGGTACAGTATATGCCTGTGACAGACTAGGAGTGGTAGGCCTGAAGGCCTGGATCCGGTATCGATCAGTCCGAACAATTAGGCTAATTAATTCCAGACATGATAATTGATGACATGTGGATATTAGCCTGGTATCTTATGCATTTGTCTGACTGTTAGCGTAAGAGTGTTTGGTAGATAAGCCATACAATTGTGATTGTGGTTCTGAAGAACCCACTGCCAAGCTCTTAACTGGGTCCTCGTTCGTCAAAGGAATGCTAGAGCAACTTGCTTGCTAGCCGGATTCCTTGAGGAGCATGCATGTCAGATGTTGATTTGTGCAACATATCAGTTAATTTGCGCTTGGCTTTATTAATTTAGCTTTGATCAACAGTCTGACGAGCCGTGGCGCAGCTGCGGATCATGTTCCTCACGTACTAAGTACTGAAATGATACCATCGACCGTCGTCAGAGTGTGAGAGCAGAGGCAGGGGGTCTGCAATGGCGTCAAAATGAGAACATCGTATTCGGAGAGTGTGGTTCTTGGCTTTTATAGCATCGATATGGGCGCGGCATCAATTGCAGATCGAACCGTGATGACCGGGGATGAGTGACTCTTGTCAGGATGTTGCGCAAAGAAATGAGGAAATGCGTGAAATGGGGAGTCATCTGAGTGTCGATCAAGTCTACTCGGCACCTCAAGGGTTCAGGGTCCTTGCTCCTATGATTCGAAGTTCCCACGCTCCATCTTCGGGTCCTTCCGCATCGGAGGCCCGCGAACAAATCTCCCTCCTCACGGCCAAGCGTCTTGGCATGATAACCCCGAGTCTCGGCACAATAATTAGATGTGGTCTCGGCG